TCTAGCTAAAAAATCCAACTGTAGGTAAGAATATTTTTGTATCCATACGCCTCATAGGCTACACATATATTTTTAAAATTAAATAACAAAAAAAGATCTATAATTTTAGCATTAGTATTAACTTTCAAACGCCAATCAATAGATACTTTCTTGGAAGCTCTGTTTTCTGTTTAGAAACTACTTTGCATCTACTTGTAGTGCATACAACACACGGCCACGCTCTCGCGTTGTTCTCCTCTCGCCACAGCTCACATTCACCCTCTCTCTCCTTCTTCCACCCCTCTTTACTCGACCACCCCTTTCTCCCAGCGAAATACCCGGTATAGTACTGTTGGGGAGAATAGGCTTATGTCAGGTAGTCTTCTCCACTCGCCTCGACACTCTAATGACCCCTTAATTTACGAGTTCGATAAGCTGGGTCGCCAGCGCCCCTACACTCCTGATGAAGATTGGAGTGTCCAATCGAAATCTATCCCCACTTACCACCTCTCATATGTATTTACCTTCTTCTGAGTCAACAGTTTAAGTGTAAATATATTATTACAAGTGTTATTAGACGTACTGTATATCTTTTTATTTTACCGAATTTCCCTATAGGGAACTAGCTATTACCTTAGGTGGTACGAGACCTAGACCCGGGATCGATTTTCTTTTCCATTTTGATGTCCCCAGAGGCCAAAAACACCATTCGTTCAAATTATATATACGTCCGTGAACGCGATAACTTTAGTAATTTTTGTCCGATTCTGATGAAATTTAGTTTAAAGGTGTAAGGCGGGATAAACTTGAATGAGTTCGCGAACCAGCATGATCGAACCACCGGAACGGGGTAAAAAAATGGGTTTTCTAATTTTTACCCTCGAAACACAAAATTTCTCAATTTCTCTCTAGAACTTTTTAAAGAGCTTACAAAAATATATAGTATATTCAAGTGTATTTTTGTACGGTTATTGGTAACGGAGAAACTTCGAAAAATTTTAAATTTAAAATTCCCATGTTATTGTTATGGAGAATATTGTAAAATGTTGTAGTTTGCTTCTTTAAGTCATAAGTCATTTAGTTGGCCGGATATACATTAACGCCTTGGCTAAGTAAATATACATTTAAAAATACAGAGTGTCTTATAACCTATAAAATAACTACTAAACTTTATGCATATATTTTGACCAAACTTGGCAAATTTATTGATTTTATACTAAGCTATAATTATTTTACTTAAATATACACTTTATTAGTTTCCTTGTAGCAGCAAACCTGGGTGTTCATTAAACCTAACGTTTTTAAATAGATTTAATAAAAAATTAACTCAGAAAAATGGAAATTCGCTTAGGCGGAAGGTTCGCTGCGGCGGGGGGTAGTTTTTAAATAAAAAACTTTTTATTATTATTGCAGAATATAATGCCACAAGACAATTTTAATGTTGATCTATCCATTCCGTTTGATGCATTGCAATGAGCTAATCTCAAGCTTCGATCTTTCTGAGATTATAGGCAGGCTAAGTTAACAGAGCATTTTATCATAGCGCATTCCATTATCGGGGGAACGAACGTAAATTATTTTGCGTACATTACTTCAAAGTACGTGTAAGGTGAATCATCATACCCACCTACATCTTTAGAAGGTCCAACGGTAAAAGTGTTTAACAAAACCATGTATACTGACTAAAAACAATTAGTGTAAGAATCAATATAAAAAACGTTAACTATTGCAATCGACTGTTCTTTGAACTTATCGCTAACTCTCCGTTGGATCGGAACTAGCTAATTCTGGTACTAACCATGAAGTAACCGTGATCATAGTATGACACAGTGTTGACACTCCCCCCCCCCCTCCACCCAACACCCTCTTTCCAAGAACGGGCCGGACTGGTAGCGATTGTCACTGGTAGCGAATGTCACTGGTGGCGATTTACAGGACACCGTACTGACTGTTATGGGTTTGTTTATATTAAACAATCGGCCAAATACTTTGCACCAGGTGTCCACGTCTACATTTTACAACATGCATTTCGTTCACCTTTCCCAGTAATAATTCGTGGTTTGTTCCTGATTTTTTAATAATGAGGCATACTGTGCTATTGTTCTAAATACATACGAGAGATATATTCAAAAAGGCAAAAAGAAAGAAAAAAAGTTTTGAGGTAATAACAAGCCTATATTTTAATCAGGAAAGTGTTATCATCATGCCAAATTTCAGCCTAATCCCGATGTGATCAATGAATTGTTATTGAGTGATTGAACCCCAAACAAACACACAAACATTCATTTGTAATATTAGTAAAGTAGCACTGTACTTCAACGTATGAATCAGACCGTAACTTGAAATAAACGCTTAGGCCAGTTACATTTTTAACATCCAAATGTAATATTATTTCGCCATAAACAGCGTTGATCAGTTATTAAACGGAGGCAAATGGTACCAAAAGTCATTATCTTGCGAAAAAAAACATTTTTTTTCAAACAAAAATCAGGTTAACAAAAATAAAGGACTTTGGCTTTGACTTTTTTCAGGTTATAATCCTAAGGCAAATTTTTATCTAATCGTATAATGAAACTGCTTGATGCATAATTAAGGTTCAAATGAATCAGTAATATTATTTTAACCTATGTAGATACGATATACTGCGCATTGTGAAAATTGTTTAGTCGAGGATACATTTACACATAAACATCATCATTATTTAAATATTTAATTGGCCAACACAGATGTTGTGATTATTGTTTAGAAACTGCTACACATCCGATCATCAAGTTTAAGGTGTCGTTGGATAGGTCGTGACATGTAAATTTGCCATAAAACAAAACACATTTGAAATTCCATCAGGGCGCCAATATACGTGATTAAATTTATTTCATATCACGGACGATTACTTAATATCAAACATTAAATGACAAAATAAATGTAAAAATTAACGGTATCAGCATTCTGAAACATACTTTCTCCCATATAAGTTTGTTAACATCCTATATCATGGGAAAGCGGTGATAGTATATAGTTCAAAATCACAAAAGCTGAAATAACATTTGGACCATAATTGTTACAGCAATGGGGTGTTGTACAATTTTTTTTAAAACATCATTTGTTTATGTTTATAATCCATACCGGGTCTCTTCTAGTATTCGTGGTCTAATCACAGAATACCGATAATTTCACCCGAATTACCTTTTGAATTCAAGTGAATACAATTTTCTTTGCGTCTTGCTTTCGCAATCACCATTATAAAATGGCACAAGACTATCCCTGACTATCGCCGGTTTAAATGTATAAAATGCATGCTTTTCACAAGTATGTTGCGTGCGCACGTGGTGGTAGGTGCGCATAAAAACTTATATATATATATTTATACGCCTAATGAAAAAAATTGTTTATTCACTGGCAATTAAGTAAAATAACTATTCTATTTTTGTTTTTGGTATACGTTTTTATCATCTCATATTAATACGCGAGGACTGTGTTTTGTGAACACTACTCCTCCCTTATTTGTGGACAAATTTCAACGTTTAAGATGTTGGTGTTAAAGGATTCGGACCAATTCGTAGTTTTGCATTAAGGTTTTAGAATTTAAAAGTTCCTACCCTTAAGGGCGTGAGACCCTTTCAAATGTCGGGTTTTCACCATGTTAATAATTGTATTACCTATCAATCTTTCTTCCGAAAATAAACTAAAATGTCCAGAAATGCTATTTAAGAGTTAGGTACATTAACTTTCTCTAAATTAACTGAATCAAAGTACAATATATTTAATGCTACAGAATATAAATTCAACCGATTTATTTATTGATAAATCCAACCGCGAGGTGGTGGGTTGTCGAGGTGGCACGTTGTCGCCTATGAGCGAGATGGCGCGTTGACGGCACCGAACACTGAGCGTACACGTCAACCCGCCACCTCGTAAAAGAGTGGTGGCGGGTTGACGGGGTGGCACGTTGTCGCCTACGTACGAGGTGGCGGGTTGCCGACATCGAACATGGAGCTTCACGACAACCCGCCACCTCTGATAAAAACTGGTGTTGGCGGGTTGTCGTGGTGGCATGTTGTCGTGGTGGCTCATTGACTTGAGTGTGTACGACAACCCGCCACCTCGGAAAATTGTGTGGTGGTGGGTTGTCGTGGTGGCCTGTTGTCGAGGTGGCGGGTTGACTTGTACGTACACGTCAACCCACCACCTCGGTTTTTTTGTGGTGGCGGGTTGACGCCTCTGACCAAAACACCGAGGTGGCGGTTTGACGTGGTGGCGCATTGACAGCGACTCCACTTGAAGAGGGTTTACATTTAAAATATTTGAGTTGCCCCTCAAATCCACCCTTTTGGGGGGACATTCAAAAATTTCAAAATCATAAAATGAAACTTCCTGCTAAGATCCTTAAGATTACCTAATTCTATCCATTGTTATGCTTGCTATTCAACCAGTTTTTTTTCCATTAGCATGTGATGTTAGTCCCTATCTGCCTTTTAATAAATCCTGCAAAAAAACAAAAAAAGTAAAAGAGCATGAGAAAAGGCAGAAGGGAAGAAAATTTAATTAGGATCTTTCAATATTGTATCTGATCAGCATGTCAACCCTGTTATGTCAACCCTGTAAAAATGGTGTTATACCGTAAACAAATAAACAAATAAATAAATAAATGAATAAGATTGCACGACCACCAAAAGGACATCTCTGTATATTTACTTGGAAAAATATCAGAGGGGGGGGGGTCTTGACTTGTTATTCACCCTGTATACCTACATAGGTATATAGGTATATTATATATGAAAAAGTATAGTCAATGGTTTTATCTATGACAATAATGCTACTTCCCTATAGGGAAATTCGCTAAAATGGAAAGGAAAAGTGTGTCCTCCTAGAGTCCGTCAGTTAGTCTCACTCACTGAGTTCAGTTCAGTTCAATTCAGTCCACTAGTTCAGTCAGTCATCAGTCTCATCACAGTGCTATGGAAAAGTACCGTGTTCCGTGTTTTCCGTGGTGCCGTGGTGTGGTTGGTGGGGTGGTCGTGGTGGTAGTACAATAAACTCACCATTTGCAGTGTTTATTAATTTTAGGTTAGGGCAGAATTAATGCTTTTTTCATTCTTTTTTACTGATATTGCTTTAATTATGCGATACACAAACTATAATTGAATTTGTTATTTTAAGGTGAAATTAACTGTCCTTATACATCACTGACCTTACTTTATTTAAACTTCGTTCCGTACTTAAACTTTATAAGTAGCCTAGTAAGTTTACTCTATATCTTGCTGTACATGGACATATTTTCTTGTTTGCTTTACCTACATTAGTTTGTGATGTTTTAGTTTTTTATAGACTGAAGAAACTATTAACAATATGGAACGTAAAATAAAGTTGAAGACATTAAACACACACATAACTTGCGAAATTTGCAGAGGATACTTGGTTGATGCTACAACGGTCACAGAATGTCTTCATACATGTAAGTTATACTAAGTCCTGTTTTTTTTGGTACGCCTATACATTTTTTGAAGTTGTTATTTTGGGGAAATTTTTTTTTTCAGGCTGGTAATTTTTTGTCACAAAATTTTTTGTTGCAACATTATTTAAGTTTATTCTTGGCTTATAACTAAGATAGGCTAAAGAAAATTGTTTCGATAGTTTAAGTAGGCCCACATAGGCTATTTGGAACTTATGGTAAATTAAGTTACTACCTAATGATAACTCTTACTGCACTTAAGTTGCAATATTCTAGCTGTACAGTAGACCCTCGCTAACCTGTCACCTAACTTACGCAACCGGGAGCATGGAAAAATCCCACCCATTTGCGGAAAAATACGGCCGAGTAGGTTATTACCGATAATGTCACCTGAGAGGACAGACTAGCGGACACGACAGTATCAATACCATGTACCATATACTACTTATTGCTGACTTTACCCCCCCTAACTTATCCCCCAGGTAGGCCTGGACATGACATTGATGATGTCATGTCCATTAATGTGTCCTCTATCAGGTGACATTATCGGTAATAACCTACACCGCCGTATTTTTCCGCTAAACGGCCAGCAATAGAATTTAAGTTATAAGGCCCATGCAGTACTTATTGCTGAGTTATTGCCAGGTCCACACAAGTAATGGAATTTAATGTGATAATTTACATATTAAACATACCGTTATTCAAAATACTATAGTACTGTAGGCTATTGCGCAATCATGATAACTAGGTGAACCCATGTGAATTCGCACGAATAATAAATTAGGATATTATCGCAATGTCATTAGAAGCTGCATCGTGATCGACATTTGTCTTGCTACTGTAGTTGCATTCTAAGTCCTTTTTGCTGTTCAATTCAGGAGTATTTTGCAGGACGGAGCTCATCATGCTGAAAACTTGCGCATATGGATTAATATCAACCAAACGTTGAGTCAAAATGTGCATGAGTTCAGTGCTGCAAGAGCCATTACCTTTGTTTGGCACTCTTTCTTGAACAGCGGTTTCAACGCCCGTAGATATAAATTTGGGCATATGTGGGATGCTCCCCTTCTGACGGTTGAAAGGTGCCAATTGGGTGATAGATTGTGTCGTGCACCTTTTACATGAAAGGCCCTGCACCGCTATGTTCTTCAATTTTAGCTCGAGTGCTGACCATTGCGAGCGCAGAGTTGTAAGATCTAATGTTCTCTTTGTAGTTTCTGCTCAAATGATTTGCTCCATTAAGTAGGCTCTGGATATAATAGATTTCTCGGTATGGTGGTAGATTCACTTTTCCTTTATGGCAGCAGGATGAAAATCCTTTGCCTCGTCCTCTTTGTTCTTCTTTAAAATGTAGCGCACCATATTTCTGACATTTTAATGCCATTTCGCCAAGTGAATGCCGCTGAATTCTTGTATTTGTCAGTGTAATTTTGTAAGTACACGTTGCCACTAACTGTTCCAGCTCCTCGTCTGGGCTCCTTACGTTTTGCATTGCTTGCCATATGTTGACTCGCCGTGTCCGACTGGCAATATTTCTTTGTCGTCAGGTCCTTGGCATGTTTAAACTAAAATATAATCTAAAACTTTTCTTCCGTCTTTTATTTTTAAAAACTGCAAACTGTTTACATTTCCAAACCAAACAAAACAGCTGGGATTTATTTTTTTAAAATAATGTAACTTATTGACATCTGTTTCAGAATATAATAACATTCAAATCAATCACAATGTTATCCTTATGGAAGGAACTTTGAGGGCAGCCCACACACCCTTAAAAAGATATATTTTGAAAATCTATAAAGCCAGTTTGCACATCTACCCACCTAAGACGAACATTTTGGTATATAATACGAGGGATTAACCCTCCAAGTGTCCATAGTTTAGGCCTTAATGTCCACCTATTTTTGGCGCATTTGCAAGGTTTTATTAAAACGGATCTGAGAAGCTTAAAACGATGTTAATTCTAATGTTCTATATACCATTTTGTTTGGAAAATCATGGGCTTCAATATTATATATAAAACATAAGGAACATTTTTTCAAAAAAAAAAATTTTTAGGTAAAAAAAATATAATTTCGAAAATTTTCAAAAAAAAAATAAGTTCGCGCTCAATGAAATTGTATAAATTATAGGCCTATAAATATTTGAAAATAGCCACTTTGTTCTAAATTTTATGAGGATTACAAATATATAATAATATAAGGAAGTATATTTGCAAATAAATAAGTTATGGGCAAAAAACTGATTTCAGTACATAGCGTTTAGCTAAGAATGCATAGCCTAACCATAGCTAGGAATCTGGCTGATAATTTACATCAATATCACTACCTACTTCTTCAGGATCATCAACCAGCACTTCAAAACCACTTAAATCTTCTTATAATGCACCACGTATATCACTACTTTTGATTTTTAACACTAAAACAATGATAAACGTAATAAAACACATCAGTCATCGGTCCGGGGGAACCTAGCTGTTTACAAATACACGCACGTCAGCTGTCTGCTACAATATTTTCGGAACTAAAATGAATAGCGCTTAGAGACAGACCTCTGCAGAAAGCTTAGAATATTACGGAAAGAACGATACCTAACTCGATCCAGTTCAATCCGATTCAGTCAGTTATAGAGCCTTCGCCGTAAACGATGTCTGCTTGTCGAAAAATCGGCAAGTAACACTATACAAAGTGTGGTGCTTGCCGAATTTTCGTCAAGTAACACTGGGAGGGTTAAATCTTAAAACATAAAAGCCTTATTGTTCACAAAGTTTCATGTTGCGTATTAAATATATAGATAGATTATGTTAAGTTATTAACCTTGGTTCAGTTATAAAAACTGTCACGTTTGAAATCACAGGTTCCTCAAACTTTTACTCAACACAAAAAAAAATGCCAAAAATATTACCGGTACAGCGAAATAAATAACAGAACAATAGAAAGTCTAGCAAGTTACTGCTAGTCATAGGCTACTGCTACGCTGTTTCAGGACAGAGGAATGTCGATAAAAACATAAGATAACGCATAAAAAAAGTATATAATAGAAGTAGTGTACTTATAGATTAGCCTATAACAACAGTCGTAAAATACACCGATAAAGATAGCAATGACATAAAAAACTCGCTTAATCGGATACTAATCACCCTACAGGCTACTTAAGTTGTCATGACTAACAAATACCCAATCACAAAATGTTGTGACATAGCAAGCGCACAGCAGACAGATGTGTAGTCCTAAGGAGCAAACGATTGTCAGTGCAAATAGATAGCTTGACCTTGAAGCTTTGTTCGACATTCCTTTATTTTGCTTTCATTTTATTTTGTCAAATGAACTAAGATAAAAAAAAAAATAATAATTTTGAGCCTACTGCATATAAATAATGGGCAGAAATGGGATACACAACGTTTATATAGAATGTAACACATTTGACTAAAGAAACACAATTTATAAAATTTTCTAGGTAGGCCTACCGTACTGGTACTGTATTTTTCTTGGACAATGAGGTTATGTTAGCGGGAGCCTATTGTGTCGGACCAAGCGGCATGGTCGGACCAAGCGAGGAGTCGGACCATCCGAGGTCGGTTTGCAAGGTTCTACTTTATCAATACTGCAGATTCCTATACAGTAAGTTGATGATACCAGGTCTATCAGAAGATTGGTGGTATCGTAAATTCCCTACTCAACCTTCATTCATACTTGGGTTAATACTGGTCAGCCCAGTGGCGGATCCAGAGGGGTGGCGAAGGGGGCAACCGCCCCCCCCCCCTCGGGCATAGGCCTACATATACATACGGTATATATGTGACTTACAGTAGTGCACACACATTGCGTAAAATATTTTTTTACCGTACACTAACTTCGGACAAAGAAATGGTATAAAACTGCCATTTTGGAGACTTAGTTTACACAAATTTATCGGACCCCCTGGTTCGCCCCCCCCCCCCCCTTGGGACTGTTCTAGATCCGCCACTGGATCAGCTTAGGCTATGCCCAGTAGTGTTATCGTAATTGGCAATGTTGAAATGAAGGTATCAGTAAATTATATAAATCGTATATCAAAATGATGTTTATTAATCACTTTCTCCAACTCACCTAAAACGTCCTATAAGACGTTTTTACTGTTCCTAGACACCAACAATACAACTTTCTCAAATGACATTTTGGTCGCCGAGACTTCCTGTAGACTAGACACCACCCCTGAAAAACTCGCTTAAACATGGGGACAGGGCAGTTTACTATACTAGACACCTCACCACGATTACTAGACACCATGCACAGATTACTAGACACCACCCCCAGATTGCTAGACACCATACTTAGATACCAGACAACAAGCCCAATTTACTAGACACCATGCCCATATTACGGTTAGGTTAATCTAGATGATGGTGTCTATTATAGGAAACTGCCCTGTCAAGATGTTTAAACGAGTTTTTCAGGCATGGTGTCTAGTAATCTAGGTGTAGTGTCTACACAGGAAGCCTCGGTGACAAAACTTTCATTTAAGAAAGTTGTAGTGTTGGTGTCTAGGAACACGTCTTTAAACACGTCTTGCGTCTTATAGAACGGTGAGTTGGGGAAAGTGAATTACCCTAATGGTACTAAACTTCTGCACCATATAAATTGTACAATTTCCTCTTTTACAGTCTGTAAAAGCTGCCTCGTAAAGCATTTGGAAGAAAACAATACATGTCCACAATGTCAACTTGTAATACACCAGTCTCATCCTTTGCAGTACATCAGTTTTGACCGTACGATGCAAGATATTGTCTACAAACTTGTACCCAACCTCCAAGACAGTAAGTTAAAACAGTTTTAAGTTAAAATTCTTAGCATCAATTTCATTTTACTGTAATAATCATACAGGCTATGGTTTGTTGCCATAATAAATTACCTAAGTTATAGTAATTCATGAGTACCGTATTCTAATTGTTTACAAAGTGTTGAACTTGTGTGCCAAATGAAACACAGCATGTTACAGGAATGATCTTAAAACCTTGGAAGTAATCCATCTGAGTCCTCATGTTAAAACCATTGAACATTTGAGCGCAGTTTTATTTAGGCCTACTAACCTATCAATAACTTTTTAGCATTGTTCACCTAGCGGTCACTTTCAGACTTTTGCACCTTGGACCAATTAGAGTAGTTCTTAAGATTTCTAACTCAATTTAATAAATCCGTTATCATTGACTCAAACAATTTAAGTTAATACTAACTTACTTCAATCTGATTGAAGGACTTTACTGTTGTTCTTTAGGCTAAGTTTTTTTTTTATTTATAGACAAACTACCACGGGAACCGATCCTATCGTAGGTGCTTTACTATCATATTGAAATTGGTACCAGATTTTTTTTCTATACCTTATGCATACCAAGCTTCATAAAGATCGGCTGAAAAATTTCAAAGAGAAAAATGAAAAAAAATACAAAATGGCGGATATCTGGTAAACAAAGTGATTTTGGAAAAAATTATATTCTTTTCGATATACTTTCATTTTGATGTCCCTAGACCAAAAACACTATTCATTCAAATTTTTATATATGTATATCGGCCTATATACAGTACGATCGATTTGGGGGGGAATGCGGTGGAACGGAATTCCGGTACCTCTCTTTCAGAAGGATAAAAATATTGGCATAAATAGATTCTAATCACATTGTTACAGTTCCAGCACCTTATTTTTTACAAATTGACCACTGTATATACACGTCCGTAAACGCGATAACTTAAATCATTATCTCCGATTTGGATTAAATTTGGTTTGAAGGTGTAAGGCGAGATAAACTTGAATAAGTTCGCGAACCAGCATGATCAGATAATGGGAACAGGGTTTTACAAGGGGTTTTATGGAGTACTAGCTGGCCCGACAAACGTCGTCCTGTCCTAATGTGGTTTTATGTCAAATGCTCATTCATTTTCAAGATGAGCTCGTTCGCATGGCTCAATCACGTCCTGGTTGAAGTTTGTTCGCTACGCTCACTCACCTTTAAGTTGGAGCTGGTTCGCTGCGCTCACTTGCCTTCAGGTTAGCTCGTTTGCTACGCTAACTCGCCTCCAGGTTGAAGTTCGTTCGCTATGCTCACTCACCTTTTGGTTGCAAATGAGCTGTTGTCATGAATTTAAAATATCCCTGCCACAGCAAACCTGCAGACTAAGCGAATTTCAACTTGTCTTATTTACTAAAATATTTGCATAAATAAGACATATTTATTCCCAATTTAAATAACATTAGATTTAACGAGTGCTTAGATTTGCTGCTACGGGGAAGATAAACAGTGTATTTTTACCAAACGTCAATAGTAGCCTATATGATGAAACAAATAAATTTGCCAAATTTGATCACCGTATATCCATAAACAAGTAAACTATAGCCTACGTCTCGCCACCCTAAGTTGAGGCAGCCCAAACTGACCGGGAGGGTCATTACCGGCTGTTCCCGCACGACCCTTTATAATCCGATTAGCGACACTTCCGTTAACGCTCTAGTTCAATAATTATCATTAACAAATTTTAAATCCGATGTATAAATTTAGTCATTTACATTAATAACTTTGATTTAATACACATTTCCGTTTTCGTCCCATCAAAAAACACTGCTTGGTAGATGTGTTATAATATATCATACCGTATATTTATGAACCAAATTTTATACTTATATTCCAACCCTGTATGAAGGACGGGTACTCTTCTAGTATATATATATATGAATTTAAACGGATGGTGTTTTTGGCCTCTGGGGACCTCAAAACGAAAAATTAAATCGGTCCCGGGTCCAGGTCTTACCATGAGACCTACGGTAATAGCTTATTCCCTATAAGGTAAATTCGCTAAAAATAATAGTGCTCTACCCTGTTGGTAAACCTATTAACTTTTTAATGCTATTGAACATCACAGAATCAAATTGTTTAGTTGAACCAGCTGTTAAGGTTGTTTAATTCCATTTAATTATGAGTACTCATAAGGTTAACATGGGAAACTCCAGAGCCACTGGGGCAGAGCCCTTTTGACAGATCTGCACCAAACTTCACACAAACCATCCTTGAATAATGCTTAATAAGTTTCATTACAACCTGTTGAGCGGTTTTGGATTCCATATAGGACAAACAAACAAAAAACAAACAAACATAGGCCTAAATTGGATTTTATTTATATAGATAAATGGTTGTTTTTCTCATTTTTGACCCTCAAAACACAATATTTTCCAATTTCTCTCTAGAACATTTTAAAGAGCTTAAAAAACAAATAATTTAGTACACCAACATTTTTTTTGTACGGCAATTGGTTATGGAGAAAATTTAAAAAAAATTTAAATTTAAAGATGAGAAGCATCAGAAAAAACAACTAGGACTTACTAGTCCTAGTGGTTTTTCTATAATGATTTCCATTATAGAGGTTGCATTACTATGGAAATCATTTAATAGGCATAAAGTAGGTCTATATTTAATGTTGTCTACTCTCAGATGAAATGAAGCGGGAGAGGGAATTTTATAGACTTCGAGGACTTCCTTGTCCCAAAGACATTCTTCCCAATGCTGGAGACACAGATGGTGAGAAGCTAGCTGCAGACCAGGTCGCTGAGGCAGACTGTCATCGTATGGACGAACAGGTAAAGAAAATCAATTTATTGTAGGCCTACTGTTGTTAAATTTTTTTAAACTGCTATTAGTAATCAGAGATTGTTTTAGATGACGTGTAAGGATAAAAAAAAAACCATTCTACACTCCAATCGTCATTCATTTTGCAGGATTGAGCGTCCATAAGCTATTTATTTCAAATGGCAGTTTTAGTGACACAAGCCATTCTAAGCTGCTTTACTTTTAACTTTATATATACCATAGTATGAAGAAAGTAATGTTTTTGTCAAAATTTTTGATGAGTTGAGTGGATGTAGGCCTATCCGTTTTGGGTCCCCCTGAACCCAAAAAAGTGGTTTTCGAAGTGATGCCTGTATGTGTGGATGTGTACAGAGCTACAGACCACACCTGTAGTCCGGTTTTGATGACATTTGGTATGTAGGTAGGCTACTAATCCATGGCATCTCCAGGCGTTTTTTTCCATTTATTTATTTTTTAAGACAACTTTCCCAAATAACCCATAAAATAACAGAAAAATATAATTTTCTCAAAAATGGCCAGAACAATATTGAAAAAAATTGTTATGTTATAGTCCTTTAAATTTAGAACAAATTGGTAGAACTCCCATTGCAGTAAAAATTATGGTTAGCCGGTATTGATTCAATCAAATTAGTATGTTATAGTCCTTATAATTCGAAACAAATATTGCAATCTCCCATCGCTGTTAAAAATATGTTTAAACAGTTCTGATTTTCTCCATAAAATATCATAGTTATTCCCACCACATACCCATTATAAAGGTTGTTAACAAGCTAATGGGAGAAAGTATTTGTCAGACTTTTGATAGTGTTTATTTATTTTTTCCTACACTTATTACTACTGTACTAAAAAACAACTTAAAGTGAAAATCCAAATATTAGGCCTATGTATTAAAAACCTTGTGCAAAACATAAATGACAGCTAGCCTGACCATACTACTGAACCGAATTACACGCAGGTTGTACTAAAAGAAAGTTTATTGGTCGTATATGTGTAGGGTTTTATTTGTATTTTGAAAATATTTATGTTTATTGGATCAAAAATGGATAATAAACTTTTCTCATGGAGATTTAACATGGAGCTAATCTATATATTAGTAGGCAAGCATGTTTCTTTAAAACCTTTTTCTCAGCTCGTGTGCATTGCAGGAAAAATCTACGCATTGCATACTGTTAAAAAGATATTTTCCTGTAGATGTGCAGAATCTCTTTAAAAATTAAAATAGGCTCAAAAATAAGCACAAAAAGTTAATTTGAAATTTTAAAATAATTAACATGGGCTTTATGGGTTGCTATGCTGTTGACGAAATATAAACAGAAAATCAAAACAAATGGAAGAAATTAATTACAATCACAAGTTTTTATTTATAGCGTGGTGTGAAAATAGAGAAGCCTGTACCTTTGACTTACAACTAGACATTCCATCCATATGTTAAAGTTGTCGTCAGTTTTAATTAAATTCGTGGTAGTTGATGTGGGCCACCAACAGATTGCGCTGATCGAAATTACTAATTTCTCTCGAATACACAATGATTTTTACCAAGTCAAACTTATGGAATGACTTATTAAGAGCTATAGCAAATTGTTATGACCCATCAAATTTGTCATCAACAAAAAATAAGGTAGAAAATATAATTTTAAACACGCATACTGTGACTGGTTCAGACAGATAAGTGTTTTTAATTTAAAAAATGGTGACAACTGGTCCATATAAATGGAATGTCTAATTCAGTATCCAATATTCAATGCAGGTACATTACATATTATTATTGGTCAAGTTTTCGACCACTGGACGACCACTAGTTCTATTTAATTAATTAATAGACAAGCATGTTTATTAAAAACCTTTTTTTTAGCTCCTGTGCATCGCAGAGTATGTGTATCTACGCATACTGTTAAAAAGATATTTACATAGATGTGCAGAATCACTTCATAAATTAAAATAGGTTTAAAAATAAGCACAAAAAATAATTTTATTACAAAAAAGATAACATGGGCCTTATGGGTTGCCATGTTTGGTGACAAAATAAAAACAAAATATAAACAGAAAATCCAAACAAATGGAAGAAATTCCAATCACATGTTTTATTTACAGCGTGGGGTGAAAATAGAAAAGTTGCACAGTACATACTTTTCATCGAGTTTTCACTCTAGTTAGTTAAAAACTTAACTCTAGTCATTCATTTTAAAACCTTCACAGGTCACAAAGACTGTTGACACAACCCAATAATTCATTTTAAAAGTTAAGTTAAAGTGGATGAAAAAAATAAAGAATTTTTGATTTGATTTGTTTCATGGTGAAAAATTTCTGACCGAGTTAATTTTTTTTTTCAAATAATTAATAAATAAAATTAATCCACAGGTCAACATCGGATTAGAATGTATGGTTGCCAATCTGAAAACTTTAAAAAGAAAGTTCGTCAGAGTTTCATCACAAGCAACAATCACACATTTGAAAAAGTTTATCGCCAAAAAAGTTTTGGATGGAATGGAAAAATATAAAGATGTAAGTATACTAGAATACTGCAACTAGACTATTTTTAGTTGGTCAGAACAGAAAAGTTGAGCCCTTGTTCATGGACAGTGCCAGTAATACAATACCTATATAATTTTTCAAGTATGCTATTTTGAAATAGGCTATGTCATAGTTCTAAGAGAGTTAATGCATTTTAAGTTTCACTGTCCTGAGTTAGAAAACTAACAAAAAAGTAAGTACCCTTAGAGGTCAGGGACCCTATTGAGAATCAATGAGACCCACAGAGGCCCCTCAATTCTGGCTGGAATATGGGAGTTTAAAAATACACATCATATTGCTTCAATTCGATAAACTTTGACTTTTGTTTTTGAAAATCCACTATGGCGAATAGATCTAGAAATTTAGTTTCATTATTTTTTAAATATGCTAATAATATTAGGTAGGGGTCTGCGGTACAGAAAATTTAAGGTCGGTACGGTTTTTATATTCAGGTTTTGATTTCAACTGACTATAAAGATCCCCGTCTATAGATCGGATACACTACTAGTAGTACATATAGGATCACTGCAACAGGGTATATTGTGATTGAGAAGAATGAGTTCCATCATACATATATTTATTTTATAATACTTTTACATTTCAGATTGACATCCTCTGCAACAATGAACTGCTTGGGAAAGATCACACTCTCAAGTTTGTGTATGTGACTAGATGGAGGTTTCAAGATCCCCCTTTGCGTCTTCAGTACCGACCTAAACTGGACTTGTGATGTTTTTATATCTGTGGACATGTTTCTTCTGTATCTGTGCTCTAAAATCGTGATAGTAGGTTAATTTTCTGTACATGAATTCACGGGTTTGATCGCCGGTTATCCTAGATTTTAAGGTATTAAGTGTTCTGGCATTTTTTATTATTTTCCAGTGTTTTGTTTTACATGTGTGAAATATTTATATTTGTAATTTTGTAAAAGGTTCTTAACACAGGAATATCTTTTTGTTATTCTTGGATTTGGTAAATAGCAATTATAATCTCAGAACTAATAGTATTTTTTGTTCCAAACCATTTATTATGTGAAGAAAATTAACTAATAGTCCAGTCAATAAATGGATTGTGTCAGAAGTAATTTGTTAAAGGCTGATTTTTTCATGGATTATCATATAAGGAACATTTTCTAAAAAGTCCCCTCCTCTCCCCCTCTTGCTACACCCTTTTTAAGTTGATTTGTGTAAGCTTTTATTATTTTATCAATATCTCAGAAACAAACAGCAATAGGGTTAACTTTATTTCGCCATTTCAATCCTTAAAATATTCTCTACAAGAACGTTATTATTGTGTAATCGATAAATTTAGTAGTTTTCTTGTAATTTTTCTTGTAACTTTTTCACTTTTAAATATGGACCCTTGTGTGTTTAGTTGATTTGTGGTGAAATGAGACGATATAGAAAAATGATTCAAATAGCAGAGTTTGCATATTTATCACTCTTTAAAATGATATGGGTTTTATATATTTTTATTGCAGCCAGTTGACAGAATCAGTCCGAAAACGGGAGGCAGCGTCGGGCGCAAGAGCGCTTATGGCGCGGATCCATGAGTATAGTCATATATAAAACATACTCCCTTAGTAGATTTTCCATCCTTATGGAACACCTGAAGCCAATTTTACTGTTAGTTCGGTCCGGTGTACTGTAGAGTCTTGTTTTGTTTACAGTTTGTTTCTTACTATTTCATTAATTTAAAACCTCGTTTAACCAAATAAAAATATCTAATCATCAACAATAACTACTGTTAATTCGGTCCGGTGTACTGTAGAGTCTTGTTTTGTTTACAGTTTGTTTCTTACTATTTCATTAATTTAAAACCTCGTTTAACCAAATAAAAATATCTAATCATCAACAATAACTATCTAATCATCAACAATAACTTGTCCACTAGGTATATATAACCAAACTGTGAGGCACAAATCATGAGAAACTAACCTTAAAATAATAGAAACAAATTGTAAACAAAACACGACATCTACAGTACACCGGACAGAACTAACAATAAAATTGGCTTCAGCTGTTCCATAAGGATGGGAAATCTACTAAGGAGTATGTTTTATCTATGGTATAGTCGAGTTACAGCAAATACCTATTGTTGGAATTTGTTTTAACACAGCTGGTCTAATTATGGTTATTATTAGTATTAACATTTGATTACCTTTTATTTAAGTGCCATATTTATTTATTGGAATTATAATCTAATATATAAAATTCTCGTGTCACAGTGTTTGTCTGCAAACTCCTCCGGAACGACTTCACCGATCGTTATGAAATTTGGTGTGTAAATTCTGTAGGTATGCGAATCGGACGTAAACTATGTTTTAACACAGCTGGTCTAATTATGGTTATTATTAGTATTAACATTTGATTACCTTTTATTTAAGTGCCATATTTATTTATTGGAATTATAATCTAATATATAAAATTCTCGTGTCACAGTGTTTGTCTGCAAACTCCTCCGGAACGACTTCACCGATCGTTATGAAATTTGGTGTGTAAATTCTGTAGGTATGCGAATCGGACGTAAACTATTTCCCGTTTCGAAATTCTTAAAAGGGCTCCGCCCCAGTGGCTCTGGAGTTTCCCATGTTAACCTTATGAGAAATGGAATTAATGAATCTTATCAGCTGTTTCAATTAAACAAGTTGGTTCTGTTCTATGATGTTCAATAGCATTAAAGTTACAAGGATTACCAATAGGGTGCAGCACTATTATTTCTTTTACATTTATGACAACAGGTAATTTGCAACCAAAAGGTGAGTGAGCGTAGCGAACGAACTTCAACCTGGAGGCGAGTGAGCGTAGCGAACGAGCTAACCTGAAGGCAAGTGAGCGCAGCGAACGAGCTCCAACCCAAAGGTGAGTGAGCGTAGCGAACGAACTTCAACCAGGACGTGATTGAGCGATGCGAACGAGATCATCTTGAAAATTAAACGTAACGGTACTTTCTTTCCATCGGTCTGTCTTAGGGGAAACCTATAACTTAGGCGATACGAAGTTCGCGGGGTCAGCTAGTCATACTATATTATGTTCTTTTGTGTTATAACGTTTTTTTGTCCATGCAGCTGCAAATCAAAATTCCTCATTTCTTTTCGATTCTTCTTTCAAAGTAAAATACTAACGCTTGTGCTTGGGTTTTTTATAGTTTTGAACAATTTCCGAAAATTGTATTTATCCCACACCAAAAGAAATACCCCCGCCGCAACAAACCTGCAGACTAAGGCAATTTGCCTGGCTGTATTTCTACTAAAATATACCCTGAAAATTGTCAGATTTATTTCCTATTTAAATAACATTAATTTTAATGAGTACCTAGGTTTGCTGCTATGGGGAAGGTATTGAGGTTTGTTTTTTATTGAAATGTTGATAGTTTAGTATGAAATAAACACAATTGCCAAATTTGATCAAAATATCCAATATCCAAATCCAAACAATATCCAAAAACAAGCTCTACAACTACAAGCCAACTACAACAGTTTATTTATTCTCCATAAGAATAACATGTGAATTTTAAATTTAAGGTTTTTTAAATAATCTCCGTAACCGTTAGGCATACAACAACGCTTCAGTATACAAAATTATTTCTTTTTTAAGCTTTACAAAATGGTCTGGAAAGAAATTGTGGAATTTTATGTTTTTAGAGTCAAAAATGGGAAAATTCATTTTTACCCCGTAAAAACCCCCCTTTCCATAGTCCGATCATGCTGGTTAGGGAACTAGTTCGAATAAACGTAGGTTTAAACGTTTGTAACTAATTTCATCAAAATCAGATAATTTTTTCTCGAGTTCTTGCGCTAACGGACACACACATATATATATGACCCAGACAATGATTGATTGTATTGATAACTCTTGCATCTGAAAAACAAGTACAGTACTATAATTATACAAACGGTTAGACAATTGTATGGTAAGTTTATAACAGCATTTGTAAAATCAACGATAATGTTAAAGGTTTTAAGTATATTGCAGCTTTTTCTGTTTGCATATGACATAACGGGTTGTGATACAGCTTTTCCTATTTTTTTAGTGGCACAAATAAATTTTGTGGAAATTGTTAAAACACAGAAGAAACTCAATGACAAACGTCAGTATTCAAACAGAAAGATGCTTTAAAAGAAGAATTGAAAATAAATGAGGAAGATTTTGATTTGTAGCTGCATGGACAAAAAACTTTATAAAAATTTAAGATACACAATTTACTTATTACTAACTATAGTATGATTATCATTTTTAAATATATAAATACGGCGCTTAAAAATATACAAAAAAAATATAAGGTAATCGAATGTAAATATTAATAATAGTGTAACTGCAATGGTCATAACATAATTAGACCAGTTATGTTATAACAAACTCCAACGATAGGAATTTGCTACAACTTGACTTTACTCTTGGATCCGCACTACGAGCGCTCTTGCGCCCGACACCGCCTCCCGTTTTCAGACTGATTCTGTCAACTGGATGCAATTAAAATATATAAAACCCATATTATTTTAAAGAGTAATAAATACGTAAAATTTTTTATCAGGAAAATGTTTCTCTATCTTGTCTTATATCAATACAAATCAACTAAACACACGAGGGTTGAAATTTAAAATTGAAACAAGTTCAATTCAAACTTAAATGACAAGAAAACTACTAAATTTATCGATTACACACTAATATCGTTTTTTGTAGAGAATATTCTAAGGATTCAAATAGCAAAATAAAATTAACCCTATTGCTGTTTGATATCTTCTTTAAATCTTTTACCTCCTTTAATTAAATCTGTTTGTTTCCGAGATATTAATAAAATAATAAAAGCTTACACAAATAAACTTAAAAGGGTGTAGGGGGGGGGAAGCAAGAGGGGGAGGGGCGGGGACTTTTTAGAAAATGTTCCTTATATGATCAACTAACATCCATGAAAAAAATCAGCCTTTCACTAATTACTCCCGACAAAGCACTATTTTTCCCCATTATTGACTGGGCTATAATGATTGTCGAGTATCATTTTATAATCATACTATCTCATACCATTCTACACTCATTCTTCCCTTATATTTGGGTTAAAATACACACCTAGGTGGCGTCCCCATCTTAATGATCGATTATTTATAATTTATTCTTTATAATAAATGTTTAATGCTCTTGGCCAAGCATGGAAAACAACAACTATCATACCAACTTCTTTCGGAACTTTCGTGACGAGTAGTGAACAATACATTTCATCACAATGACAATAATGATTCAGACCTTCTTGGTTTAAAATAATAAAATATCATTCCATCGTCTAGTAACTAGCCATGAAGTTATCATAGCATAGTTTTACTATTTATTAAACAGTAAGCTGTTAGCTATAAAAGAATATATTCCTTTGAGCCCCTGTTAAGCTACATGAACTACAGTACAGTATGTCGTTTGGGAGAGAAAAAGGTAAAATATTGTTTGAGACAGGAAAGTAATCTTTTAGGACAGGCAAAATTATATGCTTTGATAGATTGGGAATCAAAAGTTTTCGTAAAGCTCAGCTGTACGAAAATGAGCATTTTTATTTATGTTTCTCACTAACATAAATCATACCGCATAAAACAATTTTGAAATTAACTTACCTTACTTGACAAAAACAAAAACCCGATATAGCGCTAATAGCTTTCTACTTCCATCATCTTTATTGAAAACAAAATTCATATCAATTCTGTTTATGTTGTTTAGATCTACCAAAGTGTACCTACTTAATGAAGGTAAAGTGTGATTGAACACATGAAATAGAAATCGCTAGTGTTTCTAGCAGACGGTAACTAACCTGCTTGATAGACCTTTACTGATGCTGCAACACCCCTTGTGAGTACAAGCTAAAACATGTTTGTTTAGGCACCTTTGTTTCATTTTTTGGCTCTTGGAATGGATTATAAGGTACACACACATTATGTATGAATTTGAACGGATAGTGTTTTTTGCCTATAGAGACATCAAAACAAAAAAGTAAGGTGGTTCTGGGTCAGGGTTGTATGAAATTCACCGAAAGCAGATTGGAATGTTTGGTGGATATCATGTGCAGTGCACTGGAGTATGCTAAGTGTGGGAGTAAGGAATGCTCAAATGCAGGGAATGAGTTTGACTGTTTAAATATTCTTTTACACATTTATTTTATTATCTTTAGCCCATCTCTTCATTGTCCAAATTATAGTTTCTACTTGTGGGTTCGCTGTGTTCCTCAGAAGTTGTATAACATCTGGTAAGAGCTCCCTGAAAGAAATTACAGGTTTTACAATAAGGTAGAATTCCAAAACAGGCCAGTACAATTAAAACAAATAAATACAGTAAAATTTGAATTTTTTATAAATTTTATGGCTTTTAGACTCAAAAAGTGAGAACGAAATCCAATTTGTGAAAGCATGTTTGTGCACTTATGTGATGAAGAAGGATCAAACATTTCTTTGAGAGTGAAAGCATCAAACTTGGCTTCATAAACCTATTGTAACCACTATGGGGAAACAGTGTTATGTAAATCTTGTAATTTGGTCTCAAAGTACCACTACTACTGTGATTGCTAAAACTACCAAAAACTATGTAATTGGCTTAGAAAACAAAATGTCCTAATGCTTGTGCAATCAGCAAATATAAAAATAACCCCGCTGTAGTAAACCTGCATACTACACTAAAATGTCTCCTTCAAAATATCACATTTATTCCCTATTTAACACGTTCACTGCTGAAAACCTTTACACTGCGGCGAGGCCCCGGCGGAGTTCCGGCATGCTAACTGAATCAGCGATCACTATTGGCATTGAAATATCTCATAAGACGAATCACAAAAGAGCAGTGGTTATTGTTCTGCGTTACCCCGAAAGTGGACGTAGTTCACTGAAACACCCAAAGGTAGCAGCACTGCCTGGATCAATAACCAGAGTCTTTGTAATATGGCTCAAATAGAGAAAATCCCCGAAAACGGGACAAAAGCATTGCCAGACGGGATTTTACGGAAATGTTTAGTACCAGCCTACACCAAAATAAAGCTCACATTCTAAGCTACAGGCTGGCAACAATTACAACGTTCCCCGGCAATGGCTGAGCTCACATTGAAGCAAAGTTGTTGGCATTAGTGAAGGACGACATTTCCCGCCCCGCACCAGTGGTGCCGGTACCGCGGGGCGAGAATTCCCGCCCCTCGCACTGAACGTGTTAAATAGAATTAGTTTAACAAGTACTTTTGTTTGCTACAACAGAGAGGGTAAAAGGGTTTTTTTTTTTTTTTAAATGATATGTTAATAGTTTAGTATTAATAATAAATGCCTTTTCCAAATTTTATCAAAATATGTTCATAAACAAGCAAACTATAGTTCGGCCGCTTAGATAGCGTCCTCCTCTAGCATTGGTTAGCATTAGTGCGAAGGTCGCTATCTAAGCGGCCAAACTATACCTCAGTTTACTTATTCTCCATAAGAATAACATGGGAATTTTAAATTTACAATTTTTTGGAATTTCCTCCGTAACTATTAGGCGCATTGTTGTGACTCAAACGGGTGACCTAGTATTATTAGTAAACTGATAAATACTCACACTGGATAAAATGTATCTATTTTTATTGAAATAACCAAAAGTAAACTTCTTTATATAAATTGTAATGATCAACTAGAAGAAAAGTAAAATGTAAACATTTAAAACAAAGTAAACTTCTTTATATAAATTGTAATGATCAACTAGAAGAAAAGTAAAATGTAAACATTTAAAACAATAAACATCTGTCTTGATCTTATTTGAAATTATATATATTAATTAACTAAACCATATGTAGTCAAGATAGACTTAGGGATATGACAGTCTCCCCCACTAATTAAGAACAATCTATTACAACTGGTAGTCTCTAAATCTTGAGGGAGGGCATGCGACGCTCACGCTGTGGTCTGGCGTTGGTATTCTCAGCTTGCTCACGATGTGGTATGACATTCTCAGCTTGAGCTCTTTCTGGAGATTGTACTTCTGGTTGCCTTGGTTCCAGTGGCGGCGATAAGAACCCGCGGGCCCCCCGCAAGTTTGTTCGCCGGGCCCCCTTCTCCCCCAATGATCTTTAAAAACATTTTCCCATGTATTACCGCCTAAACTTGCAATTTTGCAATAAACTTGACAAGGCATCTCCCGAGGCGTCATTATCGTCTTCCATGATCACAGCAAAATCGTAAATACTTCCCGTAGTCATAAGTCATTGCAAATCAATCAAATCATTGCAATCACCGTGATTGCAAATGCAACCAAACCTATGACATCATTAGATAGCAGCATCATCGTCTCCCACGTTCACGGCCCAATCTAATACCATGGCCTAATATCTCCCCACGACCCGTAGGTGGTGACGGGTAAATCATTTTTCCGCAATCGCGGCTAAATCCTAGATATATATCTCACTATAAAAGAAACGTCATTATCGTATTCCGCAATCGCGGCAAAATATTGAACATCTGCGGCCGCAGAGACATCGTCATCGTCACCCGCGGGCAAATGCTCTCGTCGATATCCGCGATCGCGGCAAAAGCGTAGGCCTAATCTTTCAATTTCGTGAGCGTGATCCTCACGGATATAAAAGCTTTTACTTTTAATTGTGCATTATTGTATAGAATACTGAGAAAATCGGCTCGAGCTTGATTTTCTGACTTTGTGCTTGATCTCTCAAGCTTGTAGTCCAGGATCTGCTCGGCTAGAAAATCGACATTATAGTCCAATAGTTATTAAAAAAATCAACCGTTTCCAAAGCAACCCTATTTTGAATCGATCTAAATTGGCCTGAGGCCCTTAGGTAAGTAACATTTTTTACCTGACTCGATGTAAACACATCTAAAGTGTGAAGTAAACAAATCTAAAGGGCAGCCTCCTAATAGTAAGACATAAAATGAAATGAAAATCCTTCTTTAGCATCAATGAAAGAATGGAATTATTTATTAGCTAGTGCCCTAGCCACCTAGGTTAATTTGCCGATTTGGTCGTAACAAAATTTTCAAGTTTATTTAGTCGAATCAGCAAAGAGGATCCTCTATGGTGTCACCCGCTGGGGGCTAGGAGGATTAACATTAATGTTTTATCTTCCTAGGCCAGAGGCCACATTGGTTATAAACAGGGCCTATTATTATGCAACCAATTTTGACTGCACCTTCACACAATCCACGAGGACAGTTAATGCAACCCGCATGACTGATGACAGTTCTTTTACTTAGGTTGGTAGATAATTTATATCGATCGGTCAAGTAATAGTGTTAGTTTAGTTGTTGTAAACTTCTTGAACTATAGGTTTAAACAAATTTTCATCATAAAAAACATATTTTAATTCTCATATAAATATTGTTATGATAGGGGACCCGTGTGGTTAGAGCCTGTCACACTATCGCGGGCCCGTGTGCCGGTAAAATTTACCGAAAATCACGGTCAAGGCTCACGGGCCCCCCCAGCTCGCGGGCTCCCCCGCAACGCGCAACTGCTTGGTTCGGGAGCTGCAAATGCATCTGTACTCCTATATATTTCTGGTCGTCTTGGAATCCTGGCAACATCAAACGACTGCGTTGGTCCGAATGTAACATTTTTTGTTTTTGGCCTCTGTACCAGCATTGGGCGTAGTTGGTTGATGTGCCTCTTCAGGACTCTATCAGATGAGTCGAAAACTACGAGATAGTGTCTTTTCCCAAGCTTCCTCTTTAATTTACCAAACTGTCATGTGTTTTTATTACTAGCTGTGTGCCCGTTCTACGCACGGGGATCTTATTGTAGTCAGTTATTGAAACCTTTTTATTAAGAACAGAATTTGGTTTGCATATTTTCAGATATGCTGGCAAAACTATTATACAGTATATAAACCTTCGCAAATACAGTATCTGACAGTTTCAAGCCAAAACAAATGCTTCGAAATTAAATGTAACCTGGGTCGTGTTGGTCCATATGTTAAATCCAATGATTAAACTAAAAAATGCTTTATAGATCTATGAGGCATAGCCCTAATGTAGGCCTATAATTGAAAGTTACCTTCCACAATGGTTAAAAGTATTTAAGGTACTACTTCAACCTCCCAATTTAACACTTTATTCGTGTTGACATTTTCATTATAAAGGTACTTTTGTCCTTTCCGTGAAACACTGAGAAATAAGGACATTAATGCTTTACTAACAGACATACACACAAAAATACAGAACTTAATTAGGGGGTTTGCTACGCTTTAAGCATAACAAAGTACTTGTAAAATTAGTATCTAAAATATTTTGTTAATGTCATCAAATTTCATCATAACAATGTATATTTGCTTGGACCGATGATGACCCGAAATGACGGCTTACTATATGAAATGAAGACGACTGGTCCAGGGTGGTCCAGCCACCCTGGTATAGACGATTGGTAATTTATAGTAAATATTACCAAAATAGGCCACGAACTATTGATACATAAACAACGTAAAGCGTTTAAACAATTCATTATGGTTAGCTGAATAAATGTTTTACTAAAGTGCGTTATCGTTTTCTTAGCATAAACTAACATTTTGGAATCAAGAAAGAAAAAGCAAAAATTGTACAGTTAAGACATCAATTAAATTGAATACGCCTGTAATAATAAATAAGGTGCAACACCAACGATAACTAATTTGTAAAGTACAGTGATGTGTTGGTACTTAAAAATGATTCTTGCTACTACCAACAGTACCAACGGTTCTAAGGAATAGAACCGGTACCAAAAACCAACGTTCACAGTTGAGAACTATAGTACAGCCGACCAATTATATGAGTTAATCAAGTCCCGAGGTTATTGATCTCTTGGTTTTTGATTTTCTCGTAAAACGTTTTAAAACGGCAATCAAAGTTATTTCGCAATAATTGCTTTATTTGTAAACAACTTTTAATGTAAACTTATCGGTGTCAGTTTTTAAAAAAAAAACAACCTCATACAAACAACTTTTTGTTATTTAATAGATTAGGCCCTACGTACCTATTCTCTAAACAATGATTGGTAAAGGCTATCTAATAACATTAGAAGGAAATGTGACAAAAATCACACAACGTTGGGTTTTTGGACGTTTGTAATTTTATTTCTTAAGTAGGTAGGCCGTGTATTCTAGGGAAAAGTACCGGTATCAAGGATCGTTGTCGAACAGTTTGTTATGAATAATTGGGTAGGCGTACGTAAACAAGAGCATGGCTGTATGGTCCAGCGATTGCATCACACGGTGAGTAGGTACTATTGACTATATATATAGTCAATGAATCCTGCATAGTCGTTATGAACCCTTTCCCAATTCTCTTGTGGTGTATCCCATTGATGTACGAGAACTTTGGGAGGGCTGTGATGTGTGAGAGCACATTTTTCACATCCTTTGACAATACGTTCTATCTCTTTGTCGATACTGGGCCAGTAAACGTAGCGGCGGGTCAGCTGTTTCATCTTTGTTCTGCCTAGATGGGTATAATGAAGTTCATTTAAGATTGATGGTCGTAAGCTTCTTGGAATAATGACACGATCTTGGCGAAATAAAATCCTGTCAACCAATGTATATTCTGTTTCATCAGAATTGTTTTTAAGATCATAGGGTGCGTTCACAAAGAAAGCTGGTTACAAGCACTTGTTGGCAATCCATGGTTGTTATAAAATCATAACAAAATGAAGTGCTATTTATTTGGAATTATACAATCATTATTTTGAAGTCATACTTGCATTATTTATAAAATAAACTACTCTTATCTTCTTTTTCGTATTTATTTAATTAATTTATTTATTATTTATTTGTTTATATTTAAGTCACAAATAAACACAAAACAGGGTAACACGTTCGCTACTGCAATTTATTCTTGTTAGAATAAATGTAGGTTTACAGGAAATTTGGGATCCCTAATAAAATAATAGTTCTTATAAAGGAGATGTACACAAATTACCATTGTAGAGTAATTCATAATTGTAAACTAAGTGATTCTTTGGAGGTAAAGCTAGGAGTTAGGCAAGGCTGTGTTCTGTCACCAACACTTTTTGTGATAGTTCTAAACCAGGTTTTGCAAATAATATCAGAGAAAGGAGCTAGAGGCATATCCTGGGGACTACAACAGAGGCTTGAAGAACTGGCCTTTGCTGATGATATTTGTTTCCTGTCCCATAGATTTGATGACATGACAGCAAAGTTGCAGTATTTGGAAAGTGAACAATCTACAGGCTTAAAAATAAATGTAAAGAAAACAAAATCAATGAGGATAAATGTAGCGAATAACAACAGTTTCAGAATGTCAGATGAAGAAATCGAAGAGGTGGACAGATTTACATATCTGGGAAGTGTCTTAACAAGAGCCGGAGGAGCTGATGAAGATGTAATGTCAAGAATTACTAAAGCTAATGCTGCTTTTGTTCAGCTGTATCCAGTGTGGAAGGCTCGTGACATTTCAACCAGAACCAAGTTGAAGATATTTAGTAGCAACGTCAAGTCTGTGTTGCTTTATGGGTGTGAGACTTGGAAGGTATCTTCATCTTTGACACAAAAGCTCCAAGTTTTCATCAACAGATGTTTGAGAAAAATACTGAAGATCTACTGGCCGGAGGTTATTTCAAACAGAGAGCTGTGGAAAGCTACAGATGAAGAACCTGTAGAGATACAGATTAAAAAACGCAAGTGGCGATGGATTGGACACACTCTTCGTAAAGATCCAGATGCTGTAGAGAGGCAGGCCTTGAGCTGGAATCCCCAGGGGCATAGACGAAGAGGAAGGCCTCGAATGACCTGGAGAAGAACTATAGAAGAAGAAATAAGAGATGCAGGGAAAAACTGGAGGGAAGTGAGAGCCTTGGCTGCCAACCGAGTCCGATGGCGTTGTTTCGTGGAGGCTCTATGCTCCGTGCAGGAGTGAAAGGAGATAAGTCAAGACACATTTATACCAAATTGCATCAAAATCAGATAATTTTTGCTCGAGTTATCAGGCTAATGGACAAACATATACATAAATTGGAACAGATGGTGTTTTTGGCCTCTAGGGACCAAACTGGCAGAAAGAAAGAGGGAACTGAGGCTATGTAAGGTCTTGGAAATGTATCATTTGATATAAAAAGTGATTCAGATAAATCTGAATTGTTTTTGTACTAAAACACAAAAGACTACTTGTGTCTGTTGTAATGCAGGATTTAGGGATGAACGAGACTGGATTTTAAGTTCGAGACAAGGTTCTTTTTTCTCATCATAATTTGAGTCGATATTACAAATCTCATTACTATCGGGAATCATTCGTTGCACAGTTTCAAAATGGTTAAACAAATAACAATAAAGCACTATTAAAACTACAACTAAAGTACAATAACTACCTAATTATTTATTACAAAGATTGATACAAAAAGAGTGTACAAAATAACAAATGCTTACAGGAACTTCAATGGTTATGAAAATCTTATGTAAGAAAAATTAAAACAAAATTACATTATTACATCTTTAATGTAAAACTATGCTCACCACAACTAACTAAATCACAACAAAAAACTATCTATAAAATATTAAAGAAAATTGTAGTACAGTAGCTTGTAAGGTGTTACTTCTGATGTCAGTGATTGATTATGATATCATATACAATAAAGTAAAACCTACTACATCCAGCATATACAGGGCCATGGTCATAACGGATAAATAAATGGACAGATCTGATAAATCAATTTTACAGTTTTTTTTTTTATGTACACAGTTAAAAAACGCCTTCAGAAAGTCTGCAATACAGGAGCGCGTTGATTTTGATTTCATTTGCGAGGGCGTTCAAATTTTCTTTTTTATTGTCTCGTCTTGAAAAAGTCTCAGAGCAAAGTCAATCTCGCTTGAAATAAGATGATTTGTTTAATCTCGCAAATTTAGGGATGAAATAAGATGATTTGTTTAATCTCGCAAATTTAGGGATGGTCAAGTCTCGAAATTTCGGGAAATTTTCGGGAAAGTTTCAATCTCGTTACACGAGACGAGATTACTTTTTGGCCGAGATTTTTATCGAGACGAGAATAAAAAAAAAAAAAAAAAAAAAAAAAAAAAAATTAAAAACGCCTGCAGAAAGTCAATGCAATACCCGCAATACAGGAGCGTGTTGTAGTTGCGTTTCCTTTTCGAAGGCGTTCTTATTTAATTAATTCTTTTAATGTAAATATTACTTTAATTCTTTTAATGTAAATATTACTTTCATTATTTTAATAATATTACTTTAATAACATTTGAGAAGTTTTGTTAAGTGTAAGCAGTGTGAGGAATGTTTTATTACTATAAAAAAAGTCAAAACAAGTAACTATTTTATAAAAATTAATATTGCTTTTATTTTATGATTTATTTTATTTTAGGATAAGTTGAACTCTATCCTAACTGTTATCACCATGTTTCCTAATCGTAGGCATTTTTAATAAGTTAGGCGTGATTAATAAAAAAATGTTATGCTGATGTTATTTAATGAAAGATTGTAAATATTCTTGCCTATTATCATTATTTTAGTATTTAAACAGTCATCTAACAATGTTACAAAATCAGGTAAAAATTTCGAACGTGCATTTCCCGTTGTGTATGAGAAGAGAAATCTCGTCTCGATCTCGTCTCGAAATTTTATGAGAAATAAAAAATCTCGTCTCGTCTCGTCTCGAACTAAGAATCCAATCTCGTCCATCCCTACGGCAAATTTCTCAAAAATTTGACACCCGTCCATCCCTAGCAAGATTAAATGTGTAGCATTGAGGTTGAGTGTTATTATAAACATTTTGTGTGCAAAATATCATAAATGGTAGTGGTTTTACTAGAGTTGTTCTCTGCTGTATTATGGACTGATGTGCTAAACAAGTACAAAACTTTTGTAGTATCTTCATTAAAAGACAAAATCACAGAAAGTTTTTCTGTGTGAGCATAGCTGTTCTTGAGTACCGTAATTGTACAATGGAATAGTAGAATGTCTTATAATATATGTTTATGTGTTTGTTTATGTATACATATATGGTATATGTCTTATGATTGTGCAAGACTCACTTGGGCTGTTTTCCTGAAATAATCAGCTGAAAGACACCGGCACAAGCACCTCTCTTGCCTTCCCAGTATTCTGGACTTGGGTCCAAACGCTCCAGCATATCAAATGCTTTGGCTGCATGCCAGAACTGGCCCATGCGGTAACAGTCATTGGCTATTACCTGCACCAAAAAATTAATGAATATGTCAGTTATATACTGTTTAAAGGAAACTGTTTCCTGACACTCTGCTTACCTAGGGCTGGCAGGTATATAGAGGATCAAGAGACAGGTTCCATCAAACAGAATACAATTGACACATTCATGAAACTATTTAGAAAACAAACTCATATATATTTTCTACTACTGGTGTGTTACCCTATCTTTCGATAGGGCTAGCTCAAAGAAGTAAAGTACAGACAAAACAAGTAAGGTTAAGCTAAGAAGCTGTAGTATGTTGTGCTAGAGCAATATACTTGTTACAAGATATGAAGAACCCAGGCACAAGCACTGTGCAGAAGTTCCTATTGCACAGGGCGTATGATCTTCCTGTAGTATTGTATGTAGGATGAACCGTTGTAGTATGTAATGGTGAGGTAGATGCAGCGGTATTGGACTTTGCCCTATACACCAGCCAACCAACGACTAGTGCTAGACACCACTTAAGTGCACCATTGAATGTTTCCTCTGTACCTTACTTCTCTGTGGGGCCAGTGTGTTTTAGACATCTGCAGCCAGGTTTACATGATGCTAGTCCGTGAGACAATTGTCAGAAGACAACTGACTGGCATTAAATTATTGGCTTTGTGTTAACACTTCAGGCCAATCACAACCACCCTGAAATTTAGACTGATATAACTGGCCTCCGACAATCCTGCAGTCACGTGATGACAATTGGCAAAGACAACTAACTGTCTTACCAACTGGCATCATGTAAACCCGTCTTATTGGTAGCTGGTAGCCCTCCTTTAGACTTTGCTATGGTTTTACTTTTTTCCAAAACACAGCCAGCATCTCAGTACGACCTTTCTTGTCTTTTTTTTTACCTCATTTATCAAATTTTTCTCCGTTGTCAATTAGGTCTGTTTCACATCTACCCGGCTGTCGGGTGCCGGATGTCGTTTAACCGGCAATGGGATGAAGAAGTATATGGGACCGTTCACATATGTACGGCATGTGTCGTTGACGGTTAATCACTTGCCCGGCTGCCGGGTACTAGTCGAGGGATGCCGGGTGCACTCTCGGCGAAGGCCGGCTGCCGGTGTCGGGTAAACAAGCCGGCTGGAGTAGTGGGTATAGCGGCCTAATGTGACTGACTGTTCACATACAACCGGCACCTGCCGTCTTTCGGGTGCACCAAGAGTACTTTTAGTTCAGTTGTTGTCTATTCTATAACCGTTGCTATACCAACCACGGCTCTGCTTTCGATATTTAAAGTGTCTAAGTTATGAAATTAATGTTATTGATATATTTTAATGGAAACAGCATGACATTTACAACGTAGGCCTATAGATGTTTTGTATAGATTTGGTGGCCTATTTGTTTATAAATTTGAACTGCTTAACATGTGTTGGATTAGTATAACTTAACATAACTTGCACTTCACAATGACTTTTTTTACATTTTAGGCAAATTTAGTGATTGTGTTTTGCTACGCATATTAATTGAACTAAAGAGAGTATCATAAAACTAAGTTTAACACGTAAAGTCAGAAGAGCATAATGTGGCGTGCTCCCGTGGCTCCAGTAGGAAAAACTTGTTCATCTATTTCACAGGGAAGAAAAGTGACAAACATTGTTTATAAAAATGTTCTCTAAAATTATTTAGTGACTGCAAAATTTGTGCAATAAAAATAATACAATCAAAATTCATGTTTTCGGCCCCTGGACTATAACATAACTATAACATTGTCTTAAAAATAATACTATTGTTTAACGTTTACCTTTCTATATTATAAACTCTATCATTATATACAATTTAATCAATGACAGGCTAATATTTATTTGATAGTTTTATCTATCAAGATATTTTATGATATTAAGGGGACACCCATTCTTCGAAACAGACTTTTCTTCCCGTTGCGAAGCACGGGTACAGCAGCTAGTCATCAATAAAACTTAAAGAAACTTATCTTGTGTGTTTTTATATGGTATATATGTTTATGTGTTGTTTAGGCTATATTTGGTCTTTCACTTGTTTGCATGTATTGATTGTTATGTAATTACATCAATAATGATTCTTTAGGAATGTCAACACCTTGTGTTATATAATTGTGTATGCAGATTATTACATATTCATAACAGACCTGTAGGAGACTGAAGGAGTCTGCTGAAGTTTCCATTTTGAGATAAAGTTCCCAAGCTGACTGTGGCTTGCCAGACATTATATCTGAAAATGTTTAAAGATCGTTAAAATAGCATATTTACCCTCGAACCTTAAACTTTCAGTATTATTCTAGGTCAGAAATCTAAAAAGGTGAACTAAAATTAGTATTGCAATTTGCACCTCGGCTTAAAGTTTTCAGCAAATTCTCGAGCTTTTCAAGATTTCAGTTACTTGAACATTTTTACTTGGTGAATTAGTTCAATTAACGTTTTTACATCATGAATCACCAATACTGATCCCTATTTCACAATTAAGAGGCTACTTATAATATAAATCTACTTTATCAGAGTTAGTTAAGAAATGTAGGACAAAACTTTTCACTCCAGTTTACCAGTAGATCGGTTAGGCTTAAAAGTATAACCGTGTGTTACAATGGTAAGTGTCAGATCGGCAATTATTAAAATACTCAAGATTTAATCGTTTACTTTAAATTAAATTTATGTACTATAGTAAACTTACAACATCTGGCGAGGTGACTGATGTACACATAGTCATTGTGTAGCTTCTCGTTTTGTACCATGAGAAAGATATCTTCAGCTTCTTTAAAGTGTCCAAGAGCTGCTTTTGCCTGAAATTGGATCATGATTATATTCATCAGTTATTCAATTAGCTGAACATACCCCCGTAGTAGATTTGTCATCCTTATGGATCAGCTGAAAACAGTTTAAAATATTTCTGTTCAGCACTGCTCGTGCTGTGCTTCACTGCCTTGGGGCGTGTTTTTGTTTGTTGGTTTTTTAAATCTGATTTAAAATCAGATTTCATCAAAATAAACGTTCTAATCATAAGCAATAGCACATTCCCTGGTTATATAACCAAAAAGTAGGGAATAAATCATCAAATTAACCTTAAAATAATAAAAATAAAATTCCGTCAACACTTTTGCCAAGTGTTATACAGGTAAACCTTCGATAGTTCGACACTCCTTGTAGTTCGACACGGGCTGAGCTATGTTGTCAAGTGATATTTAATGGTTACTATTGTGATATAAGCTGACTTGAACATTAATTTGTCATTTATTGTTGACTTGAGACTAATGAACAGTGGAATTGTTAAGCTTTTTAGTATTTATTTAATAAATTTGGGTGATTTCTGTATAAGCCTAAAACTTTTGTTTTTACTTTCCTGTATATTAAACTCCATTTACTCCCTATAGTTCGACATTTCAATAGTTCGACACCCCTTTGAGTCCACAAAGTGTCGAACTATCGAGGTTCTACTGTACAACTAGACATTTCACCCCTATGTTAAATTTGTAGGTAGCCAGTTTTTTTAACCATACTCGTTTTAGTTGATGTGAGATACCCACAGATTGTGCTGATCTAAATTGCTGATTTCTGTCGAATACACTATCTTTTTAACTAATTCAAATTAATTATGAATGACCCATTTTGAGCTATAGCAATTGTTCCATCAATTTGGTGAGCAACAAAAAAAAGTAGAAATTAGAGTTTTAGTCACTAGCGCATTATTTGACTGGCTCACACAACTACGTTTTATTGGCTACAGCCAGTCTATATAGATGGGACGTCTACTTCAGTATACAATAGTCAATAGTGTCACTAACTAAACTAGACCAGAAAAACAATCTTCAAAATTTACAAAGGGATGAGAAGTCTCATTTTTTGGTTTGTCTATGGTTATACCAGCTTTTATCTATAAAACAGTAACCAAGCTACATTGGTTACCCTAGTGAATGATCAATAATCATAAAAACATTACTACCTGGGCATAGTTGAAGTTAAATGCATCGTCATTGCAGTAGTAGCTCTTGATTGAGCTGAGGTACAACATGACATCGTCAAACTGACGTTGCAAGAAGAATGAGGAGGCCATGCACTGACGTCCTGGGATAGTGTCACACTCACTGGCACTGCTGCCCACCAGGTGAAAAAACTGCTGTGCTACCTTGATGTGTTCTCTCTGTGAACAAGAGTACGAGGTGTGGCTAGAAAATAGCAGGACTGCTTTTCTGTGTGATAAACCTTGCGAGCCTCAAGGTCAAACACCATATTGCCGAGTCGCCTGACATCCTCCCCCCTCCACATTCCAGCCACTTGGACGAGCTTTGCTTGCTCAGTCGGGCCTCAGCCTTCATTCCTTTTGGACCGTGTATATGCCGCTTGTCGGAAAAATGGTGTGCGTCTTAATTGAGCAACGTGTTAACGTGACATTTTTTGTGAAGCTGGGTAAATCCACAACAGAGACTAATTCTCTCTTACAACAATTTTTTAGGGAAGAATGTATGTCTTGGTCTTGTACACAAGTTTTTAAATGGCAATATATAAGTGTTTCAAAGAAGGGAGAGAAGATGTTGAAGATGAGCCCTCGAAGACGGATGAAAACATCGAGAAAATAGGCAAAGTAATCCCTCAAGATCGTCGATTGAGTATCCGTGCAATTGCCGAGACTGTGGGAATTGACAAAGAATAAGTTCGGCAAATATTATATGAAAATTTTAATATGAGAAAAGTGTGTACCAAAACGGTAATGTGTGCTGTACGTAAATTAGGTTACTGAAGGTCAAACCGTGAATAAAGAATACTATCTTGGAGTTTTAGCCACCCTCTGTGAGCGAGTGCGAAGAAAGTGACCAAAGTTGTGGAACAACAAGTAATGGATTCTTCATCAGGACAACGCCCTAGCCCACACTGCACTGGTGGTTAAGACATTCTTGGCCAAGCATGAGATCCCTGTGTTGGAAGATCCACCCTACTCACCAGACCTAGCTCTGTGTGATCTTTTATGTTCCCAAAAGTGAAGGAAGCGTTATATGGAACCAGATTCGAGACTGAGGAAGCTGTGACATAAAAAGCGAAGGAGACTTTGAACATGCTGACAGAAAATGACTTAAAACACTGTTTTGAACAATGGGAAATACGAATGTAAAGGTGTTGGGATATTCAAAAGGGAGGGAAGTATATTGAAGATGATAAGGTAAAAGTTGTTACGGAAAAAATTTAGTTAACTTACACTAAAAATCCTGTTTTTTTTTTCTAGCCACACCTGTAGTCTGGGCTCATTGTGTAGTCAAACTGCCCAGCATGTGGTACTGGTACTAATGTTGGACAGCCTTGAAAAACAACAGGAAAGATCAGTTCAATTACTGGTCTTATGCTAATGTAATATTGCTCACAACTGTAGCAGAATATTCACAAGCCTAACTGTCATACATAATCTTCCCAACGTGGTAAATCATGTGAAAATGGAAAAACTTACAGATCCAGTTTCCTGGCCAATCGCAACATTAACCACCCCCTTCAGTATGTACTCTTGAGGCACTGATGGCTCTAGATCCTTCACCAACATAAAGGCCTCTTTGTACTCCTCCTGTAAAACATCATGTTAAAAACTCAAAAATAATTGTAAGTTTCTCTTCAGAATTCAACATTTTGACATATTTTAACAAATGTACTGAATTTATTTAGTTATTTTTTTCTGAAGCAGCTTCTTGTTAATCATATTTGTCAAAGTAATCCTTTGACTAATTTGATAGTTTTAGTTATACTTGGGGTGCTTCACATTGCTTGCTCCAGTGTGCCACCCCAAGATGTTATTGATGGACACGTTTTGCATAGCGAATGAAAATAAATTTAGGTATCCATTTTGAACTATCAAATTTTTTTATTGTAGTTGGAATTAAGCTAAAGTATGTTAAAATGTTATCTCATGAACTAACACTTTTGGGCCAAAACCACTAAAAATTTAAATAATTCTAATAATTTAAATAAATTCTTTCATAATTCATAGAAATGGGGTTATGACCTGCTTGAGGTGGTAGATGACCAGATTGAGTCTGGCCTCAGGGATAACGTCCACCAGTGGAGGCAGCACCTGTAGAGCCGCCACCCCTCCTCTGAACACTACGATGTTGTGGCGGATCAAGTCATGCCCAAAACTAAACGATGCAGAACTTTGATCCTAAAATTAATCAAATAAAATACCTATATTACCTAAATATACAGTTAAAATATACAAAAATTTATTTATTATTTTGTTCTTTTGTTTCCTTTTTTTATCAGGGGGAATAGGTTAGTGTAAATATTGCCATATAATAATTTCAATCATTCTTTTCACCCAATTGCTTCCCTGTCCATATCCATTTTTTTAACGCTATGGAGTTTGCATTGTAACCATAAAGATATATAACTCCTGTTATCTGATTTATAAAAGGTTAGTTTCTCTTGCTAGACATTAATCAGGAATCAAGAGTTTAATTGCCTCTGACCTTAAGCTAAACAATTAGACAGAGTCACACACAAACATGTACAGTACTTTGAAGAACCCCCAATTACAATATGGGCAACTTGGCAATAAATTAAAATGTAAAGGGATAGTTACACAGTTCTTAAACTCAATTATACCTAGTGCTCTCAACAACTATCGGATACACTTTTGGCTTTAAAAATAAACTAAAAGTTACAACTCTAAGGGGACTTTAATAAAAACCAAGAAGACAATGTATTAAAGTTGTTTCTGTCAAAGCTTTCGGAAGGTACTGACATGACCGGTAATACTGTAGTAAAACCGGACAGATACTGAATCATCAACTGCTCATGTCAGTTCTAAACACAGCTCTAATAAACACCCCAAAAAGGCTACGGCAGACACATTTTACTGTTTTGTGAAGGGTATGAAAAAATAGTTTGAGAGGCCCTCCTTTATAATATGATAAAGCTATGTAGATTATCTACAGCTGTGGAGATGGTTTAACAGCAACCCCACAAATAATTTCTATATTAACAATCGAAAACTAACTCATGATACAACCCAAAATCTGTGTGCCAATTATTTTGTTTAGAAAGAAGTTTTTAAACTTATTAATCACCATTAAAGTTTTAATCTCTGCCTCAGCAGCTTTGCCATTGTAGAGACGGAAGTGGTTGCAGGCTTTGAGGTTGATGGCGATAGCAGAGTCTGGGTATTTCTGTAGGTAGACTGCCAGTACCTCCTGTGATACGTCGTAGTAGTCCAGCTTGTAGTAGCAGAGAGCGACGTATACATTAAGGGCTAGGTACTCTCTGTAATTTCATCATCTTAAACTAGAAATTCTTGTGACACTCTGTACATTAGTAGTCTAGCCTGTATATTGCAGAAATTTACTTACACAGCTAAGAACCTTGTCACTCCATGTATAAGAGATACATAGCACACTCTTGTAAGAGATACATGAATAAAGAGATGGGAAAACTCATGGCATGAAAAAAAACTATTTAAATAGCATTGTTGAGTATTTAGGTTTGCTGCTACAGGGAGGGTGATAAAGCGATTTTTAGTGAAACATAAATAGCTTACTATAAATTAAATAAATTTGCCAAAATTGATCAAAATATATCCAAAAACAAGCAAACTACAATAATTCACTTATTCCCTTTAAGAATAACATGGGAATTTTAAATTTGGTTACAATTTTTTGAGATTTCTCCAAGCCAATAAAGCACTTAATAACTCCCAATAAGTAATCCATAGTTAAAATAAAGGTCAATACTTTGACGAATTATTTAAGACTATAAAGAGTTTTAGGAGTTATTTAAAATTGGGGATATATGTTTATAACTAAAGAAAAATTTTGAAATAAAAATAATTTAATGTTAAATGAAGGTCCATGACTCATTTTTAATTAATGATTAATACAATTAAAGTCAAACATTTACTGAATAATATGAGACCAGAAAGAACTTAGTGACTTATTAAAAACCCGAGATATAAATCTTTTAATAAAAACGGATTTCTAAAATATTAAATTTAATATTGTGTTGGGGTTTGTAGCTCGTCTCTAACTTGCCCCATTTTAATTATCAATAACTGCATATCTTAGTAGTCCACAAGTTCTAATGTCAAAGAGTACGGTAATGCTTTGTTTGTTTGTTTCAATTTTTCATTTTTTTTAATTGAAACACACTGGCTTCATATTTTAACCTGAATATGATTTATGGATGAGTGATATCGTTATCATTATTTTTTGAGGCAGCCACGTACACCTAGGTGCATTCTTTAAAAATATTGCAAGGTCCCGAATTTGACCTAATTTAAATTTAAATTAGAGCAGGAAACGCTGTTACCGGCAGTGTCCACCCGCCGGCATGTTAAGGATGCTAGGTAGGGGTAGGAGCAAAAGATCTCCAAGACCCAGGATCAACCGGAATTCGATCGGCCAGCATGTAGCGCTGGTCACTTCCCTCTCTTCGTTACCTCCTAATAACCTAAAACCCGCTCTGGTCTAGCAAACCTATTGAGATAGTTAAACTTAGTCTTCGTACCCGTTTTGGACAGCAAGAGTAAGTATATTCCAATATTAAATTTACTTTACTCAATCTCTAACTTTGTAGTTAGTGTAGACTAATTAATGTATCGTATTTTGATTAAATATATTCTTAGGGGACGGACGAAACCGCTCACGTCCATCGTTATCCGATAGTATTTCAGCACTACTCCTGTAATTTATATCCATTAATTTATAATAACTGTACATATTTTTAATTAAATTGAAGTGTTAGGCGATGGGCAGAACAGTTCTGTCTACAAATTTAATTCATTGGCCGCACTATTTTAGGTACTTGTTCTTTAGTACGCTAAAATAAATCATTGTATTTTATTAGCCTAATAAATCAAGGTGGAACTCATAGGTGGCAGGCAAAACAGCTCTGCCTATATTAATTTGTGTTTTTTTTTTTTTATACCGATTCAGAATCTTAGTAGGTGATGGGTGGAACAGCCCTTGTCGTTATCCGTCCTGTCTTGTGATTCGTTAATAATTTAGTACAATAAAAACAATCTAATTCAGCTAAAATTTAATCAGGATATTTTTTCAACGTCATACTTGGACGAAGTAACTCAGGAAACCCAAATAGTTTGTTAGTTGTAAAATATATTTTTATATAGATTTTCTTTATTTACAATTTATTGGCTTTTATTAAAAAGGTGAAGTAACCTTTCAGTAAGGAGTAGTTTTATTTTGTGAGCGTAGGTAACAAACTAGTAGTAGTTGTAGTTTACGACTAACCTACGGTTATTTTAGGTGACGTAAGCTCCTTAGACCATCTTAAATTCTAATGAAACACGGTAGGGGATTAACCAGCTTTAATTTGGGCGATGATGATGACCAATGAATGACTAAAATTGTATGGTCTAAGCCCAGCCAATTAACAAAATCCAAATTGAACCCTGGACACACCCGACTAAGCATATCCAAGGCTTATAAGGTGTAGATTTTACTCCCTCGGAATTAACACCTTACAATATAAATTGAGATATGGGTGTAGAATGGCAAGAGATTCTGTGTACCTTGTTACAGACAAAGATCCTCTATTTCTACCGCTATTATATGAAATATTATTTAGCAATGAACAATGATCAAGGACAGCTGGGTGTGCAATACTGACCTGTTGTCCAGTAGGATCCGCTTGTAGATGTCGATGGCCTCCTGGTAGTGAGATCGCAGGTAGTGGATGCTGGCCAGGCTCAGCTGATCCTCAATGACATCCTGCAGATGCTGGTGATGCTCCATCAACTTCTTCTCATCTCCCAACTTGTGGGCCAAGTGGAACAACAACCTCGTCTTCAAACGACTGCTAGGGGCAGAATCTAGGATCTATAATGTTAAAAAGTAAAAAATAACCTAAGATATAATACTACTGCTCTAAATCTGAAGTGAAACAGCTAGAAAGTAAACCAGTAACCTGAGTAGGTTTCTCGAAGAGCCGCGATCGCTGTTCTCTAAGCCCATAGCGCATTAAATGCAAACTGCAGGCCTATATATAAGTAGGTTCAAAATATATTAGACTACCTGAGATTTGCGAGAAAGAACTCTAACTAAATATAGTTCTTCTATGGTCGTAATCACCTTAACTTTATCAGGAGGCGGAGACAGGGGTCATATGCTATAGTTGGTTAGCATTTTAGTTGTTTTGAGGAAGTATTCTAACCCTTTCTTAGTTTTAGCGAATTTCCCTATAAGGAAGTAGGTATTACCGTAGGTGGCACGGTAAGACCTAGGCCCAGGACCGATTTACTTTTTCCTTTTGATATCTACTATTGATGTTTACTATATTGAAATACTACTTTTCAAATGTTACTAAACATATTTTTATTTACTCTCCGTAAAACGATTAACTTTTATCATGCTGATTAAGAAGTTATTGACTTATTATGTACAGTATCATGACCTTCTCACTCTGTGGGTACATTCCCAGAAAGAAGTAGCAACATGCCAAGTTGACAGCCACATCGTCTGATGGAGGCAGGGACTGGTATACTGTTAGGGCACGTTGGTGGTCACCCAAGTGGAAGGCGCAGTAGCCTAGCCAGTAGTTAGTCATTTCATTACCTCTTCCACTGCTTTGATCAAACTAACAAAATAAACAAAAAACTTTCATTGTAGCCTATTAAAAATTTGGCAGAAAAATTTTAAGTATGATTCTTGATAGTCCTAAAACACAATGAAGAAAACATATCCCAGCCAAATAGACCCAATAGATAATCAGATTAAATTATGTTGTATGGACATTCACTGGATTTGATGGTAAAAACCTTAAGTCCACATTCCACATGTTAATTATTAAAATTTTCAGCCTTGATTAGATTTTTGTATCTTGTACTCACTCATGTTGTTTCTGTTTAGATAATGATACTCCCCAGTATTAAGTTCAAATTATATTTGCTGCAGATTCAATATTTTGTCCAAAAATATCAGAAAACTTATGAATCACACTTTGGAGTTTTTGGGTGATTAAGTAACCCTCCATGGGGAGCATCGAGACACAAATAATTACATCATAGGTCGTTTTGGCCAAATAATTAACATTTTTCATTAAAGAAAGTAAAATAAGTAGCCTAAAGATGTTAACCTGTCTTGGTGTAAAGGAATGTTATAATAAAAAAAGTTAAAACATTTTTTGAAAACCTACCTTGTAGAAAAAGAAACGTACAGTTTGAATAGATTTATGTCTGGCTGATAGCATTCTCATTTTTTTTATACAGGGTGATTTTTAAATGAGTCCCTCCCCTACTTTGTTCTACATTTCTTGAGATATCAACTCCGGTCCATGTCAGATCATTGTAGAGTAGTAAGTTCTTCATTTAGACTGGGTATAAATGTTTGGCCTCCATCATGGATCAGCCAAATTGGATACAAAGTTTTCTTTTCAAAAGTAAAGGTAGGGTTGTGACCCATCATTTCAAACTATAATTTTACGCTGAGTACAATACCGCAATCCGTTTTTCAAAATATTGATCAGTTGAAAAGTTATAACAAATTTTAAAAAAATAATTTTTTGAACCAGTTTGTTTATAACCTAATGATAAAATATACCTCTAGTCTCAATAATTGCTAGAAAAGGAAAGAAATCTAACATTTGTGGGTCATATTTTCTTTTTTTTGACGAATTGGACATTTTCAGCCACCATCTTTGGATCCGCCATATTGGATACAAAAAATGATTTTCAATAATGTAAGGGTGGGGTTGTGACCCATACTTATAAACCAGATTTTTATTTTAGATGAATACGATGCTGCAATCTGTTTTTCAAAATCTTAATCCGTTAACAAGTTATTATGAATAGGGTATTCTACTATAATTTTTGTATACATTTTTATACGACGCAATGTTAGAATTTGCCCCTAATCTCCTAAATTTGCTAGAAAAAACTACAATTAAGAGTTAAGACTCTGATTGTTGTAAGGTCAAATTGGCTTCATTTTAACGAAGTATTAATCTTCGGCTAATACACAATTTTCTTTCAAAAATTCCTAATAACTTTTTAACGGATTAAGATTTTGAAAAACGGATTGCAGCATTGTATTAAACGTAAAAATCTAGTTTGAAACTATGGGTCACAACCTCACCTTTACATTTGAAGATATTTGTTAGTAGTTTGTATCCAAGATGGCTGCCAAAAATGTATACCCAGTCAAATTGAAGTACTTTCTACTCTACAAATGATCTGACATGGCCGGAGTTGTTATCTTAAGAAATGTAGAAAAAAGTAAAGGGGAACTCATTTTAAACTCACCCTGTATATTGTGTAGGCCTACCTTATTTATCAAATGTTATTAGTTCTTATATTTGACGACTGAGATGTATAATTGTAAAAATTGTTACCTATTCAGAGAATAAACGACTTACGACTTAAATATGATATCTAAATTGTGTTATTGATTCCAAAACATAATTTCACTATAACAATACAAAACTGCTAAAAGTAACTGGATAAAAATATTAACTGGTGTAAATAATAATAACGTTAGGCTAATGTTGAACTTTATGAAAATACGTTACCTATGTACTGTATTTTAATTGAATCTTATTATAAGATAAAGAAAGTTCAATTACATTAGAGCTAATTTACAATTGTATCGTACTGGTATGACTAAATTGTAATAAACTGATCTGACAGAGAAATAAACATTGGCACACACCAATCTCTCTAAAACCTGACATTGAATCTCCCTTTTCATCATACCCATTTTCTTAACGCTATTTTAAACACATTTTAATTGCATATCAAATCACTTTGAAATTTAAAGTAAAAAATTCCAAATCAGGCTGTATATGAAGCTATTAGGTACTGATTACATCTATTTACTTTTCACCCTGATATCTTTAAGCTGGAAAAGACTTACAGTACTATGTAGTTACCTCCAATATTGTGATTGCTCCATTGTAGTCCCTCCTTTGAAGAAAATCTTCTAACGAGGGAGTTTGTTTGGAGCTGCCTTGTTGATCAGAAGACCCAGCGCCAACAGCTGGCTTGACTCTTGACAGAATCTGGAGTGGAAGCAATATAGTTTAAAGAATAAATGTCCAAAGGGTTGGAGATAATTTTATTTACAACATTGAAAGTGCTAGGATATGTTATACCAATCAAGAAAAATCTACTCAGACTGTGCAGACACGTCAAGTTTTTGTACAGAGTAAATAACTAAAAGTAGGTATATAGCCTATTTCAAGTTAACTAATTAATTAGAAACAGGAGGGGGAGGAAGCAGCAGGCAGATGTGAGATGAGCAACAGATTACTCAATTAGTTTACTTGTATGTCATTGGAATTAATTGATGAACTGGATTTTTTTTTTAAAAGACAAACCAGTACCCTACAATTTTGATGAGGGATATATGATCCCTTTCTACTTCGTAAACGTTTGTAGTTAAGAATTGAATATACCTAGTTATTTGTGTAACAAGTTTGCAAAGTGGCACTTTGCTGCACATGAGAGAAACGTTTACGCACGAGCCTCGGGCGAGTGTGGCAAGTTTCTCGAGTGCAGCAAATGCACTTTGCGCACGTGTTACACATTATATTTTTCCTACAGTTACTATAAAGCATAGTAATAAGTATTCTTTCAAACACTACACAACACAATTTATCCAAGCGTTGAACGAAATGGCAAACACTGTACCAGCTGATTGTAGTCAGTCGTAACTTAGTACCTATCTTTAAGTGTGGCCAACTAATTTTCAAGCGTACGTACGTATTAAGTGCCTAATAAAAACACAATGATTTGTGTTGTTTGGTTGGAGTACTGGAGTGCGGCAAAAGTATAAGTAAATGCAGCAATTAGCTACTTTGCATGTTATGATCATAGTACAAGAAAGCCTGCTTTGTCAGGTAACTGTAGGAAAATGTTATTTTCTCGTCAAACTATCTTTTGATGTGAGTTTCACGAACAGGTTGATTGAATAAGAGCTTACATAAAGGATCTCATTTCTCAACTAACTTAAATGTTTCTCTCCTAAAGTTTAAAGGTAAATATGATAAAATCTGTGCTTTACCATTTTGTAATATTATAAGATGGCTTAAGCAATTTTTTTCAGTTAACAACTATCCTACCTACCAAAGTAAGAGTAAGTTAGATTAATCTATTTGCAAGTTTTTAAACAGGTGTAATAGGTTAAGGAAGACTTGGTTTGGTACTTAGGTTAAATTTTAATGGATGCAATATGGCATTGATAAATTGTATTTTAATCATGATAGGGAAGGTGAATTAAATCAAAACCTAAATCCTAATTTACTAAAAATCTATAGGCTTTATAAAAAAAATTAAATGTTTGGGCTTGGAGTTTGTTTTGATACCTAAAATTAGGGTGGTAGAAATTAATAATAATACTGGTTATATATATACAAAATTATAGTTTAAATAGAAATATGGACTTACCATTAGATTCGTTACCTATTTAGTTAAAAATAACTGTACGTGTAAGACAATGTCCTAAAAAGAAAAGAAAAGGGTTCAGATTTCAGAATGTATGTTATGGTATCCACACTCCACAGACAACGACAACAACAGATGAGGTAACCATGGCAACGTATTGTTATTCAGTGGTATTTACTCAGGGGAGGTATAGATTAGGTTTACTCAAGGGAGTTACAGAAGAGCCTTCGATGACGTCAGTGTCGGCTGATAATCCGAAGGTGCCGGGTTCGAATCCCGCTGGCAGCACTAACTTTTTCTCAACAATTTTTTTCATACAGTATCAGCAAGTTTGGTTGGTTTGGTTAGGTTATGACGGTTTAATTAATTGAAACATTTTAAGATTAATTTTATAATTTTCTTAATTTTATAATTAACTAGGAATAATAGAAGAAAAAATTACGTGCTGTGCTCTCTACTACAACGCTGTTAGCGGAGGAATTTTGAACTAAACTATGATATCATCGTTGTTACCTCATTTGTACCTCCCTTAATTTAGACCCCTTTAACGCTGTAGTAATAATAGAGATCGATGTTTTTTTAACTAAAGGAGTTAAAGGAGGCCGTGGCAACTTGTGTTTATAATATCGATGGTGGCAACAGGGAACAGGGAATGGGCACACGGGAGGGACTAAGGCTAAAAGTGTAGTGACGTCATATCTCTAGTAGCTAATGCATAAACGATTACCGTAACGAAACGATGTGATTGCAGCGGCGTTCGTGGCATAGTTGGTAGCGTTTGGATTTGGTGTTCAGGAGGTCCCGGGTTCGAATCCCGCTGGTAGCTCTAACTTTTTGTCAACAAATTTTTCATATCAGCAAGTTTGGTTGGTTAGGTTAGGTTATGACAGTTTAATGTTATAATACTAAATTTTAAAATTAATTTTATAATTAATTAAAAATTATAAGTAATCATTAATTAGATTTTTATCTTATACAGTTTTTAAATTATCAGCAAGTCTGGTTGGTTAGGCTATGTTATGATGGTTTTGTTTTAAAAATTAAAACTTTATTTTATAATCTTAAAACAATATTTTATAATTAAAAAGTTAATTTTAAAACTAAAAATAAAAAAAATTAAATTTTTCAACTTAGCGGTTCTAGCGGCGAACGCTGACACTACAAGATATATTAGCCTTAGTCCCTCCCGTGTGCCCCTCCGCAGAGAACAGACACATACGACGTTCACGTCATACATATATTCAAGTGTTTGTTTGAGTGAGTCGTGACATAACCTCAACTTATTTGATCGGATCGCTCAAACTCAAACAGTAACAATAATTTTAAGTTATTGCTGTGACACTGTGTTACAATTATTGCGTTTTACTAAGGTCTCGTTTTTTAATATAGCAAAACATTAATTAATCTCTTATCTCAGTGTTATAGAATGCTAAAGGGTGTTAAGAATGTGGTTTTGGTATTATCTGGAAAGGGTGGAGTAGGAAAATCAACTGTTAGCACACAACTTGCTTTAGCCCTAAAAGAGGAAGGCTTTAAGGTAGGCCAATGGTGAAACTATTTAGTGCATATTTTTCATTGGTATTTGTTTACTTTAGGGGCTTCCAACGCATTTTGAAAAAAATTGTTTTTCTCATTTTTTGAGCGGAGCGAGCGAAGCTCTTATACGTCGACTCTTATGCATTTCGTAATACGCAAACTCCTCCTAGACGGCTGAATCGATCGTTTTCAAATTTTGCATGGTGATAAAGACCATATCGGTGAGTGCCAACATCTATATGGCGTTAAAAAAGTCTCTCAGGAATCCGCCCCACTGGGTCTCAAAGTTTCAATGTAATCCTTATGGAAGCAGTATTTGACACATAAACAAAAACACAGATTCATCAACACAACAGGATGATCAGCTGTTGACTTTTGAATGCAGTAGATAAAATAGCTGATAGCATTATTCCACAGATATTAGAACAGAAACGGTATGGATCATAATTATAATCAAATGACGACACTAGCTTGAGGTCCGTGACGTATAAAGTGGTGAAGGAAGTATTAAAGGTGAGCAGTCTGGAGTGTGGGAACTGTTTATGACGATTAGATTAAGGTATCTGAATTCCTAAAATTCTATAGGAAGGGAGGAAAACAGGTCCGCGACGTAGGAAGTGGTGAAGGAAGTAGTAAAGGCGAGCAGTCTGGAGTGTGGAAACTGTTTATGACGATTAGATTAAGGTATCTGCATTCCTAAAATGCTATGGGAAGGGAGGAAAACAGGTCCGCGACGTAGGAAGTGGTGAACGAAGTAGTCAAGACGAGAAGTCCGGAGTATGGGAACTGTTCATGACAATTAGACTAAGGTATCTGCAATCCTAAAATGCTATGGGAATGGAGGAAAACAGGTCCACAACGTAGGAAGTGGTGAAGGAAGTAGTAAAGGCGAGCAGACTGGAGTATGGAAACTGTTTATGACGATAAGATTAAGGTATCTGCATTCCTAAAATGCTATGGGAAGGGAGGAAAACAGGTCCGCGACGTAGAAAGTGGTGAAGGAAGTAGTAAAGGCTAGCAGTCTGGAGTGTGGAAACTGTTTATGCAATTAGATTAAGGTATGTGCATTCATAAAATGCTATGGGAAGGGAGGAAAACAGGTCCGCGACGTAGGAAGTGGTGAAGGAAGTAGTAAAGGCAAGCAGTCTGGAGTGTGGAAACTGTTTATGACGATTAGATTAAGGTATCTGCATTCCTAAAATTCTATGGGAAGGGGGGAAAACAGGTCCGCGACGTAGAAAGTGGTGAAGGAAGTAGTAAAGGCGAGCAGTCTGGAGTGTGGAAACTGTTTATGATGATTAGATTAAGGTATCAGCATTCCTAAAATGCTATGGGAAGGGAGGAAAACAGGTCCGCGACGTAGGAAGTGGTGAAGGAAGTAGTCAAGGCGAGATGTCCGGAGTGTGGGAACTGTTTATGACAATTAGATTAAGGTATCTACAATCCTAATATGCTAGGGGAAGGGAGGAAAACAGGTCCGCGACGTAGGAAGTGGCAAAGGAAGTAGTAAAGGCTAGCTGCTTGGGGTGTGGGATATGTTTGTGACGATTAGATTAAGGTATCTTCAATCCTAAAATGCAATTGGAAGGGAAGGAAACAGGTCCGTGACGTAGGAAGTGGCGAAGGAAGTAGTAAAGGCGACCTGCTCGGGGTGTGGGATCTGTTTGTGACCATTAGATTAAGATATTTGCAATCCTAAAATGCTAGGGGAAGGGAGGAAAACAGGTCCGTGACGTAGGAAGAGGTGAAGGAAGTAGTCATGGCGAGCTGTCCGGAGCGTGGGAACTGGAAACCGTTTGCAGCAGTTTTAATGTATCTGCAATGATGAAATGCTATGAGAAGGGATGGAAGCATGCTCACGACATAGGAAATGGTGAAAGAAGTAGTAAAGGCTAGCAGTACGGAGTGTGGGAATGTTTGTGGCAATTAGATTAAGGTATCTTAAAATACTAAAATGCTATGGAAAGTGATGAATACAGGTCCACGACATAGGAAGTGGCTTAAGAAGTAGTAAAGTATGAACATCAGCATAGTGTGAGATTCGTCTGTGGCAGTTAGATTAATATATCTTCAATACTAAAATGAAAATGCTATGAAAAGGGAAGGAAACAGGAAAACAGGCCCCATGACGTAGGAAGTGGTAAAGGCTGGCAGTGCAGAGTGGGGGAACCGTTTGGGCAGTTAGATAAATGAATCTGTAATACTTAAATGCTATGAGAAAGGAAGGAAACAGGTCTGTGACGTAGTAAATGGTAGTAAGGCTAGCAGTGCAGAGTGTGGGAACAGTCTTTGGCAATTACATCAATGTATCTGCAATCCTAAAATGCTATGGGAAGAGAGGGAAACAGGTCCACGACGTAGGGTGTGGTGAAGGAAGTAGTAAAGGTGAGCAGTGTCGAGTTTGGGAATGGATTAATGTATCTGCAATGCTAAAATGCTACATGAAGAGCCTGTAGACTGTATGTTAAAATGATTACGAAGCACGAATCGATACATATTTTCGTTACATGCAATCGTTTACAATCTAAATTTACAAACTGAGTTGACAACAGCTGATTTTTACTAAATAGAGGCTAAAAACGATTTTTACTCTCTAAATAAAAAAAATGCTACTTTAGACCCGCAACGCATGCATTAAAAACTACTATTTTTACTGCAGTATGACAAAAACAATATAATATGAACCCTTGATGACTCCGCTCAATTTTGTGGATGCCTCTGCGAACGCCACCTAGTTAACTTAGCCTAGGGCCTATTTTGAACACTTTGGGCCTAGATTTGGCACTTTAGGGGCAAACGCCTATTTCACCTTGAAAATCGGCGTTTTTTTAAATAGCCTTCTTTCAGTAAGTTTTACTATTACTTAAGACATTTTAAACACTTTTCCCAAATAATAGGCCTACTGTATACTTAATCTAAGTAACCTATCTAACTTAACCTAACCCCCGCTGGCCCCCCTCCCGGCGGGCCTGAACTGTCTAATAACTTAGGGGTTTCAGAATGGACCCAAGGGTACTGCATAACCCCTAGTAAAAAGTGGGCGGGGGAAAATTTTAAAAATGGCAGAGGATACACGTCCGGTAACCAGACGTGGATTAGACGTCCGGCAATTACTGTCATAACCTAACCAGATCAAACTTGCTGATAATGAAAAAATCGAATTAAGGTTATATTCTTTATAAAAAAAATTATAAATGCCAAAAATTCTAATAAAAAATGTACAGTTAAGAAGAAATGGTATTCAATGCAAAATCTTCGACAAAAAGTTAGTCACCAATGGGATTCGAACCCTGGACCTCTTGCATATCAGCCGAGCACCTTATCCACTACACCACGACCACCGATGGCTGATCATTGTATTGTTGTGGTAAAGGCGTTCCAGGCTCCCGCAACCCCATGACGTCATTGCCGGACGCCTTATCCACGTCCGGTTACCGGACGCGTATCCTCTATGTTGAAAAATATAGGCTATGTACAAAATGGTAGATTACAAAATGCTGGTGGGCCTAACTAAATTTACTTTGTATAGATTTAGGCAATTTTTTAATTAGGCTAGAGGTTGAATACTTAAATTCCCCAGTAAAAACAAAACTAAAGTGGTTTAAATACTTTTTTACATAGGCTACGTTTTATCGAGGAACACACAATGAGACATCATTTAACCAGGTCCATTGTTTTAGGTTGGATTGCTTGATATTGACTTATGTGGTCCAAGTATACCCTACCTGCTTGGCCTAGAGAATCAAGAAGTTCACCAATGCAGCGAAGGATGGGTTCCAGTATATCTAGATGCAGATCAAAAGCTGGCTGTAATGTCAATAGGTTTTCTCCTTAAGTCCCGAAATGATAGTGTAGTCTGGAGAGGTCCCAAAAAAACAGGTAGGCCTAAATGAATAAAAATTATTTTCTTCTAATTAGTTTAAAAGAACAGCACAAAAGGCTGCACTTTCCTTTATGTCCTACACTCATTCGAATTAAAATTTTGATTATTCGATTGTTTCATTTGCTATATCGTTTGGTTAGTTAGGTTAAGCGCCACCTACCAAACCACCACCACCAACCACCTTGGCGCCAACCTTGGTGGTGTTTGGTTCACCTTACCTAACTAACCAAACGATATAACTTATCGGATACCTAATCGATATATCGATCGATATTTTCATATGAATGAGTGTTGGATTTGTAAAGTGCAGCCGCACAAAAATACATAATTGCAAAAAATAGGCTACTGGTTTGGATATAACATATTATGGAAAGTAAATGAAAGAACCCCTTATAGCATCTTATATTAATTTTGCTCGGAAAGAACAGGAGAATCTAGAAATAGGTAGTAATTTAATAATGATTTAGAAAGTGTATTTTTTCAGTAAAGTGAAAAAAAATTAAAAAATATACCTATAATTAATTTCAAAAGCAGCCTCGGTAAAAATTTTTCTACAGATTTCTTATGGGAAATTCATTAGGCTATATACATTTTGTAGACAATCTAATTCCCTACATAGAAATATATAACATTTTAGGAAAATATTTTTTTTATAAGTTTTTGGGGTGAAATATAATAACAAACGGAGAACCGAAAAAATTGAAAAACATAGCCTACAGTGTTAGTTTGTGTTGTAAAAAGTCATAGGCTAATATATGTGTATACTAATAATGATATATGTTTGTAAAGATAATAAAGTAAGGAAGCCATAAAGTTTATGGTAAAAATAGTTTTTATTCATAAATAAAATAATATTTTTGTATTTTAGCGTTTTTGTGAGGAGAAAAAAATTTACAGTATATTTAGTAGGCCTAATACAAATTTTGTACCAAATGTTTTTAACTTCAAACCAACATAATCATCTTGTAGTGTATTCAATTACCTACATAAAAATGTATAACACGTTGGGTAACAATTTTTGTTTTTACGTGTAGGGGCATAATAATATAAATAAACGGAAACCGCAACGCAAGAAAAATACAAAGTTTTATAAACACAATTTCACACTATTAAGTGCATAATAAAATGCATGAAGATTACTGTTATATACACGCACACATTTCTCTAACAATACGAAATAATAACGAATTTAGTAATAAATTGCGGATAAAACGAGAGCGAAAACTCACCGGCAACAACACGCAATGGCGAATACAAGGCACTTTGTGTATGAGACCTTGACAGTAGTGACGCACTTTCGTCGTCTTAGTGAGAGAAAACAGAAATAACCCTGAGCGCAGGGCTGCCACTATCACAAGCTAAATTTCTTCATCTTCAAAATGACATACATTATATGACTAGTAATAATAACTTACACTGTATGTAATTCGTATTTTCCGTACTAGCGTATTATGCTGGTTGGCCATTTGTTATAAATTTCGAAAACAGCTGTTTCAATAAAATCGGACCTGTTGTGCAATCAATATTTCGCTCTAAATATCAATACCACAATGAAGATAAAATCAATGGCTATCCAGTGGTACAACCCACATCATTCCAAGACGAAAATTACCGGAGCACTATAATGCCAAACAAGTTGTGTTTTGACAGTTCCCAAGTGTCAGCTGCTTAAGTCGTGCTGCGCCAAAAATTCATTTGATTTCTAATCGTCGTGACATTGTTATATACCTGCTACAGGGTTTGTTTATATAATAAAATGAAAGTTCAGAATGTGATCTTTTAAATGGTATTATTATTTATTTTTTATTATTCTTTTGTCGAAGGAGCCGAAACTCCCCGACGACCACCCGGTACCTATTTGCACTTAACTCGGGACCCATATTGTCGGTCGGAGCTAACACACCAACCTAGGAGACACCATGGGTGGATGACTTCGGAAAGAAGGTTGCCCCTCAATCCTAACCAGGGATACCAGCTATTTATTCGCACGCACACTCCAATTGGGTTCCACCAAGGCCGAAGCCCTGAAGGACCATAATGGAAAGCCCTGAACGCAACACAGTGCAAGCAACACTCTGGACCTATCTAATCCCTGACAGGCCGAAACCCGCCATCAAAGCAAGGAGGAAGGGGACTGTCAGCTTTCCAACCACCCATTTCCACCACTACGCGATCGAGGCCAACCCATTACTGGGAAACCAGGGATAACCCAGTGCGATAGATCCCCAGATACCTCTAGCGGGCTTGATCCCAGCACCCGATCTACCTACTTCGTTTGCCCATCTAGCCCAACATCACTGCCAGGCCATCAGGGTTTCCCAAAAGGAGGCAGGTATAGAAGTGGGACCCACCCGGATAAACCTATCCACCAAAGGTGGCGACACCCTTAACTCAATTGAGGTTCCAGGGAGAACCCCCCACACTCTAGATAACCATACCTTCCGGGTTCAGAGACAGGGATCGGCTGATGGAGTGCGCCATGCTGTTGCCCTCACACTGCGGAAAGTTCCGTTCCCCTAGAGTGTCCCCGTGAGCTTACGCGTACTCGCCCGATTTCACCTCCAGGAAAGGCTACTTCCAAAGTCGAGGATTTGCCACACAAAATGTTGATCGCACACAACAAGCTGCCCAAAACCCATAGAACCACAGTCACAGGTAGATGGGAGAATTGATGGCGCACTTCCACCTCTCAAAAATTACAAAAAATGTTGTGTTTACGGACTTAAATCTATATATATAATATATGTTATTTCAGATTTGCTTCAACTTGCAAGGCACTCTCGATAACAATGATAAATAGCCAGTAAGAATTAGAATTACAAAGAAGCTCCATATGAATTGTACTACAGCTGGTTGAGTAGGCCGAGATTGGGGCGTTGTATAATTTCCTTTGCCACATCCTTGTATTAGAAGAGGCTATGTCGTTTGTTAATTTAGATTCTCCCTAACTGGTTTGTTTCAATTATGGGGTTACGTCTCAATTTGTAGCCTATTTAAGACCTTTCACAAACGTTTTGTTGATTGCAAACACTCAAATGTTTTTCTAGCTTTATTCACAATTTCCATCACACCCTATGTCGTATTTCTATAACATATTGTACTGACTCATGTATAAGTTATCTAAAATAATTCAAAAAGATCCGATAGAAAACAATGTTTATTGACAAAGGGTTTCATAGTTGATGCTCCAGGATCTCCAAAATCAGGTGTTTCTTAATACGTCTTACGATTCCACTTGAAAATTCTCTAACCTTCCTTTTGTTCAGGCTTGTGATAGGTTGTATTTAGTCAAGGTTGGGTATTTGCAGTCAAGGTTGGGTATTTGTATTCAAGTTTGGGTATTTGTCTCCACGGTCGAGCCAGAACGACTGTTTCTTCAGGTAGATAGAAGTACAGTAGAACCACTCATATCCGGCCTTGGTTTTACCGGTCCTCTGTTTATCCGGCCCCTTCCCAATATCAACATTTTTTTCTAACAGCTTACAGACGTTTAGATGCAGCCACTAGTCTTTGTGACTGCTTAAGTCATAAAATAAATTGTTCTCATTATTTATCTGTTTGTTTATACATTTATTTGCTGAGTCACTATACTCAGTTGAGCTAGTAGGCTTAACCTCTGATCAGTTGGTTGATTATATTTCCAAAGTGGGTTTAGTACAGTAGTACGAGTAGGCCTACATTAATTTTTGTATTTCACAAAATGGTTAAGAATGTTGAGTAGGCCTAGAAATGCAAGTACCATTTAAGTCCTAATGATCTTTAAGTACAATTTATTGTCATTTTTACCTCCAATTAATATGTTTTGTTACCTGGAATCATAATATTTGTACTAATGACTTTGACCTACAAATATTTTTTTCCTTTTTACAAACATGTTTTTTTTTCTAAAAATGATCCCAGAACAGAATTAAATGATACTTTTGATTGCATATATTGATTACCTATTATTATTAGGTATGAATTGTCATTTTCATAGTATGTTGGTTTATCCGGCCAAATCGTTATCCGGTCAGGGGCTTGGTCCCGTGGTGGCCGGATATGAGGGGTTCTACTGTAAGAAGATTTCTTGTGATTTCTCTATTCCCCTTCTTTTTCATGATGTTCCTCAGTAGCTTTGTTCTGATTACTGAATGTGTTCTCTTGTGAGCTGTTGGTCGACTCTTGGCAGGAAGTTTATTCAAGATCTAGGAGGTTGACGCTTTATCGGAGATTTGTATACTCTCACATGGCGTCTCTCTTTGTTTTTTTGCTGCATATTTTAAATTTCTGCTCCATTTTTCCTTCCCCTGCAGCACCTTCACCCCCTAGATGTTGTTGGGGGTGGAAGGAAGGTTGTGTCAATCTATTGCAGCAGGTATTCCAGGAAAGGAGCTGGTGGAGGTGGACGTCCAAATACTTGCTCCAAAATCCAACATATGGTCAACCCCACACCCACACCTGCCAACCCCACCAGAATAAGAATCATGGCCATTGCTTGTTTACTTTTCAAAAATATTCAACAAAGAGCCACTTGAATGATATCTCTCTATAAAATGAGTTGTCTCTATGGATTCATAGTTATTTTTGTTGTATTTTAATTTGCCTGTAGCAAAACTACTATTTATCTAAGTGAAGTGAGTGGGTTATAAAATGTTTGCCTAAAAATGTGTCGGTTATGGAATATAAATACCTTCCTTAAAATGAAATCTGACTAGCCAACTATAAATAAACTATAAAAAAAAATTTTGTGCAGGAATATTATAATTTAATTTAAAATCTAGTTCAACTTAAGTAATATAATACAGCTTTATAACGTTTAGTATGATTTGTATACAATAAAACAAGTACAGCTTTAATAATCATCGCAAATAATGATCAGTAGCCTAAGTTGTCCTAAGTTGTTGATGGCAAGGTAGGCTTCGTAACCTTTTCTATTGTAATAATTGTATTGTTCTTGGAGGCAAACAATGAATGCTATTCTATAGCCTGCCTTTGTATAGCTTCATTTAGATCAGTTTTATTTCAATTTCGATTAATACCGATGGTGAATTTTAGTAATTATGGTGTAGATATTAGAAAAGTTTACATTGAGAGGTTAGTATATCATTCGTCAACATTACTTTGATCTTTTAAAATCCAGTCCGGTTAAAAGGTGTCCGGATATGAGGGAGTCTACTGTATAGGTGACGTCCCCATCCCAGTGGTTGATAGTTGATTGTTGCCTTTTAAAATAAAACTAATGCAGCTCCTACCCTAATACTAATTCATTTTTTTTACAGGAATGATTAGACAGTTTTTAAGTGATGTTTATTGGCAAGATATTGATTATCTAGTAATTGACACACCTCCTGGCACCTCCGATGAACATATCACAGTCATGGAAAATCTAAGGTGAGAAAAGTAAATTGAATAAAAGAATTGTTAAATGCTGGTGATTCTGTATGAATTTTAACTAAGTAGCCTACACAGAAAAACTGTGTACCAATTTACATCTGAATTTGAAAACAAAGCTCTTAATTTTGTATAATTGTTACATTACTACTACAGTTTAAAAAATTCCAAATTTGTATTTAACTAAATCTAATGGTTTTATATCATAGCTCATTAAAATAACAACTTTGAAGAGACTTAAATAATAAAGCACTTAAACTAGAACACAAAGCTTGATAGCTGAGAAGTTATTAGTACCGGTAGCCTACTTGCCTAGCAATCAGAAAAGGTTGCCTGTTTCATTCACTTTGACACACATCCAATACTCTGGAACTTGACGTTATGAGACTTTTCTATTAGCCTATTTCTGTTTTTGACATAATAAAACTTAATCATTCTCTCGCACATTATTTAACATAAATATTTTCAGTAGGACTGTTATGTTCTGAGATTATTCATGAGGCTTTGGTTGGACATTAAATAGACCTTAATTAAACCTATAATCTAAAAAAAGTGAACTCAGTATAAATCGTTGTTAAAACTTTTTTAAATTTTACGAATCTAATAACAAAATATTTAATCTCCATTTTCCTTACAGAACTTTAGGTTGTCAAGGAGCTATTTTGGTAACAACTCCTCAAGCCGTAGCCATTGAAGACGTAAGGAAAGAACTGACCTTTTGCCGCAAAACTGGTATACCAATCATAGGAATATTGGAAAATATGAGTGGATATGTTTGTCCAAATTGTTCGGTAAGTTACATTTATTAATATTATTGGATAAGAGCAAATTGGTATTTTTTTAAACAAAATTCTCATTATCTACTGTAAGGCTTTTGATGAAACGTTCTTTTTTTACGTATTACTTACTTACTCCCATGGCCATTTATACCCCAAGTCTGATACCAACACACTGCCTCCACGTCGTCTTGTCTTTTGCGGTATCTCCGTCCTGGCCATATCCTTCTTTACTTCATCCGTCCAGCGTTTCTTCGGTCTCCCCAGTGGATCACTTTTCCATATTTGATGTAATGAGCTTGTTTTACGTATTATGCATAGGATTGTTTTTGAGAAGTTCAGTTAAGACTCTGTCCACTTGTCTTTAAAACTTAAGTTTACCTTATAAAATAGCTGTTTTTGTAGTTTATAATTTACTTTTCATAGTGGGATTGACATGCTACTCCAAACGTGTCTTCACTCCAAGAGTCTAAGCTTTAGATAAAAATTATTTTTATGTTCAAACTAATGACCTAAACTGAAAGTTGAATAGCCTACATAACCATTCAGGTACGGTAACTTAATACTTAGAATGCCATGGATTTATCAGTGTATTATTGCTACATCACACAATAAATACATAGCACTGTACATCTAGGTCAGGTCTAGACTGCTAGACTGACTCACGAGGGCAGAGCTTGGTGGGAGTTGCCTGCCTGGTCAGTGGACAGCTTGAGTGAAAGTCGACAGGATGGGTAGATTACTGTGACATGCACCTCGAATCAGACATTTTTTATTTTCTGTGTAGTCACGCTTCCATTGCTTCATGGTTGCTTTCATGGATTTTTTTTAGAGAATGATCCAAACCATGTACTCGTGATTACCTAATGTCAATTGTCAACCTTTTGTTGGGTCATTAATTGATAGCCTAGTGACAGATTGTATCTGGGTCTAGAAACAATCTTGTTTGGAATCTATTTGTTGAAATCTTAATATTGAATAGTAATAAATCTAAATTGAATCTATCTGTCGGCTACCCAGACAATTATTATTTTGCTACCGTTTTTGTGTTCATAAGATGAGGAAAAACCATGGTAAAAATACAAATGATCAAATCAATGAATAATGCCTTGGGCTTCAAAGGTTAAGTGGTCATCATAATTTTCTTAACCTTAATATTGTAAAACATGGGAAACTGATTTGTCATATACTCATTAAGTTGTTAATTGCACCAATTAGTAATAGTGTTGTTTTGTTTATGAACGCAGGAGTGCACAAACATATTCTCGAGTGGGGGAGGATCCTCTCTTGCTGAAATGTCCAACATACCATTCCTCGGAAGACTGCCAATAGATCCAAAAGTGACTCGAGTACCTTTACAAAGTGAAATCCAAAGGAATCCAGATTCAACAACAGCCCAAGTATTCAAGAATGTGGTTAGAGTCGTCATGGAGAAGAAAAATTGTAGTGTACCAACAGATTAGCAATGTTCCTAACTAACATAATAGATAAAAATAATTACATATAGACTGTCGCCGTAACTGCATGGGACTCCCAGTGGCGTGCGCCAGAACCTATGGCAACCACAGCACGGCTGACAGTCGATATTTAATTCTTTTTGTCTATGCTAACATGTATAATGTTTGTAGTATTACGTAAACATGTATAGAATATTGTATTTAAAAAATAAATTTATTTTTTTAAAGATGAATAACTGATTCTTCATCTTAGCTTTGTGGTCAACGTTCGTTTTTTTAAACAGGTCTACCTTGCTTCGTAATAGTATATTACGTTACTAGTCCTGAAAATAAGTGTTTGCCGGACGAGTGTGGTCATTCCCGTGCGAGACGAAGTCGAGTACAGGATTACCATACGAGTCCGGTAAACACATTTTGGACGAGTGACGTTCGATAGTTTACAGCATACTACTAAATCTGTACAAATCCTCATATATTACCACCAACTAAAGGACCACCAGGAAGAGGACCAACTATAGGACTAAAAATCACTATCTTTTGTTTTAAAACTCATTGCCACCCAAATACAGTATAATCAGCTGATTGGCGTCCGGTAAAACTCATTACAGTACAGTAGTACGCAATAAAACCCCATTTGATTAAGCTGGTGGCAAACAGCTGTTTTCTGGACTAAATCCTTGCGTGAGAAGTTCGTCAAAATAGTGTAGTGTGGCATAAATAAGTTTGCAATAGATTTGAATCAGATTGTAAATTACAACTCTATTTTATAACATTTAATCAAACAGTGCAGTAAAATGTCAATTAAATTCCTCCTTCTATTTTAAGTACAATTTAATTTATAGTTCACAACAATGATTTAAACCAATTCCTACCAGTATAAAATACAGTATTAAAATTATAAACTAACTAAATACAATTTCTTTTAAATTGATTACCAAATGGGATTTAAATGACATTCCCTTACAGGTTGTTGGTTTAATCCTGGAATAATGATTGTTTTTTGGTCCAGAAGGATCAATTCTGGACCCAACAATGTATCACTGTTTTTTAAATCTTTAAATGTTTGAATCTGAGATGCAGATGAGTTCAAGTGCATGTAATGTTTCCTCAACTAAAAACATATGTAATTTTTGTTTTTTTTTACTGTGGCCTATATACTAATTACAATTTGGTAGATAACGGGAGGAGAAGCATAAGAATCAGAGGATCTGACAACATCATACCCATCTATTCTTACGTCTAATGTTCCCTAAAGGCCCACTACCTGAACCAGATCATGGTGAGATGTTAAGAGAGTTGCTGCTTTAAAGTAGACAATGCAGCAGAGCATATAACAAGCACATCTTGGTGAAGTTGAAAGCCACAACTGGGAGGTACAGTAGTGATCCTCAGAAAAAGCCCTTGAAATGCGGGTTTTTGACCTCATCACTACCACAACACCAGAAGAAATCGGACCATTAATAACAAAATGGCAGTTCAAAATTACTTTAAATAACCATTGTCTTAAATCATTTTTAGCTGCCATTTTGTTATTAATGGTCCGATTTATATTTTCTTTATGTTAATCGTTATGTTTCGTCAAGACCTGTAAAATGATACCAAACTCGACTACACTTGCTATACCCCCGCTATCCCTAAGGGCAAAATTTTCAAAACTGACCACAATTATTGTAGCCCTTCATATCCAAACAAGTTGCTGCAAACCAATTTCAAATATCTCAAATAGTTAAAAAGTTAAAGGGAGTACAAGTTAATTTTCAGCCACCCTCATGGTTATTTGGATTTGAAACGTTTTAGGGCGCCATTTTGTTATTAGTGGGCCGATTTTGGTTTTCTTTATGTAAATTTGTACATTTCTCGAGAAGAGAGGAAGACTCCACTACGAGAAATGTACTTGATAGAAACCCCGAAGGCAGGAGACCACGAGGCCGTCCTAAACTTAGATGGAAGGATCAAGTACAAAAAGATGTAAGAAGACTGGGAAGGAGTGAAAATGACACCAAAGACAGAGACATCTGGAGGCAGTGGGTGGGCGAGGCCAAGTACCTCTTAGGGTACCAGTGGCCACTCCAGTAAGTAAGTAAGTAAATTTGTATGTTACGTCGAGACCCGTAAAATGATACCAAACTCGACTATACTTGTCATTTGAAAATTTTGAGCTACCCCCTACCCTACTGAAGTGCAAAAATTTCAAAATTGACCATAATTAATGTAGCCCCAATATCTAAGAAGGTTGCCGCAGACAGATTTCAAATATCTCAAATGGTTGAAAAGTTAAGGGGGGTGTAAGTTACCTTTCAGCCACCCTGTATATACTTACTCCTTTCGTCAATCCATCTCATCCTTGGGCTTCCCAATGATCTCCTGCCCTCCAGCGTACCAGCCACCTCAACCTTCTACTCTTAACAACTCCCACAATATCTGGTTCCTCATCAAATTCTCTCAACTTCCTATTTTTCCTTATCTTCCACAAGTCTCTGTCTTTTATTGGTCCGAAAATCCTTCACAATACTTTATTTTCAAAAGTAATAGGTCTTTTTGGGATTTTTTTTTTAAAGACCAAGTCTCTGATCCGTATAGCACTACAGGTTGCACTATGGTTTTATACATTCTTATTTTGGTGGTGTTTGATAAAAAAAAGTTAACTTTTAAATAATTTTACTAAGCTCCAATATGATTTTACAGCTGCCGTGAGTCTGTTTTGAATTTTAACATCTTCCCGGTTAGTTTTTGTTTGTGATTGTTACTCCCAGAACTTTAAATGTGTTTGCTTTGTGGAACCTGTTGTCTAATACTTCTAAGTGGTCTTCTTCATCATCTTGCCTACTTATTTTATTGTATACATATGAATTTGAACGCATGGTGTTTTTGGCTTCTGGGGACATCAAAACGATAAAGTAAATCGGTCCTGGGTCCAGGTCTTACCATGAGACCTACCGTAATAGCTTATTCACTATATGGGAAATTTGCTAAAAAAAAAACAATGGTTAAACAATCAACATTTATTTCACTTAAAAAATACAGTATATACATTTTCAATCAATTTACACTGTACAATTAAGTTACTTACAATAAGAGGATTCAAATCGTAAATGATTGAATGGCACTAAAACTGGAAATAAAAATAATTAGGTTCATAAAAAAGTTGTATAAAAACGCTATCAGCAATCTGACACATACTTTCTCCCATTAGCTTGTCAACGACCCCTATCATGGCTCTATGATAACTATGCTATTTTATGGGTAAAATCACAAAAGTTACAATAACGTTACAATCGTAGTTTTTACAGCAGTGGGGGTCGTACCATTTTGTTTAGAATAATAATACTAAATTTTAATCATCAATTGGGATGTTTTAGTGAAAAACTAAAATATGTTATTTCATGGGGTTTTATTAATAAAGTAACCATTAAAAATGAAAATTAATTCTGGAGATACAAATTTCATTAGAATTTGACCAGTAACTTACATTCAAAACGGTTTGGGTGTAATCAGGATTTGTGACAAGTACTGTACAATCTGTGTGAAAATAAGTTTATGTTAGGAAATTTGAACTCAACAAATTTGAACATGTAAGAAATATTTTTCGTATGCAACCGCTTAATTCTTTACTGTAAAAGGGGTTTCATGTTGATAGTTTCTTTATGTTTTAATGTTTGTCAATAATGATAATTTCAACTAGTATAGTATGCAATAGAAAGAAGGTGGCACTCATGACCATTGTAGAAATGAGCCCCCAATTTCACTTCAAGACTTTCCTACAGATTAATAGATTTGCTGTTTTATTGCAAAATCACTGGATTTAAAATACTAGTTTAATGAGTTTTAGTAAAAATCTAAACTAGTATTAATTAATTTCACGGCATAAACCAGTTTACAAAATTAATAATGATAATATAGGATACTGTTTGAGTGTTATTAATGAGGAGACCAACTTCCGATTTATCAGAAGTTTAAACAAACTATTGTTTAAAAAAATGAAATATCAAGAACGGCATGCAAGAAATGTGAAAGAGGGCTGCTTTTCAAAAGTTATAGCATTTTTTCTATAACATTGCAGAACTGTTAAAAGTATCCCAGTCCTAGGCAGCGTGTCATATACTATAGGGTCGGTCTCCAAAGGTAAGTAATTTTCTTAATGATGTTAAGTTTTGACTTCTTTCTGACGTTCAATACAAAGCAATCTAGGATTGGAGGAATTTAATAATATGAGGAGGAATTTAAATGTGATCCCTTAAAAGTACTCTGAAGTCAGTTATAAAACATCAATCTCTAAAACACAAAAGCATAGACCAATGAGATATGTGTGTATGAAACGACTAAAGTAATAGTTTATAATGATTTGCTGCAATGGGAAACAAAGTATATTTGTACCTCCCCAACCATACAATATACACACCAAATTTTACTAAGAATCAACAAATTCTAAAAGTTTTATCTTGTAAGTCTTCTAAAATGTTTGCTCTCTTAAGGACTAAAGGATACAGATACTCATTGCTTGATTTGCGGGGAAACGCAGCAGAACTCAGTTCCGGTAACTGTCTTTCAGAAAGATAAAAAATATTGGGATAAATATGTACTACACATTTAAATAGGTTACGGTTGCGACACCTCATTTTTTTTCAAATCGAGCACTGCATATACTTAATTTGTTAAGCTGTTGCCTTATTATTTTGTACACACTAAGAGTGAAATTCTACAAAAAAGTTTTAACTAGTTTGGTCAAATCAAACTAACAAGTTAATCTAGCAACATTTAAACACTAAATGGCATAGTTGATTGCTACTTCAGCATTTCTTCCCAAGTCAAGAATATTTTTCAATTATAAAAAACAGGGTGGCTAGAGTGACCTGGAAAACCTGGAAATGTCAGGGAATATTTAATATCTGGAAAAGTCAGGGAACTTTGTCATAAGTCAGGGAAAATTGTAAAAGGTTTAAAATAATTTTAATAATTGTTAGGAAAGGTCGATCTAGTGAGAGTATGTGTGCCTTGTGGATGAAAACTAAGAAATATGTCTGTACAAATAAATTTTGTGTTTTTGTACAAATAATTTTTTTTATAAACTGCCTATCATCTTATCAATATCAGTTTAGTTTTACTAAGGTAACTTGCAAAGTTTGAATATATATAAGCTAGCCTGTTTCTATAGATTTTATGAATGTTTTTCATATAAACAAACATAAGATATTCTTCAGAAAAGATTAGTCCTTTTGAAGAATTAGTTATAAGTATTAAAATTGTAATTTTGAATTTGTCGATCAGGGAAAGTTTAAAAAAAAATAATGGAAAAGTCAGGGAATTTTTCAATGTGATTTCACAAGCCACCCTGAAAAAAGTTAGTTAAAAGTATTGATTTCAAATATAGGCCTAGATATTTTCAATTTAAAATTTTTTTTAAATATTGATTTCTTTGAATTTAGACCTATAGTGTTTTATCAATAGTTAATCTCTATCAATAATACAAAATATCTCAAGTTCAGTCCACAAACTTTTTAAGTTTGCTCCTCCATTTTCTTTTGCTGTTTCATTTTCCTTTCAATGTTTAATCTTTTTAACTGTTTGACAACTGAAGACGGGAATGGAATCTGTTGTAAGTCCCCTCTGTTGGTAGCAACCAGGATCTGTAGGTGAAAATAACAGACATTACTGGCCTTGACACTTGGATGTTTATAAAAAGTGTATCATGTTCCCATACAGTAGGATCCGTAGGACCAGACAACCACACAAGTTGTAACTAATAATAATCTTGCATATTTCCATTAGTTTTTTAATGATTTCTTCTCAGTTGCATGCTATATACTCTACTAAGTACTTGTGCTAATTTTGTGTAAATTTATTATTTAGAGTACAATTTTAGGAAAATTTTCTGTGAGACAGAACTAGAACCAACAAACATAAGCTTAACACAATCAGTCTTCCCGAATTATCAAGAGATATGACCATGGTGAAACGTCCACTACCGTCTCTAAAGTGTATGGCTTTGGCTGTCCAACTGCTTATGACATACCTACAAATTACAAAGGTTATGTTATCTACAACGAAGGGGCAAGTCAATGCATCAAAGCACTTAGTCTGAATTTGTCAAATTTGTCTGCACCCCACTCAGTTGTTATATTCAAAGACCTATACATTGTCTAAGAACCAGATAAATCCCAGTTTTCCTACTATCAAATTTTTCTAAAATTTAAATTTTAAAAAAAGTTGTGTACGATCAGTTAGTAGACTTTTTTAGAGAAAAATAGATTATTTGATAAAGATTAGCATGACAACCGCTGGTGTAGATTTTGTGACATCAATAATTGAAAGTATAGATAAAAAGAATAAAACTTTGGGGATCTTTCTAGATCTTAATCACAACCACCAGTTTGTAGATGTTTACCTGTGTCAGTTCGCGTTGTTGTGTGTGACTTGTGCGATAATATGCTTGTGACTTGTGATTGTAACCAAAGTTTTTTGTAATGCCGGGCAGTCAAGGGAAGGCACTAAATAGTCAGGCTAGGATGATCGTGTTTAGTGTCGTGCTGTATTTCCAACAGGAGAAAATAAATAATGGGCCGTTAAGGAACGTTAATCAAGTTTTAAAACGGTTTGTGGAAGCTTGTTGTGTTGGGTTGTGTTAAGTCAACGAACAGTGGTAAATATTTCGAACCAGGAGAAAACCGCTGAGAAAAACGATGACGGGAGTCCTGTAATGACAACATCTGGTAAAAAAAGAAATAAGCAAAAACCAGTTAGACTACGGGTGTAGATAATTTTGACATTGATGGCATAAGGCGACATTTATACTCATACTACAATAGGAAAGAAGTTTCAACTGTTCCCAAACTATTAAAAAGTCTAAATGAATGTGGAATATTTAAGGATAAACACACCTCCCTTCGTAACATTTCAAAGAGAATTGGATTTAAGTATAAGAAAATTAACAAACGTAAGGTACTACTTGAGAAACCCGACGTGGCACTTGCTAGATACCGTTTTTTAAGGGCTTCCAAACAGATTGACTGGAGTAAAACTGTATTTTTGGACGAGACATGGATGAACAAAAACACTACGACAACTGCAGGCTACAGATGGATCTGTACAGGGTAGTCCGGGGGCACCAATTGGGAAAGGAAGTAGAATTATTGTTTGCCATGCTGGATCAGCAAAAGAGTGGATTAACTCTGAACCACTTGGGTTCAAAAAAGACTAACGACTACCATGAAGAGATGAACTCCAAAACATTTGAAAAATGGTTTCAGGAATCTCTGCTTCCCAACGTTGAAAGAGGGAGCACAATAGTCATGGACAATGCGTCTTATCACTCTCGAATTTTAGATAAAGCTCCAACAATGAAAAAAGTGATATAAGTATGTGGTTAACGTCCTCAATATGCCTTAGATAAAATGGCAGAACAGTTGGGACATAGAATACTAAGACTCCCCCCGTACCATTGCGAGTACAATCCAATAGAAATGGTGTGGGCTTAAAGATTATGTAAAGGAGCAAAATCGAAATGCAACTTTTAAAATAGGCGATGTTGAAATATTATTCCGGGAAGCAATCAATAAGTTTACACCAGAAATGTGGGCGATATATGTCTCACACACTGAAAAATTAGTAAATAATGCCTGGGAAGCAGAAGGTCTGCAACTCGAAGACGTGTAACAATTTATAATTTGTCTGGGTGGGGACGATGATGACTCTGATAGTGACAGTGGCAGCGAGAATGAAGATGTTGATGTTTATCTCCAAGAGTACGAGTTTCCTCCGGGTGTGTTTGACGACTTGCGTGTTTCGCCGTTGGATTAATAAGTCGTCGTTAAGATTGGCTTAATACGTTAAGATCCAGGTAAATGTTTTAACTATTACATTATACAACTGTAAACAGGACTTATATTTGTCCCATTTAAATTATTTTTAGATATTAATAATCATTAAAGTTTGACCTAACATGTTGTGATAAGAAAGATTTAAAAAAATGTCTCAGATGAAAAAAAGTATTTGTAATTACAAAAGAGCCTTTCTTAGGAAGGGCACCTGGAGCCAACGCGATAAGACGCGGGCGCTCGCCTCGGCGGTGCGACGTTGCCGATACCAAATCCACACGGACCACCCGATAAATTACTTCAATACATAACTTAATTATATTAAAACTCTATACTATCTTTATTATATTTAATATAGTATTAGATAGTTGGTATTTAATACCAACAAAGTATTATTTGGCAATGGTTGTTCTGAAAATCATCTGGTGTATCAGAGAAACGCTGGTAGATAAAGGAATTTTCATTTAATCATTCATAATACTTACCACATGACTCTTGCTATCAACTGCCAAGCACAGAATTATTCCTTTTGAAACTATTACAGTTGCCATCAGGCTTTTATTCTAAAACAAAAATAAGATTATAATTAGGACTAAATATATGTTCCTCTACATATAGTCCAGTAAATAAAGACAAAAATAGGGGGGCTAACTTACAAACAGTCCGGTAAGTCTAAATATTTTATATGTTGTCTAGGATGGTAAGTAGGTGTTTAAAACGAAAAATGCACAATTCTCCCCCTTCTGCACCCGCCGCCATATTGAAAAATCAAAAAAATCGGCACTTTCTAGAGATTTTCGCCTATATGGTGTTGGTGCGTTTTAGCCAGGGCTAGAGATATACAAGGGCTAGGCCACGCGAGCTCAGAAAGTGATGCCAGGTGGCTCCCCACCACTCCGCCGCTGTGATACCTCGGGCTCCCGGCACTGTATATCTTTGCTTGTGTGAGCGCTGGTATTACCGCACATTTAGCGTTTATTAAGCTCTATGTTGGACATTTTGTATTAGGTATTAATGTATTTTATAAAAGTAATTTATTTTCAAATAGGATTACGTATAACATCAATTTTAATAAGTAAAAAATTATCTTTAATAGATATTTAAGAAAGGGAGTGGAATGTAAAGCGATGGCTATAAGAATACTGTAGTTATTGATCCAATGTATTAAGTTACTGTGTAATATCTGTGTTCGTATTGCTGGAATGTATCTTAATGTATGGATTATTAATTGTATTTATTTATTACTTATTCATACCTTTTAGGATTCATTGAGGTTATATAAAATACATTGAGGTTGTGTAAAAATACATTACCTATACCTAGTATTTTGTAACTTTTAAAGGAAGGAAAAGAATTTCAATTAATCAATTACATTTTATTATAGGCCCTACATATTTCAATACATTAAAATAACATATAGTTGCAAAAATACATTAAGTTGCCTGACTAACTAACCTCAATCTCTGTTGACTAATAACTAACAAGTCGAGTTTTGGTGTGATTTTACTTTATCAGTTTACATCGTGGTTATAAGTTGTAAATGTTAAGTTACGATATTATTTATTGTGCCTCGACTGTAATGTGACATTACTTTTAGAAACTTGAGACACTATTTTTTAGCCAGTTTTTGTTAACTTCATTGACTGTTTACCAACAACGAATATCACAGGTTTGACTTTATTACTTTAATCGTATTTATTAGTTGTAAAAATTGTACTTATTTAGTTTATAAAATGTTTTATATGGATACACTTACTTAATTTGAGGTCTGGGACATTACATTTAGCCCGTTTTTGAAACATTTTGTCATAATTAACAAACGATTTAATCACCAAATGAAAAAGCACAGCAACATTTTATAGAAAAAACTATAAAATATTTATTTTTTTTATATTTGCCTTTACAACTAAATATTCATGTAGGGGAATAAGTTTACTTTCATTTTATATAGTTGGTTTGTGGGGTTTTAAAAATAATATATACCTGTGAATAACAAAATGTTTTTCTAGACAAATATAAACATTAAAAGTAAAAGTCATAAACATATATTGAAATGATCAGTACAGTATACATAAACAATTCTTACTTCATTTGATCTCCAATATTATTGCCTAAAAATGTTCACTTTTACTTTATCTCTTGATAATACATTTATTTGGTTTTTATTTGAAATTTGTTGTGCAAAATCGTGAAACTTGTCATTTTATTGTTTAGTTTATATGAATTTTCGAAAATTTGACTGAAAAATCGCCAAAAATGCCTTGCCACTACAGAGTTTGGCCATTGGAAGTTGAAGGGTTGACGAATACCGCTTTAAAAATCACACTATAAATATACATTATTATAAACACAAACATTAATATGCGCGTAGATGCCGGGCGACATATGCACTGCCGTGCTAGGCGGTTGTATCTCCGCTACGTCACTGAGGAGGGGCGGGGGAGGGGAAGTAGGATCAGGCGGCGACCGCTAACATCAAAGGGGTGAGCCAGCCCTTGTATATCTCTAGCCCTGCGTTTTAGCGACAAATATGTAAAGTTAATGTTGTAGACAATTAAATTTCCTATAATATAAGTATAACAATTTGGCTCTAAGACTTATGGATACGAAAATATTTAATTTTTTTTACAATAAAACTTAAAATTTTTTGTTATTTTGCCAAATCTCTACTAGTCCAAGCAAACTAAAAAAAACTGACACAGGGAACATTAAAAAAATGCGGGAAAATGTTTTATGGTTTTATTTTGTAGTGTTGGGTCTGCAGAGTAACATAGGCTACTAAAAGTTTCCAAAAATCGGTCCACAGGAAATCTCCTAAAATCTTGATTAAAAATGGCTGATTTTTTCAACATTGAACAAATTTGAAAATGATATACCACATGCATATTTTATTCAATTTTTTTTTTAGATATTGACTTGGGACGACCATAGATGTTTATTAGGTGGGTAGTACTTCATTTCTATATGGAACTCATTTCTGGCTGCCATCTTGGATCCGCCATATTGGATATAAATAAAAAAAATAAATGTAATGATAACGTTGTGACACATCATTTTAAACTAGATTTTCACGCTGATTTCAATGCCGAAATCTGTTTTTGAATATCTGCTTACGTTTTGAAGAAATATTCAAACAAAAACTCTCCCCCATACATTTCTTATGGACGTTTCGTTTTTAAAAACCATTTTTCTTATATCTCCAGTTTTTATCAACGCTTGTAGTTCAGTCTAGCCTTTAAATATTCTGTGATGTAAGCGCTTTCATTTGACCTATTGATCATTCAAATTGAACGAGTTAGCGACGAGCTACAATCCCCAAAAAAATATTAAATTTAACTTTTTAGAAATCTTTTTTTATTAAAAGATTTATATCTCGAGTTGTTAATACGTCACCAAGTTCTTTCTGATTTTGAGTTACTTAGTAAATTGTTTGGCTTTGATTTTATTAATTACTATATAAAATCAGACTCATCTAAAGGGAGTCGTGGACCTTCATTTAACATTCAATTCTTTTTATTTAGAAATTTTTCTTTGGTTTAATATACCCAATCATAAAAACAATCAATAAGTAATCTTCAGCTAAAATAAAAGTCAATACTTTGAGGAATTATTTAAGGCCATAAAGAGTTTTTGGAGTTATTTATAATTGGGGATATAAGTATTTAACTAAAGACTAATTTCAAAATAAAAATAATTTTATGTTAAAAGAAGGCACTCTGCTAATTTTAATTTCGTCAGATTTTATGAAATGAATAATAAAATTAAAGCAAAACAATAAATGAGTAATTTGAGAGTACAAAGAACTTGGTGACGTATTAACAACACAAGATATAAATCTTTTAATAAAAAAAAATTTAAAAAAAGTTAAATTTAATATTGTTATGGGGATCGTATCTCGCTGCTAACTCGTTTGGTTTGAATTATCAATAGGTCAAATGAAAGCCCTTACATCACAGAATATTTCAAGGCTAGACTGAACTGCAAGCGTTGATAAGAACTGGATATATAAGAAAAATGATCTTTAAAAATCTTCAAAGTACGAAACGTCCATAAGAAATCTATGGGAGAGATTTTCGTTTGAATATATCTTCAAAACGTAAACAGATATTTAAAAACAGATTTCGGCATTGAAATCAGCGTGAAAATCTAGTTTATAATGATGTGTCACAACGTTATCATTACATTTCATTTGTTTATTTATATCCAATATGGCGGATCCAAGATGGCGGCCAGAAATGAGTTCCATATAGAAATGAAGTACTACCCACCTAATAAACATCTATGGTCGTCTAAAAGTTAAATTTAATATTGTTATGGGGATCGTATCTCGCTGCTAACTCGTTTGGTTTGAATTATCAATAGGTCAAATGAAAGCCCTTACATCACAGAATATTTCAAGGCTAGACTGAACTGCAAGCGTTGATAAGAACTGGATATATAAGAAAAATGATCTTTAAAAATCTTCAAAGTACGAAACGTCCATAAGAAATCTATGGGAGAGATTTTCGTTTGAATATATCTTCAAAACGTAAACAGATATTTAAAAACAGATTTCGGCATTGAAATCAGCGTGAAAATCTAGTTTATAATGATGTGTCACAACGTTATCATTACATTTCATTTGTTTATTTATATCCAATATGGCGGATCCAAGATGGCGGCCAAAATTAGTTCCCTTTGTAAATGAAGTACTAACCACCCAATAAACTTCGGTGGTCGCACCCGAATATCGAGTCGATATCTTAAAATATTTTGTATAAAATATGCATGTGGTATATTTTTTTCAAATTTGTCCAACGTTGGGAAAAGCCGTCATTTTTAATCGTGATTTTAGGAGGTTTCCTGTAGAACAATTTTTTACTTTTAGTATGTCACTTTGCAGACCCAACACTACAAAATAAAACCATAAAACGTTTTCCCACATTTTTTTAACGTTCCCTGTGTCAGTTTTTTTTAGTTTGCTTGGACTAGTAGAGATTTGGCAAAATAACAAAAAATTTTACGTTTTATTGTAAAAAAAATTAAAAATAGTCGTATCCATAAGTCTTAGAACCAAATTGTTATACTTATATTATAGGAAATTTAATTGTCTACAACATTGACTTTACATATTTGTCGCTAAAACGCACCAACACGGAGATATAGGGGAAAATCTCTAGAAAGTACCGATTTTTTAGATTTTTCAATATGGCGGCGGGCGCGGAGGGGGGAGAATTGTGCATTTTTCGTTTTTAACACCTACTTACCATCCTAGACAACATATAAAAAATTTAGACTTACCAGACCATTTGTAAGTTAACATACCTCTATTCACTGGACTAATACTCTTGTATTGTTTCATTGTATTAATTGTGGAAAAAATAAACTTCATTATTTTTTTTTCTGGTCGGAAAACAATAATTAAGTTTTTAGGAATGTAGGTAAAGTAAAAACTACCAATTATTTAATTTTGTCTTCACAATGCATTGTTATTTCAACATATACAAGTCTTTTATCTTCCTAATGTGGTATTGTTCTAATTGAGTTTATTTTTAAATTATTTAAGCGGAAAGTAAATAAAGATACGTCTTATAACACTTAAAACATATATTTACCCTTATACTGTAACTCACAAGACGGTAAATATACAAAAGATGGTAAGTGGTGATCGATTTCGATGGACACTCCAATCGTCATCAGACCCAATAGGCGAATGACAAGAATCTTGAATCGTGTCCCTACTTATACCCTATTGGCTACCGGAAACACCGGCCAATACATTTTTATAAGTACAACTGGAATCGAAATTTACTTGTTCATTAATCAACTTATTTCTATTTTTACATTTTGCCTTATAAATATACAATTCTTCCCAAGCATTCATCACATATCCCTTCTTACAATTCTTCAAAATACATAGATTATCCTCCATTTTTCCTATTGAGTGTCCATTTTGTAACAGGTGTTGTGCGACATTTGATCTTTCCGGTTTGTTGTTTCTCCATGCAGATATGTGGTTTTTGAAGCGGTTGACGAAGTTCACAGTCTGTCCAATGTAGAAGCTATCACAATCGTTACTATCATACTACTATCATAATCGAAATCGATCACCACTTACCATCTTTTGTATATTTACCGTCTTGTGAGTAACAGTATAAGCGTAAATATATGTTTTAAGTGTTATAAGACGTATCTTTATTTACTTTCCATAAATTTAATAACTTGTACAATGCTGATCAAGAAGTTATTTAATTATTTTAACTATTAATTACTAGAAGAGTACCAGTCCTTCTTACGGGGTTGGCAAATAAGTATAAATGCAGTTATACTCGATTTTTGCGTTTGCAATGTGAGAAGACACTGTTTGAGAAAACTTGCTTCCTCAAATTTATGGTATGCTATAGTATTACACATCTACCATAGGCATAATGTTCTACCACTTCACCTACACAATAGAGAAAGATAGATTGTTAAAATTTGCAAAATATCACAAATTATTCATGATATTAAAAACATAAACATAACTGTAAACAATCCGTCAGATCTCATTGCGTATCACAGTTTTTTTTGCTGAAAAAAATAATAGTGCTGCACCCTGTTGGTAAAGCTTATTAAGTTTTAATGCTTTTGCATATCATAGAACCAACTCTTTTAGTTGAAACAGCTGGCTAAATTCTTTAATTCCCTTTAAATATGAATACTCATAAGGTTAAAATGGGAACTGCAGAGCCACTGGGGCGGAGCCCGAAAGGATTTTTGAGCTAAGAATATGCCTATATGTAAATCGGGAATGTGAGCTATCATCATGCCAAATTTCAGCCCAATCCGACTAGTATTTTGGAGACGTAGGAATTGGCTAACTCAGGAACTCGCTAACTCGGTCGTGTGGCGGAACTGGCTAACTCTGGAACTGGCTAACCGTCTCAGTCAGGAATTGGCTAACTCCGGAACCCGCTAACTCGATTTTGTCTCGCGGCGGAATTCGCTAACTCTGGAAGTCGCTAACCCGGCCGCGCCCACTGCTCGGAGCGTTGCCAACCTTGTACGACAAAATAATCGTACACTGCCGTATTTCAAAATGTCAGTGTCTATAAAGATACAGTAAATGTTATTGTTTTTTGTTATCAATTCCACTTTTAACAGATAACTAGCCCAAAGTAATTAAAAGACAATTAAAAAATAATGAAAAAGTGTTTTTTATTAAACTGTACAATGGCCAGTTAAATGTTTATGAATTCGATCCTAAATATAAATGCCATCAGTATAAAAGAAAATAATAGAATATGAAAAATATTCTAAATTTAGTTTAATTGGTAATAAATAATTAAACCTCTACGAAATTAAGCTAAAATACACGCAAGTTCTTAAACACGGAAAACAGATTTAATTGTAATGTCGTAATAAACCAAAACCATTAATTAATACAGTCATCAACCATCGTAACTTTCATAACTGATTCATAGATTTTAAATTAAATGTTCGTCGTTGAACCGTTCAACTTACGTGTACAAATATGATGACATAGACTAAGTTTTTATCTAGGCCTAATAGTTTGAACCAAAGCATTGTAGGCCTACTAGTAAATAGTTGCCTAATTCTAAAATGTGTTGAATTTTTTTAGCAATAATGTTACATGTTTTAAAACAGTTTTTAGATTGTACACCTAAGCACCACTAGTAAAAAATAGGAGAAGATATAATATTCATATAATAAAACGTGACAGGGTTATTTTAATTCACGATTTTTAATAAACTAATTGACGGATTTTCCTGATTTGAGTGTTGAGTTTCCTTTATATTGCTTTCACAATCGATATAAACTATACCAAGCCATTGCTCGGTTCACCGTTCCCCAGTACTGAGCTACACAATAGACAATAGCTTTGTTTTTGGATAAGATAGAACCAGCCTGGAAAAAAACTCCAGACTTTTGAAAAGTAAGCCTACTGAAAGACGTAAAATTAATATTAATTCAACAAAATTAAGAGGATGACCCGGGTTCTACACTAATAGCCTACGATAAAAGAAATTTTCAAGTTGTATTTATGCATAGACTAACTTTTAATGCAATCCATGAATACATTAGGCCTACCACTTTATAATGTATTGATAAATATTTATTTAAATTCAATAGCTCTATTTAAAAATACATAACCACTACAATGTAATTCTGTAATGACGTTTAACGTGTAAATTTTATTATGATTTATGATTTAAGGTTACTACAAGCCCAGTATATAAAATACGAACTCAATAATTTTATTTACAGAAGTTCACAAAATGGTATTTATTCGAATACAAGAAACAAATGGCGGACTACGAAAATAGATATTTCATAACATGTAATAGATCCAAATTAAATGTGCATTTTTATCTTTTTCATACCAATAAGCTACTATTTAAGTAAGAAACCCACATATAAAACATACTCCCTTATATTAGTACATTTCTCATCCTTATGCATGATCTGAAGACAGTTGTATTGTTAGTTCTGTCCGGTGCACTGTCTTTAGAGGTCGTGTTTTGTTTACAATTGTTTCTTGTTTTCAGTAATTTAAAACCTCGTTTAACCAAATAAAACGTTCTAATCACAACTAATAACACGTCCCCTAGTTATATAACTTTTATTACAACCAAACAGTAAGGAACAAATCATGAAGTTAACTATAAAATAATAGAAACACAATTTTGTCGACACTAGCGATCAGTGTCACCGGACACGAACTAGACACGAAAAACGAGCTTCAAAGTTTACAATGGGATGTAAAGTTTAATTGTGTTGGTTAGTCTATGGTAAGACTATAATGCATTTTCCACCCTAATAATCATAAGAATTTCTCTGTGGTTAAACATACTTCTAAATATATTTATTTGATCGACTACGTTGCTCTTACTCCTAATTAATCGTAGGATACGACATTATGGTGCCGATACGATATAGGTACTACACTTTCGGCAACACTGGCCAAAAATATTCGTGCTTGGCTCCCATTGGACGGCCCGCGAGGCTTCTGATTGGGAGTTAGCGAGTTCCGCCGAGGGACCGAGTTAGCGACTTCCGTACGAGGACGGAATTCGCTAACCCGGCTCTAGAGCGGGTTAGCGGGTTCCGGAGTTAGCCAATTCCGAAACCGAACAAGTTAGCGAGTTCCTCTCATCGACCAAATTTGAAGATAGGGCGTTTAACATGGGGTTAGCGAGTTCCAGAGTTAGCCAATTCCGCGGACCCGTATTTTGCGTGTTTACTTGTCACAAACATACGAACATCCATACATCCAAACTTTCTCATTTATAATATTAGTAGGATATTTTGAAATACATCACTATGACAAAAAACTTGTTCATATGTATGAATTGTACTTAATAAAGAAAGTTTTGTGTTAAAATAAAAATATAATCGAATCCAGATAACGTTTTTTGTGGATCCGATCGGGCATCGGTTCTAGCTCAGATTCGGTAGTCCGATATCCGGATCCGACCATGAGTTTATATTATTATCTTTATTAGCCTTGTTTAGTCTCTCAGTACTTTCCATTTTTTCCATTACTTCAATTAACCAGAATATATATTCATTAACTTCAATTCAAATTCTCTTTATTTAGATACAGCATAAATTATGCAATGAATAGTGTCAAATAAATAAACAGATGTATGCCTATTAAGCAATTATCAACAAAACAATATTATCATTGACAAGGATACAATCAATCTTTGTGTATGTATGTGACACTTGACATAATGATTCTTTATCTATTTGACTAACATAATATTTTAGATCAGTCCTGCAAAAGCTTCAAATACTCTACTGATCCTACAATTACCTGCTCATAAAAATAGATTATCGATTTAGTAACAAAGATCAAAATTAGTTCAGAAAATATCCTAAAAAAGTAACTGATATAGTGAGTTTAGTTCTCTTAGTTACCTCAACATCGTAAACGTAGATATTCCCATCAAAGGATGCAGCAAACATCAAAGAGTGCAGAAAGGTGATTTGTGAAATAGATCTTCCCATTATACATTCACCTGAGTTTTCACCATCCTAAAAAATAGCAGTGGTAGCCCATATTTTTAAATGTAACATCAATATTTTTTCATCACAAGTTTACTTATAACTACAGGTGTCACGATACCAAACTTTTATCAATTCTCAATACTGATACCTGAAAAATTGCTTCTCCATTTTCGACACCGATAACAATATCAAATATTCTAACAAGTTCTGTTTAAAGCTGTCTAAGCCAATTAAATAAATATCATATAAAAAGGTAACCAAAGATGATGAAACAAAAATTTACAAGACGATTTTGTTAATGCTCGAGTTTTGTATATGTTTACAAAACAAAAATAAAAATGAACACAATTATACTTAAGGAATTTATTAATGTCTCCATGCCGTCAAGTTGAGTGACTGTAGTGAAGTGAGAATGTCAGTCAGATGGTCTGCATTGCAAAAAAAAACCTGGGACCCACAAGAGTCAAATCTAAGGGTGTCAAGAACAAGATTAACTCAGTTTTGGAGTAGGGACTCACATACAGGGAAGATCAAATTTACAAGAACCCGGAACCATACTGTTTAAACGACTTGCAGACTCGCAAAGGATTTACAGAAGAACGTCGAAAATCCGAACCGCTCCTGAGGGTTTTAAAATATTTAATTAGTACTGAGACAACAGATGTTTTAAAATTTCACGGGCTAAACAGTCGGCTTGTCAGTAATGTACAGAAATACCTAAGAACAAACACCATTGTTTTTATTTTATTTACTGTATCCTAGAACTATATTTTCAATACTGTAGAGGCCTAATTATTTGTCTATATTCTGTTTCTGAAAAATATTTTTTTAATTTGGATTAACATCTGAAAGTTATTTTTTAAATCTAAAACCATAAAATTCAGTAGAACCCCTCTAATCAAACTTTAGCTAGTCCGTCTCCTCGTTTAATCTGACTGTGCCATCGCTCATCAGTCGGGGTAACATCATGACTATTTCAGTGACGTAGTCAGGATTTCAAAATAGGAGGGGTCGACCGACCGGGGGGTCTGGTCCCCCCAGGTAAAAGGGGGGTCCGGGAAAAAATTTAAAAATAAAGGCCCTAAATCGGTCTATTTTAGCTCTCTTGGCATTGAAAATAATCAACCCCAACGTCAATACAGTATGATTATATAATTTAACATTTAATTTTACAAAAAAATATTATATTTAAGACCAGAAGGGGGGGGGGGGTCCGGACCCCCAGGACCCCCCCCCCTGGCTACGTCAATGACTATTTGTCATGGTTGAGTGGAGATTATCCCCAATCATCGCAGCAAAAATCTTGTTTATCCCCGTGATTACAAAAACATCATCATCGTTTTCTACGATCACAGGAAGTAAAAGCGGTCGTGAAAAAAATATAGACAAATCTCTTGGTCAAAAAAAATTATCCACTTCGGAGATTGCGGCTTAATCCTGAATATCCTATTATCAAGAACATCTAGATATCATCATCATCTTCTGTGGTTGAGGCAAAATATTGCACATCTCCCGAAATCGCAGGGACATGATCATCGTCTCCAGCAATTACAGATACTTTATTGTTATTTTATTAGGTCTATCTGCGACCGCAACAAACTCCTGATTATCTCCTCAGCGATCTTGGTAAAAAGTGAGATTCTCCAGTGAGCACGGAAACATCGTCATCGTTTTTCGTGATTGTGTCAAAACTTTGGCAACTGCAATACTTAAAGACTTTCTTTTTATGCACAGGAAAAAATTCCTGCCCCGAAAATGTGGAAGGAAATAAAAATCCCATCCCGTCCTGTCTCGAACTAAAAATTCAATCCTGTCCATCCCTAGATGTTAGTTAAGCTTAGTCATTTATTATGCTCCTCGGATAATCCGACCTCCCCACTATAGGTGGTATGTAGGTGACAGATTAGTGGGGTTGTACTGTATTTTGCTGCCATCACGGCTTCTGTCTTCTTTCATACTGGTAACAATTCTTATTATTGTGGTTTTAAGTTAATTAAATTATTTCTATTAGCGATTTGGATAATTGGAGTTCTACTGTAGTAACATTTGTATACTAAAGAAGATTATGTGTTGACTGGCATCCAGTACTGCACTTACCATGTAATTGACCACTTTAACACTTTTTGTGTTAGTCCCACAGTATACAAGCGGGGTCTCTTCATATAATTGTAGGCAGTAAACTGTGTCACACCAGTCAAATGTTCTAAGTAACAGTCCTGAAAAAAATAAAATACTGGCTACAGTGGTAAAATTGACTTGAAAGCTGCCTTCATGACAAGACTAAGCCAATATGATAATGGCAGTAAATTAAGAAGACACACTTGAGAGTAAAATTTAAAAAAAATCACTGATGTAAAAGTTAAAAGTTTGATTAAATTTTGTTTTTGATTTACTTTACGTTGTCAACTATACAGTCAAGTAGGGCATTTTTCAAAGTCTTCTTAGGTTTATAAGTTTATCCATTAACATACCTACTTTTCAAAATCTTCTTAGGTTTACAAGTTTATCCATTAACATACACAACAACAAGAATAAGAAAGAAAAACACATAAATGTAACATAGAATTAAAATTAAAAACACTTTGCTGATACAAATTGCCAGCAATTACTGTAGTGGTCATAGATTGTGGCCAGGCCTCATTCCACTGATTGTTTTGCCACTGTTTAGTTACCAAGACGGTGACACACTATCGATCTTTTCCCCCATCTAGACCCCGAACCGAGCAGGGAGAAGGGAGGTCGAAGGGAGCATGTTCGATAGAGTGTCAGGGGTCCGTTCACCGATCCAGACGGCGAACCAGACATCAGACCGAGCAGGAAGACGAGCGATCTGGAGGCGGTTTTTTGGCAAAAGATCAAAGAAATGATCGGTCTGATGGACAGAGTGATGTACAATAGTGTGTCATGGTATATTCTTGCCCCATACGCCGTCGGGAGCGCCTCACCGAGCGGCCGCCTGCGCTAGCGTTGATAGTTCTAATTCAATTACACTCTTTAATTGGTAAAATAAATAAATGTTGCGTAATATTTTGCCGTTTTATATTATGGGCATTTATGTTGTAATTTTGTTGTTTCTTTGGTCAAGGTTGAAAATGTATTTTACAAGTTGAAACCGTTAAATCAATGATATCAATGATTTTAAACTTGAATTAAGTAATTCAAGTTTAAAATTAACTATTTAATTAATAGTTAATTTACTATTCTACTTCAAGCTAATTCACTATTGATGCTGATAGTGCACCTGTTGCTCAAATTCGAGCAATTGCAAAGTATTTCAGGCGTTATTTAAAAACGAATAACAATCATAATTTCCGATGACTTGAAAGAGTACACTCAAAGATAATGTGTAATCAATCACTCCACTACAGTTATTGAAACTGAAAACGAACCCACTATGAAAACAAACGCTCTTGTGTATAACATTTTGTGTTTACTATGAACAGCTGTAATTAATATAAATTATTCGTCTGTTTAAGTAAACAAAATATTTTCTTCATAATAAATACATTGGGTTTTTGATGTCCTGTGGGGCAAAGCCCGAGGACTTTTATTAGATGAATTGGAGATTTTTATTACAGGAATTGGTGAAAGGGGGCGTCTACACAAAAAATCCTTAATTTTGACACATCATTTGTAAAAATCCGTCCATTATTAACGGAGGAGTAGTGTTTTGTAGAAATCACCTTCACGTATTATATATAAGGATGCTAAATTCAATCAATAGACATTAATATTATTAACGGCGATTAACATGATCATTCTGTAACTTAACACTGTTAAATTACTGTTTTATTATTACTGACTCTGCGCTCCCACTCACACACTCTCTCCATCTCTCTCTAAACTCCCTTTTGCCGCGCTCGGTAGAACTCGTTCGATCTTGGTCTTGTTCGGGGAAGTGTTTGGATTAAAATTTTGCTGATGTTTACCTCCCTTATCCCGGCTCGGTTTGAGGTCTTGATCGGGGAAAAGATGGATAGTGCCTTAAGTAACTTTAAAATATCAGTTTCCATAACTAGGATTGCTTTCAGAGCAGTGAAAGCCAGTCGAGAGGAGCGATTGTGTTTTAGCGAATTTCCCATATAGGGAATAAGCTATTACCGTAGTACTCATGGTAAGACCAGGACGCGGGACCGATTTTTTTTCGGTTTTGAGGTCCCTAGAGGCCAAAAACACCATCCGTTCAAATTCATATATATATATAGATATATATGTGTCCGTTAGCACGATAACTCGAGCAAAAATGATCCGATTTTGATAAAATTTGGTACAAACGTGTAAACCTACGTTTATTCGAACGAGTTCGCGATCCAGCATGATCGGACCATGGGAACGGGGGTTTACGGGGGGTTTTATGGGGTAAAAATAGGTTTTCCCATTTTTGACCCAAAAAACATCAAATTTAGCAATTTCTTTCCAAACCATTTTGTAGAGCTTAAAAAAACAAATAAAGCGTTATTATGCGCCTAATGGTTACGGAGAAAATTCCAAAAAATTGTAAATTTAAAATTCCCATGTTATTCTTATGGAGAATAAGTAAACTGTTGTAGTTTGCTTGTTTATGAACATATTTTGATCAAATTTGGAAAATAAGTTTTTATTTCTTACTAACTATTAACATTTTACAAAAAAAAACAGTTTTACCCTCCCTGATGCAGCAAACCAAAGTACTTGTTAAACTAATTCTATTTAAATCGGGAATACATGTTATATTTGTAAGTAGACATTTCAGTGTAAATAAAATCAGTCAAATGGAAATTCGCTTAGTCTGCAGGTTTGCTGCGGCAGGGGTATTTTTGTTTTTTTATGAAGTTAGAAACTCAAACAACACCTCTAGATGAAATAAAACTATTTTATTATTTATATATTTATTATTATTTTATATATACGTCATGACTACAACAATGAACGGCGTAAAACACTAGCGTCTTAGTTCGGGACTAGGCCGCCGCCACCTCGGAGCGCTGACGTAGCGTTGGTGGGAGTAGAGCAGAGACCGACCGGACAGTGAAGTCTTAAGAGTCAGTTGGCGTTGAGCGAGAGGTTTCGTGCACACCAATCATCCCTAGGGGGTGTGCGTAGAATCCACTGCTAACGTATCCGGACGAAGCGATGTGAGACTTTTATTCGAAAATCGAGTAGATAAATATTGTGATAAGTAAGTACACCGTTATGGTGAGCGTATACATTTTTATCCTGATTTGTACTCACTTTGGCGAGCGAAATTTCATTATTCGTTAGGTCATCCTATATTGTTAAGAACCTAGTCTATTGTATTTTACTGCCTGACATTGCAAGTGCAGTGTCACAGTAGCCTACACCTTTTATTTTATTTATCAAAAGCGATTTTATTTATTTATCTCGGAGCCCAGAAGTGCATTGGCATATAAGCTCAGACTTATTTTATTTCGTTGATTTAATTATTTCAGGTTAACTACAATTCTGTTAAGTATAAGAGGATTATTTTTAGTTGTTTAGAGAAGTGATTTTTTTTGTTAAGCGTAGGTGCCATATAAGCGTATGTTAACCATATTTTATTTCCTATTCCAATTTGTATTTTGTTCGTATTCACATTTTAGTTAGAATCGACTTGTTCTTTGTTAGTGCGTCGCTGTGCTTGCACCGTGTTGTCGTGTGACATAGTTGTGATGTGACATAGTTGTGATCAGTGTTTGGTGCGTCGGTGTGCTGACGTACACAGTGTCACTCGTGTACTGGTAGATCGACGCAATAGCATCTTCCAAAGGCCGAGAAGTAGTAGTGAGCAACGGAGACAGTTTAGCGTGAGAACCCTGGACGTCTCGAGCTGTCCAAGAGAATGGAGGTAAGTTTAGGCTAGGTAAACCCAACCAAACAAAACACCTCACAAGTTTTGCCTGTCAAAATTGTAAATTGTTTGTTTAGACTCCCATTTTCATAAGATCGATAATATTTTTTGCTGTCAATAACCTTACATCAATTTAGTCACCAAAGGCGCATGACTTTCACGCAAGATTTTTATTTATGAATTTCACTTGTCTCCGTATGAAACACGTATAAAACAGTGTTCAGATTGGATCAGTTGCTGAGGGTCTAATCCCAGAAGGTCTAATTTTTAATTATAACCATAATGGCAACCCGTAAGCCTAATGTTAAAAACTGAAATTTTAGTTTTTAATTTTATATGCATTATCCAATGCCTGAATAAACCTTCCCACTACTTATCGAAACAAACATAATATATTTGTCCGAAATATGTTCAGATCTTATTTCGTGATGAATGATGATGTAAGTAACAAAAGTTTGTATTAAAGTGAATTACAAAGACTAAAGAGCTTCACTTTGCTCCACACAAATAAACGGATGTCCATGACTACAAAACATTTTACCAATATGTTTGTCTGCTCAGCATAAAAACAATAATTTAAAGCAATGTAGTTGAACAAATACAATTTCTTATGATTCTGATTGGTTTATTGATAGTTATATAGAGTTACCTGAGGTTGCATCTCTGACAGTGATCTGCTCTCCTCTGCTGGCTACGATGAGAACTTTGCGAACTCCCTCCTTGGCCAACTTGACTGCTAAGATACTGCTGTTGGTGATTGCCAGAGGTTTCTTGTTGGGATGAAGGGATACAAAAGCCCTCTTCTTTTTACTTTCTGTCTGTTAATCAGATTAAGATGATTTTTAACTTAACGGTTACTTTGATTTTTTATTGGTAATAAACTGGAACCACTCAACAACATGAGGTATATGCTTGAAAGCAACTAAAAAACACAACAAGACAAGTAAATAACATGCATTTACATATTTTTCTATAAGATATTTATAATTCTCAATTTTCTTGACCTTTGCAGGATATCCACCGCAACAGCAAGGACATAATATGTGTAGACATTGATGATAAACTGCTTAAATACTGATTTGGGGTAGGAGCCCAACGCAACTGTTTTTAACCACTCAAAGGAGCATGTTTCAGCATTCTGTCGTTTTAGTTCGGCTCGTATAGTATGGTTTTCAATAAACCAATTCTCTTACTTTCCATCCATAACTTGTATTTATACTCAAAATGTGATGATAAATTAATATTTAGCTACAAGTTTACAGTAAAAATTACGAATACAATATACGTTCTAGTTAAAGTTAACAAAATATTTATTAAAATTGGTTTGCATAAGGTAGCATAACTCCTGCATTTTGAGAATGGGCTGAAATATGTGAGCTTTTCTCTCTTTTACATGTGTTATCCTATCAATTTTAAATATTACGTCACAATTTGCAGAATGTTTATAATTAAAAGCTACCCCTCCGCAAACCTGCAGACATTAGGTTTAATGAGTACCTAGGTTTTCTGCTACAGGGAGGCTAATAACGTGTTTTTTTTTTGTAAAATATTAATAGCTTAGTATAAAATAAGTAAATTTGCCTGGTTTGATAAAAATGAATACATAAACAAGCAAACTGAATCATTTTACTATATCCTTCATAAAATAACATGGGAATTTTAAATTCCCAGATTGAATTTCAAACACAGATATTATCTACGGGAATTCCTTTGTTAGATCTTCAAGTTGTTAGGTCACAAACAAATCACAGCACCAGTTATTTTTTTTTTATATGTTTACCTTGACTGCATATGTGTATATAGATCCAGCTTTGGTTCCTACGATTAGCTGATTTAAGTTAATATCCATACTCTGGACTGGTGCATTCACTGTCAATGTTTGTGTTTCAATTTGTTCCTGAAAAAGTATTACTATTTGAACAAAGACAGTTAGATGGTAGATAGTTACATAGCTCTAAAGTGATTATATTGTACAGTGCAACCTTGATGGGACACTAATTTCGAACTTAGAAATACCGAGATTTGAATTATCAAGGTAAACCTTAGAATACCTTGAATAAAAAAGTGTCAATCTACATCCTTGGAACTTTTTACATTTTCTTAAGGGAAGAGTAGTTTACAAACCTCAGTCTTGTTATTATCTAACATGGACCCTTTGTTAAGCACGGGTAACACTAGGCTGCCACTGGTGAACAGTGGCTGGCAGCCAGGTCGTACTACTCACCTAGTTAAAAGCTCAGTTCTAGTCACCATGTCGTCGTAGGTCCTCGTAAACAAGTACTTTAGGATGTGTGAGAAAGAACTTTGATCAAAAATGCTTAACCGCAAGAAGAGGCGAAGGTGGACCAGGCCTTGTATATAAAGAAGGGACCAATTGGAAGCTTCTTCAAGACTGTTATGCAAGAGTTAAAAGAAGAGGACACAGAAACATACAGAAACATCAATTAGAAAAGTCAAATTGAATACTCCTATGAAAAACGTTACACAAACACAGATAATTTGGCAATAAATTAAAAAAATAAAATACCTGCTTCCACGATCACTTTAGCTTAGTCGCTTTTACGCTAAACAGGGTGTCTAGGTTATTTCCATTTTAAAATTCAAGACTAATTCCATACTGTTTAAGACTTGTTTTTTTTTCAACAATAAGTGATGTGTCAATTCCAAAATATATCGATTCTCGATTCTTGATACCGATACTGAAATTTATAGTTTTACCAAATTTTCTAAATAATTCGGTCAAACTACATTGTCTTTGTGTCATAAAATATTGGTGTTAAGATAATGGAGGTTTTTTTAAGTAGGCCTAAAAAAAAATGGTTCTATGAAAAATTCTATCTAGCCAATTTGGGTTTAAACTCTTCTTAACCAATAAATAACTATCAAGATCTAACGACAAAGAGACAATTTGTTTATAACCAAAGGTGAGCCAGCCTGATATTTCTCAATCAAGCCAAACTACTAGAGGTAATAGCGTAATCACCTGCAGTCACAGAAACATCATCACTATCTTTTGCGGCCACGGCAAAATCCTGAATACTGTATCCACAGAATCGCCATCTTCTCCCATGGTCACCGAAACATTATCAACGACTCCCACAATCGTGGTAAAATCACAAATATCTCCCAACTGTTATGTGGACATTATCATCGTCTCCCACGGTGGTGACAAAATTCTGATCATCACCCACGGTTCGTTTAGACATTATCTTTGTCTTCGATTGTGGAAAAATTCTAATTTACCCTCGCAGCCTTGTAGATGTTGATGATAGCTCCTGCGGTCACAATGTCATCGTCGTCTTGCGTGATCACGGCCAAATCATGAACATCTCCTGCGGTTACGAAAACGTTCGATCGACCTCTTGTGCGATCGCGACAAAAATCGTAACAATCTCCTGCGGTAGACATTATCATTAACTCTCATGGTCACGAAACTATAATTTTCGTCTTTCCCGATTGCGACAATATTCTGATTATCTCCCGTGGCCATGTAGACATCATCATCAACTTACACGGTCATGGAAACGTCATCATCGATCGTGGCAAATTCAGTAACATTTCTCGGCCATGTAGACATTATCTTCGACTCCCACTGTCTTGGAAAAATCATGAAAATCTCCCGCGGCCGTGTAGACATCATATTGAGGATGTGTGTGAAGGAAGAAGGAACAGCTGTGAGGTTTTGCAACAACTCACTGTTCTTTGACGTTTCTATCTAAATACCGTACTCCTTTGAAGAAACGTCCCTCAAACACGGATATTTTTGAAATAGATTTAAAAAATCTGTTCCCTGACTACCTTTCCCCAGTCATTTCTACACTAAAAATTACTAATATAATCAGATAAACAGAATTAGTAAAACAAAACAAGTACAGTACACAAAAAACTACATGTTGCTTTGGTAGCCACTGGGATGAGGTGGTCAGACTACGCTGTTGGCTAGCATCAGCGAGTGCGAGTGATCACATGACCTCTACCTTGCTACTAAAAGTTAAACATGTCCGACTTTGCCAGCCGCTGACAAATACTTGCCGGCTGGTGATGCCAGCTGCGAATTTTGTGGTCACATTAAGCTGATAGTAGCGGCTTCTTTTAATTTGCGGATGATGCCAGCCTAGTGTGACCAGTGTTTATGTTTTGGCTGGCGCCAGCGAGTGATCATGTGATCTGCTGGTCGTTGATGCCTTGCTACCAAAAGTTGAATATGTCCAACTTCACCCGCCACTGACAAATACTTGTCGGCTGAGATAGTAGCACCTTCTTTTAATTTGCGGCTGATGCCAGCTAGCCTAGTGTGATGCATACTTTTGATAGGCCAATGACAAATGGCATCTGGTTCCAGCAATGATTCCACTTGGAATTAAACCAGCAAACCTATGGATTTGCTGTAGGAGTACACACTTACTACCATATCATAAAACCTTCAGGCTAGTTAAACAGTGCCAATTTTGAAACTGCAATTCTACTGATTCTGTTTGAATATGTTTCCTAAATATCAAATTAATTGTGTTGTGAACTGTTTGTGGGCTGTCATAAACTGACTGGAACTCTGCCCTTAAGTGAGTTTTTTGTGTATCCATTCATTCTTCCTAATTCCACTCACAGAAATATTTTTTTGTTAATGAATTGTTTTTAGTTCATGTTTATCAGTAGTATTTCAACACAATTCTGTGTCCTCCTCCCCTATATAATGTAAAAAGAACCAAAACAGGTGTTGTGTGCAATCTCTATCAAACTTAAAAACGCCTTTAACTTCCACCCAAGTTGGACACTGTTTATTTAATGTGGGCTAGCTAAGCCACACATTAGTAATCTAAATATGAATTGCACATGTATGATTAAAGCCCCACGCATGTAGAATGACCTCTACACTACACTCATCAGTGCAACACCTAAGCCAACTGAATTTATACATTTTAATTTTTAAATCCTTGGTTTTAAATAGAGTTTGTTAGCTAATTCTAATATGTGTGTATATTCTCTAAGTCTGTATTCCTAGAAGAACTTACCTTCAATGAAAATAAACACACTGTAGAGTCTGCTGAACCGGTAATCAGGTATTTTGTTTCATAATAAACCGAAGTTATGGCGTCTTTGTGGAGTTTTTTTGTAAAACTAATGGCAGGTTCACCAAAGGCATATCCCATTACAAATCCATCCTTGCAACCCACAAATAAAAATTTCTTAGATTTATTGTACTTCATGATCTGAAACAAAAGGAAAAATTCAGGATTTAAAAAGCTATAGTTGTTGCTCAATCACGCATAAACTACAGGACGGATTGGGCTGAAATTTTGCATGATGATAGCTCACATTCCCGATTAACATTTAGGCATATTCTTATCTCAAAAATCCTTTCGGGCTCCGCCCCAGTAGCTCTGTAGTTCCCCATGTTAACCTTATGAGTACTTATATTTAAATGGAATTAAAGAATCGTAACAGCTGGTTCAACTAAACAATTTGATTCTGTGATGTTCAATAGCATTAAAAAGTTAATAGGCTTACCAACAGGGCACAGCCATGGTGGAAGGAAAAAACATAGGTGTGCTACATATTCCCACATATTCTGACGTCATTCGGATTGCAAGCAAAAGATCACCTGATTCCAACTGTCAAATTAGTATATATATTTGTTTTGATTTGGTTGTTATTGTGTTTATTATTATAAAAAACAATAACAATCAAATCAAAACAAATACATACTAGTTTGACAGTTACAATCATGTGATCTTTTGTTTGCAATCCGATTGACGTCAGAATATGTGGGAATAGCACACCTATGTTTTTTCCTTCCACCATGGGGCACAGCACTATTATTATTTTTTAATTTATGACAACAGCTAATTTGCAACCAAAAGGTGAGTGAGCGTAGCGAACCAACTTCAACCTGGAGGCAAGTTAGCGTAGCGAACGAGCTAAGCCTGAAGGCAAGTGAGCACAGGGAACGAGCTCCAACCTAAAGGTGAGTTAGCGTAGCAAACGAACTTCAACCAGGATGTGATTGAGCAATGTGAACGAGCTCATCTTGAAAATGAACGAGCATTTGACATAAAACCACATTAGGACAGTACAACGTCCGTCGGGCCAAAAAGATGTGGTAGACAATGAGAACTTTACTTTTTTCTACTGTTTAGATGCAGTGGTAGAACATAGGGCTACTGGTATGGTAGATGTGTGCTACACTATAGGATACCTTATAAACTAAAAGACGAAATTTTCTTAAACCGTGTCCTCTTCCATAACTCAAATAAGCATTTTATACTTATATGCCAACCCCGTACGAAGGACGGGTACTCTGCTAGTATAAATATACATATATATATATATGAATTTGAACGGATGGTGTTTTTTGGCCTCTCGGGACCTCAAAACGAAAAAAAATTTAAATCGGTCCCGGGTCCAGGTCTTACCACGAGTACTACGGTAATAGCTTATTCCCCTATATGGGAAATTTGCTAAAAAGAAGCATAATATATTAAATTTTAATTCAATTTGTTTGGGCTGTTTTGAGATGAGACATAAACTATAGCCTTTTTGTTTTGGATTCGTGTGAAGAATTAAGTTTAGCTGCAGTTATTTTGTTATATTGCTTCACAAAATAATGGTTAATATACATCAATATTAATTTATTATTTAATAATATTGGCCTCAAAATCATCTAGAATGACATTTCATCCTCTAACGACCTTCTACAAACATTATATCCACTAAACACAACACATACAACTGAAAAGATCAAATCAACTTGCACTTACTGTCATACAAGTGACTGTTTTTGAATCCAGATCATAGGATATTCTTTTGGTGCATATCAAATCTTTCTTTTCTGCTTCATCTTCTGAATTGAATCCTTTGGATGAAACATCGTCCGTTGCAACAGAGTCAACACCAGTTCCACTGCTAATTTCATCATCAGTGTCTTCGATGAGGTTAATTACTTCAACTGAATCTTTCTTTTTAGGTTTCTTCTTCTTTTTCTTGATGTTTGATTTATCATCTACTGTATTTTTGCAATTTCCTTCACTCGTATCACTTTCAGCAGGTACTTTGACTGGTGTATTTAAAAGATTTATGTTACTGAGGTTTGGATCTATCAAATCCTTCCTCACACTCAGCTTTGGTCGGTTCTCTTCCACAACTACATTTGTGGGAGCTACAAAGCCATTATCTGGTTGTGATGTATTCGGTTCAGAAGAGGGTACCGGTATTTCCTGTGCAACTGTGGTACCTGAATCAGAATTACCAAATTCCTTTTTTAAAGTGTATAACTCCGATATAGCTTCTTCTACAGTATTTTCAGCAGCTGAATTGGAAGTGTCGAGTGTGTTCATTTCTTGTGCATTGCGGTTTATAACTTTATTTAATTCTGTGATAACATTTGAGGTATTTGAAATAACATTCATTACGCTGCCTTGCTGGATTTGATCCTGAGCCCAGGAGTGAAACAGTGCTTGTGACATTCCTTGGTAAGAAAATATTTCACTATATATTTTCATTTTTTCACTCATTAATTCCTCAATCTGCTTATCAATGAGGAATAACCTCAATATCTTACTACTAACTTCTTGCATTTGACTTATTGGCAAGTTCTTTGAATTAATATAGCTTGTTCCTGTATCCTCGTGTGTATTACTTTCATTGCTTTCCTTTGGAACATTGTTGTGAGCTTCAGAGGTTGAAGGAATACTTGTATTTGTGACTGAGTTTGTACTTGACGGCTGAAGAATTTGTTTCACAACCTTTTCCACAACCGCTTCAACTGCAATTGAAATTAATTAGTTAATTTTATACAAGAGGTAGTTTTATCACCTCTTAAACATTAGCTTTTAATATTCACAGAACACTCCACATGCTGGTATACATATGGAGTAGTAGTTAGGAATTATTTTTACAAAATTGTTGGTAAATGACTCAACCTTATAGCATTAATAGAAAAAATCTAAAAACTGTACAAGGAAATTTTCCTACAAAAAATACACTGAGTATAACAAGCATCCTGTTGTTTGTAAGGCCAAAGCGGCTACAGTGACCATTAGGTTTCCTAGGATCTTAAATTACAGTGTGCATAAAGATAAAACACAACAAAGACATTGTCTGGGGATGTTAAGCTAATAGAATTGTTTTAGTTTATGATTCCTTTGGCTTTTTAGAAAAATAAACGGTCAGCTATCTGACACGTACTTTCTCCCATAAGCTTGTCAACGACCTTTTTCATGGGTAAGGGGTGGGAGCAACTATGATATTTTATAAGGAAAATCACAAAGTTGCAATAACTTTTAAACCGTGATTGTTACAGCAATGAAGGTTTGCGCTATTTTGTTTAGAATTATAAGGACCATAACAATTTTAATCAAAACCGGCTTTTTTCCTAAAATCCGTTGTAAAGATATTTTATGGGTGTTTATGGGAAAATCACATAAGTTACAATAACTTTTGAACCGTAATTTTGATGGAAATAGGATTCGTTCTATTTTGTTCAGAATGTGGCTATAACATAGGATCAGTTGAGGTAAAACGGGTATAAAAACAGCAAATTTCAATTTCTAAGCTAGATAAACAAAGTTTTTTTAATATTTAAAAAAGATTTTATGGTTTCAGCTTGTCATTAAATGATCTCCTAAAATGGTTTAGTATGTATTGTTATTGAATAAACTGTTTGTAATAAAAATTATTATCATTATTTATACCACAACTATTTCACCCCGTGGTTGGGGAAAAACGGGTAGGCCTATAGTACATGTTTTCTAAGTAAAACACAATAATCACTATTGAAGTACCTATTTTACCCCACTACCAAAATTAAACAAAAATTAAAAAAAACACCTGGGGATACCATGGATTAGTACTACATACCGAATTTAATCGAAATTGGACTCCAGGTGTGGTCTGTAGCTCTGTACACATCCACACATATAGACGCACACACACATCCACACATATAGACGCACACACACACACACACACACAGACATCACTTCGAAAACAACTGTTTTAGATTTTAATGGGACCCAAAATGGATATATCCACTCAAAACTCAAACTCGAAACTTTTGGCAAAAACAATACTTTCTCCATATAAGTACCTATTATGTATAAGGAGAGAAAGTAAAAATAGATATTATTTTCATCCTTTTGTGATATTTTTATGTGTATATGAGCTAGCCTATATATATATATTTTAGAAACTCAAAAAGAATAAACTAATATAAAGTTTTAATTACTGAGAAAGTTATAATTATGTCATAAAACAACGCTGGGCTTGAAACAATGTTTTTTTTAAGAGGTTGGCGGCCTCTTTTAACATTGCATTTGCCCGTCCACATAGACTAACTGCCCGTGCGTGGAACGTATGCAGTAAAGCAAGGGGTGAGCTGGTACAGTACAAAGGTGAACTGTACTGATAAAATGTTTGCGGCAGTGACCAGGATCCGAACCCATGACATCGCTGCCTTGGGCCCGGAGTCCGTGGCACTACTGACTGAGCCACCGACTCACCTAACTACTCTATTACTACTCTGTTGAAACAAAGAGCAAGACTTGTTAGAAAATATGACGTTCTTTTAATAACTACAGCAGAACTTGAATTATTTTAATTAATTGGGGATTGGCTCATTTGGATAGTTGGATATAATGAGGGTTAAAAGAAATATTCATACACAGAAAGAACCGTATCTGTCATTAATTTACATCATATGAAATGCACTCAGTTAAAGGACAACACATTAGGGTCTGTACTAGTTTTGGGAACTTGATTTAGTGCTAAGTGCAAATGCTAAAGAACTGAACTGTCAAATCAATCAGGAGAATTGCTTGAGAGGGTGGTAATGACTCATTGGTTTGATGCTAATTTTTAATACTAAGGAAAGGTAGACACTCTTGCTGAAATATTAACGAGTTGCATAGTTTAATATCCAACATTCATTATATCAACAATCCAAATTTACACCTAACAATCACATAACGTTTTACTCACCTGAAATATTCTGGAAAGATGATAACAGAGGGCTCTGATTGAAAAGAATATTATCATTTCTGTGAATATCTGGCTGAATAGTATGTTCCAGTCTAGATTCAGTTTGAGATCCTAATGATGAACTAGGAAGAAAATGTGAAGCTACATGGTTTGCCAAAGAATCTGCTTCATTGAATCTCCCAAAATCTTCTCTTTCTCCTGAATTGTGTGGACTATTTAATGGAAATGTTTTATTGTTAGTGTTGACATTCATTATGTTTCCGGCAACAGAGTTTAATATACCTGAATCCATATTATAAAAATTCTCCTGAGTTTCTAAATAGTTTTGTAAAGTTCTCCCCCTCCTCTTTTCATTTATTAACTTATTCATTTCACGCAGGTGGCCTAAGCCAAGCTTTTCTAAATCCTCCGGTGGAATCAAAAAATTGGGATCTTTTAAAAGGAAGCCAAAGTCTTTACAAAACTCATTTGCTTCTTCTGCCTCAATGTGTTCTGGTGTAAAATTTGGATTTCTTTCAAGATTTCTTTCCGTCTTTACTATTATAGGCTGCGGCATCTGGAGCTCAATAACCTGATCCTCAGTAACATGATTGTCTGCATTTTGGTTCCCTAGAACAGTTTTGTCTAGTAATGGATTTGGAATAGGCGGTTTTGTTGACTTGTCTCTTACTCTCAGTGTATAACCAAACAACCTTGATCTCAAAAAGCTTTGATAAAGCTGTCCAACTCTTGAAAATTCATCTATATTGTTCTGACTGTTTTGTTTATCACTTGATTGTTTGTTGGTTGTTTGCTGTTGTTGATCAATATGAATACTTTCTTGAATGCCTGTTGACACGTTGCCGAGTATTCGTTCTCTTTCTTCCTGTATATAAATATCATTCCTCAGTCTTGGAGAGGAAGATTTACTTGATTCAGGTACAATATTGTTTACAGCTGTCATACTCCAGCCACCAACTTTTTGCGCTTTTGCTTGGAGATTGGCAGGTAAATTTGAAGTGGTATTATCAAATGACCTCTGTTGGATTGAGTGAGTAGTAGTAGTATTAGGAGAGTTTGTATTCATGAAATCATTGGATTCAAGGTCTCCTTCAGTAGGAACACCTGGTGCAACAGATCCTATTTCTTTGAAGTCACTGTTGGTTAAACGTAAATCTAAATTTGGTCCTGGAGATTCCTTGTCTTTACTTTTATCTTCATTACTAAGATTATTTTGAAAGTTGATTTCTTTGTTCGATGATGATGATTTAGAGGCTAAAGCTTCTTCTATTCTCTTTTTTGTAGCAAGTACTTTTTCCATTCTTTCTAAATCTGAACCTGGACCAACTACATCTTCGTGGTCTTTGGACGATCTAGATGACAAAGAAGGTTGAAAATCAAAACCTTGACTGTAGTTTCTATTATTTGTTGGAAACCTAATATGATTGGTTCTTTCACGATTCCCCCAGGAATTCCCAGGGGGGCGGTGATTTTTTTGAAAACCTTGGTCATTTGTTTTATGATTTCTGTCCCACCTTGATGACACTCCTCTTTGAAATTCTTCTCTAGGATTATTAGAAGGGCCATGAAATCTCTTTGCCCCACTATTATGTGGATTCCATTGATATTTTCGTTTACTATCCCTGTTGTCTCTTCCACTAGAACTCATTTTTATCTAGAACAAATAATAACAAAAATCATTACATTTTTTTCTTTCTTCAAATTAATGAGAAGTGTTTTAACACTTTAAGCTAAGCCTATATTTTTATTTCTCTATTAATTGTGTTTTAATCATATATTTAAGTGGTTTATTATATATTTATTTCAAAAGGATACGTCTGTATCTAATCTAAAAGAAAAATCCATGTCCTTCTCTTCTATAGGCCTACCAATGAGAAAAAGCAGCAAAACAGAAGTTATGTGCAATCCCAGTTAAACTCAATAATGCCGTCAAATTATACCCAAGTTGGACACCGTTTATTTAGGACTAAGGTGGGCCTTCTACACCAGCTTAGCCAACTGAGCTACCATGCCAAATGAGAAGTGCTGCTATAAGCACATTAGCGCTCACAGGTGAACCAAGCTATATTCAGGCTTAGGGTTTAATATGTTAAAGCACGATTATCAACAGAAACCTCCCATTCCCGTGCCACTTTCATATTATTTATGACCAACACTGTGTGCAAGCAAGATGGACTTTGCCTTCAGTTAGCATTGCAAAAAAGGCTTTTTGCCGCCTGTCCTTGAAATTTAAAGCATAACACTTTCATTTTGAAACCGGGAATTCGCGGGAAATGCAGTGAGATTTCAGGTTAAACTACGGGGATTCTAGGGGTAATTGTGGTACAGTGACCTGTTGCTGCATTGCTATTGGTTGTGGTGAAACGGGTGATGTTAGGGCCTACCAATCAATTATCAATTGTAATCAATTTTTACAGGATAACATGGATACGATATAAGTGTTTATAAAGCATATTACAATGAAAATCAGGTGTAGGTGGATGACAAGAGAGAAATTTTTAATTGAATACATTAAAAATGTAGAAAACATGAAAAATCAAATTGAAGTATTAGGCCTACCTTGACAAAAAGAATACAGAATGTTCAAGAGTGCAAGAGTGTGTTTAAAAATGCAATACAAAGTTCTGCTCTAGGAGGGCAGAGTGATCATGAGACGAAGGGAGGGGGAAGTTTCTTGTTGTGAAAAGTGGCGCTGCGCGCTTATCTCGACCATGAGTCATGAAATGAAACCCACGGGCTCCGCGCTGTACGCTGCCACAGAAAACATACTAGGCCTACTTGTTTTCTGTGACGCTGCCCAGCTGCCGAGCGTCAGCTCACTACAAATCGAAACTGCAATCAATGCCTTGAGTTGAAGTGCTGTACAAGTATACGCATTTTCAAGTGCTGTTGGTACAAATATAATTATGCCTTTGGTGTGGTGCTTTGGATAGGCTATACTTGAACTCTGAGCAAAAAATAAAACAAAATTAAGTTGTTCACTTGTCAGTAAAGTTGTTTCCAATTTTGTCTTCTAAAAAAAAATTGTCCCGTTGGCGCCACTCTTGCGTGGCGCCATAATCGACCGCGTAGTTCGCGTATGGGTTAAACCAGCCTTGATGGCCTATACATTTTTGTAATGTTTTTAGCAATAACCGATTCTGATTTCTTATGTTTTATTGAATTAGGTATGGTAGCCAGTGTCACATTTTAAAATGAGTGCCTTTTAGTTAATGCATTTAACAAAAAGCACATTAAAGTAATTAACTAATGTGTTAATTAATTAATTAATTTAGGGTAACACATTAGGCCCTAATTAAGTTAATAATAAAAAATAACAATCTTAGGCCTATCGGCAAATTGAAATTTGAGTTTCTCAACTTTTAACCACAGACGAAGAAACTTTTTTCTTTTCAGATATTAGCCTATTCCCAGATTAAACCGGGTGTACACTATGTAGCAAAACCTGCTATAGGCTACTTATAACATTTGCTATATAACATCGTTATAACTTTTGCTAGGCTATATATAACATTGCTATAGGCCTAAGTTATAACGTTTGTTATACATAAAAGTTACAGACAATTTTAGTGATTCCGGTGCCTGTGCTAGGCCTATATGTCATGTGTAGCGCAACCTCATTCACATTCTGCATTAAAATGTTGTGCCGAAGAGACCTATTGATCTGTGGAAGGGAAGGTTTTGGGTTTGACCCCCAATTGCCTCAAGAAATAAGTACCGGTAAGTTTATAGTGCAACAGATTTATTACAGGACCTTAATGATGACGATCTCGCTGACAATCCATCATTAAAACACTAAATAAAACGAGATAGTAGCGGTAGCTTAAAATAAACTTTTTACCTATGACGAGTGAAGATTTTGAATTCATCATTGGCCACAAGATTGAAAGAAAAACACAACATTCAGAGAATGTTAGATGCAGGCCTAGCATGTATTTCTTTAGATATTTACTTGAATACCGGTACTTGAATATTTACTTGTTGTCTTAATCTTTGACCGAAGTATATCGGATAGATTGCGTCGTTATACTAATATTTACAAAATTATTACATACAAAACTTGCTTTACAAAATACCATAAAACTTAAAACTTTAAAACTTAGGCTGTGGTAAGCGTGTCTGTTTCTCAACCTGGCATCAAAGGATCATTTGACAACTCGTCAAAAGACTATACAGGGGCCTAATTGTGAGCAAGTTCTTCAGCTCGATCTTAAACGCTGTACAGTCGAGGTTCCTTAGGTGGTTTGGAAGGGAGTTGTAGATTTTGATAGTCGAGCGGGGGTATCTCCTTAAGGTATGGCTCAAGCGGCAGCGAGGCATATCAAGGTCATGGGCCCTTCTTATTCCATTTGCCGACTCCCGATAGATAGCACAATTTTTGTAATATATAGCAGTGTTATATTGCACGGGTACACTTCCATATCTGTTGGCACAAACAACCGAATGAGTAATATTGATTATTCGATTGTTTAATTCGATATATCGTTTGGTTAGTTAGGTTACCTAACTAACCAAACGATATATAGAATAATCGATGTATCGATTGATATTACTCATTCGGTTGTTTGTGCCCACAGATATGGAAATGTACCCTATAGGCCTAGCGCTTTTGAAAAGTTACTTTTTCTACTTCTAGCAAATGTTATATTCAACATTGCTAGATGTTGTAAACACAAATCTGCTAGGGATAGCAGGTTTTGCTACATAGTGTAACCCCGACTTTAGCGTACATATTTTGAGAACAAAAAGGCCAGTTGTCTGTTATCTTTAAGGCCTAACAGTAAAATAAAATTTGTGAATGTAAAAAAAATAATACCTACATAGTAAAGAGTCTATAATAGGGCTAAGGTAGTTTACCTCGCAATTTAAATAAAATCATCTAAGTGAACCGTCAAAAATATATTCATAACAACTAATTTTAATTTACAGCAGTTACTTGTCTAGAAATGTTGTAATGTTCACGCACTCACGATTTTTAAATTGAAAACTATAACCTTAATTATTTACGGTTACGGGCTTTATGGAAGCAGCAGCGAGCAACCCAATTTCAATTTTGCAGGTTATGTTTTCGTTTTCTTTTTCTTTTCTTCAAAATAATGCAAAGGGAGGATTAGCTCACTTCTCTTGGCTCGAATAGCTGTCATGAATCTTTTCTAATTAGCTACGGCCACACGGGTGTTTTTTCACGCACAAATGCAGCGTGAAAACATGCGAAAATATGAGCAGCATTAAATGTAATGGGGAGTGTCACACGCAGTGTGTTTTCCTTTCCCGCAGTGGCGCCAGTGGCGGGCACCTATTCGTTTCAATGCTACTAAACATTTTCGCGTGTTTTCACGCTGCGTTTGTACGTGAAAAATCACCCGTGTGGCCGCAGCCTTTGAGCTCCAATGACCGTTGACTACCCAATGACAAAGGCCACGGCGTGAGACTTGGCAACGCTGCAAGATGTTAAAATATATTTATAGCAAACTACGAACTTTGGACAAATTAGATGACAAAGAAAGGTTGAAAATCAAAACCTTGACCGTAGTTTCTATTGTTTGTTGGAAACCTATGATGGTTTCCTTAACGATTCCTCCAGAAATTCCCAGGGGGCGGTGATTTTTTGGAAAACCTTGGTCATTTGTTTTAAGATTTCTGTCCCACCTTGATGACACTCCTCTTTGAAATTCTTCTCTAGGATTATTAGAAGGGCCATGAAATCTCTTTGCCCCATTATTATGTGGATTCCATTGATATTTTCGTTTACTATCCCTGTTGTCTCTTCCACTAAAATTCATTTTTATCTCGAACAAATAATAACAAAAATCATTACATTTTTTTCTTTCTTCAAATTAATGAGAAGTATTTTAACACTTTTAGCTAAGCCTTTATTTTTATTTCTCTATTAATTGTGTATATCATATATTTAATTATTTGCAAATCTACACGACTTAAGCTTTCCAACGACCCATTAATTAATAAAATCGGTCCAGTAGAACTCTAGATTTAGTTGTACAAAGATTTTTAAAACTGAATTATATATAGAATAGATATATGTATATTGATAAATAAATAAGATCTTTAGTAATACCGATTTAAAAATGAAGAGATATCTATGAAACTTAACAATAATTATTAACAATGCAACAATAAAATAAAGCTCTCTGTAAAAAATATATAACAAGGAACCAAAGGAATGACAACAGTTATAAATTACTTGCATGTTTACTTGAGCTTGTTTAGATCCTCGCATGACTCGATCCTGATGCACCGATCATTCTCACACTTACGGACAAAGAACTTTCCATCCCTACAACAAGCATACTGGTAGCCAATGCCCTTACACTTCGCCTTCAAATCCTTCAAGAACAGTTTGTTTTCAGGTGCCAAATGTTCGTTCACGTAGACGGATTTTTCTGGAAAGTCTGTATTTATCTGACGAGCATTTAACTTCTTCCTATCCCTAAACTCTTGCAGCAAAGTGTCTCGGGTTACCCTTCTGGAGAACTGGACGATGAAAGGCGGCGGACGATCCTTCTTGAAGGATGGAACTCGATGAGCCACCGAAATGTCACCCTCCTGGATCTCCACTCCTAGGGCAGTGCCGACGTCCTTCACCAAGCTCGTGACATCCTCATTTGGAGTTTCAGGGATTTCGCTAACTTCCATACGTTGTTCTTCCTGGAGTATTGCTCGAGTGCACGGACCTTGCTCTTGAGGGAGGTTACCTCTTTGTTAAGGGCGGCATTGTCACTGCGAAGGTGTTCATTTTCTTTCTTCATCGATGCAAGCTCTTCTTTTATATTTTTCATTATGTTCGTAGATTCATCCATCTTGTTTGACATTTAAATTGCATGGATTCGGTCAATTCATTGATCTCATTCCTAGTTGTGTTTAGTTCATCAAACATTTGAACTTTAAACTCTTGCAAGGCCTTGAGAAGCTCATTGGTAGTAGTGACGACCTCTCGACACTGTTTACACTTCCAGTCTCTAAACGAACGCGTTTTAGTGCCAACGACGTCGTCTTGGATGCAGCGAGCATGAAAAAACTTCTCGCAACTTCCAGCGCACTTCACCTTCTGATCCTCATCACTATCACACGATTTACCGCAGATGCCACAGTCAGACGACATTTTTAAGTGCTAACGTACGATATGTTCATAAACACGACTGCAAACAACGTATGTCACGTGTGGCGGTAGAGCAGGAACATGCGTGTAGCAGGCGAGAGCGATGTAGTACTCGGAGCCTCTTATCAGCTCGGCGGACGGAGCTAGACTAGCAACAAAGCTAGACTAAGTAACAATGCAAAGGTACAATCTAAAAGAATAATGGAGTCAGGTTGTTGCTATGTTTTTATTAGTTATGCATGGCTCAGTTACGGGGCATAGCACCAAATAAGTACATTAAATCATTGAACTAGAAAGAACTTTGAAATTATTGCTGCAAGACAAATATATAGGTATGAAAAACTTAGCAGGAATTAGTTTTAATAAACCAAGTACAAACATAACATTTATTTACTCACATGCACCATTCAATAACTACTGTACAGTGTATAGATACTTTGAGTAGTGGCAATATACGGGTTTTACGACACTTTGAGCGTTTTTCCCCATACGAATAACATGGTGAGCTTTTTTTAACCACTTTTTTAAAAAATCCTGCTCTCGGCCTATACACCCTTATACAAATGTTCAATACTATTGTACAACTCCATAAACATTTCAAATCCACATCCATTCACATGTATATTCTCAAAATCGAGCGAGGTTTACACGTGAACTTGGGCGTGCTCCCGGCTCATGGCGCACTCCCGGCCCATGGTCGGCTCGCTTCTTGCCTCTAGTGGCAGCTCGTGATAGGGGGCTGTGAAATGGCATCCTTTGCGGAAATCCACGAATTCTGGCTACTTGGGAACCCAAGCCATTTGACATACAACAAATCACCCTTCCTCCGAATAACCTTCTCTACCAAATACATGTCTTTATATTTTGGTCTTTAACAACTCCTCTGTATAGAATCCTCCCCTGATTATATTGCCATTTTCATCATTCAAGATACAAGTCACAGGATTTGTATTCTTAACTTCTGCTATTGTAAATAGCTCCCCTGTCCAATTCGGGGCATATCCTTTACTGAACACATGTTTGTACTCGGAAATCCTTACACTATCTATCACCCACCTTATATCTTGGCTCTTTAACTTGCACTTTAGAAGTCAACCTCTCATGCACATATTTTCTTAACACTCACTTGGTTAGGCTTCATTCCTATAGATCTATGCACTTTATTATTATATTTTCTAATTAACTTTAGAAGTAAATCCAACCATTTATAACTCCCCTGAGCACTAAATTCCCTATATAGCCAATTCTTTAAAGTTCTCTGGAACCTCTCCACAATTGCAGCCTTAGTTGTAGAAAAAGTGTGATAGTGATTAAATGTATCTATTAAAGTTAAAATATATTTATTGCCAGAATTCTCTCTAGCATAGTTTTGCAAATCAATTAAATCTATCTGTACGGTTTCGTTTATACCCAATACTTTAAAAGACCTTCAAATGAAATTCTTTCTTGCAGGCTTATGAAGTTCGTATGCAATTTCATTCATTTTTTATAACAACAGTACTTCCTTTAACTGTAAATATATTACCATCACCCCAATCAATAGATTATCTTCTTTTCTTTTAAATACATAGTTTTCTGGTATATTATCGTCTATTATCTATATACTTAAATCCACTCAAAGATGTGGGGTCGGCAACTAATAAATCAGGATTGTATCCATCAAATTAAATTTGTTTTCTCCTAGGCTTGTTCCTGCTTCTCGCTTCTTGTCTCTGGTGGTAGCTCTTGATTGAGTTCTGTGTGAGCAACCTCCCGTTGAAACAATTTATAGTTACATTTTTTAATTATGTTATAATTTCTTAATTTCTAGTTAAAAATTTTGAAATTTTCCAAAAGTCTATATATAGAGGTGACATCCGCGCGAGACCTCATTCCGAAACACGAAGCTGTCATGTTAACACTGCTAACTGTCGCTCTCCAACAAAAGCAACCTGATTCGCCACTACAAGGTAATACATCGAAAGAAATGTGAAATTGTGCAACGTTTGTGATTTTATATGTGATAGCCACATGGCTCTAATTAAAATCGCATATACTACAAAGTCATAAGACTTGTAATTAAAAAAAATGTTGTTGAACATTTTAAAAGACACACAATGATTAAATTTGTCGGTGAATCGATTATAGGTGATCTTAAAAAATACTCTTCAGTCTTGTCCACTGCCGATAAAAGGTCCGCCTATACAACCGAGGTGGCGGGTTGGCGTGAATCCACGACAACCCACCACCACACATTTATCCGAGGTGGCGGGTTGTCGAGCACACTCACGTCAATGAGCCACCACGACAACATGCCACCACGACAACCCGCCAATACCAGTTTTTATCAGAGGTGGCGAGTTGTCGTGAAGCTCCATGTTCTATGTCGTCAACCCGCCACCTCGCACGTAGGCGACAACGTACCACCCCATCAACCCGCCACGCCACCACTCTTTTACGAGATGTTGGATTGTCGTGTACGCCCAATGTTCGGTGCCGTCAACCCAACAACTCGCACGTAGACGTCAACCAGCAACCACGTTAACCCACCACCACACTAAAGAGGTGGCTGGTTGACGTGTTTGAACACGTTTAAGCACCACCACGACAACGTGCCACCACGTCAGCACACCAACACACATATTCGAGGGGGCGGGTTGTCGTTTGCGCTAGAGTCAACGTGCCACCCCGACAACGAGCCACCACGTCAACCCACCACCTCAAAATTCTTCTTCTTTTTGGTGGTGGGCTGACTTGACGTGGTGGCGGGTTGACGTGGTGTGGTGGTGCCTTGGCGCGTTCCCCCCTTAGGAAGTATACTTTAACTTTACCTCTGGTCAGAAGTGACATTATAGAAATGTATGTATATATTTGACTTTGAAGTATAATCCATTCTATTGTCCTTCTTTTTTCTTTCGTGGCCTTTGATCCACGTATGTCACTTTTTAGTTACTGTTTGTGTTTTGTGTTCTGTTCTGTTCTGACTTCTGCTTCTGACTGATGATCACCGGACTGCCAACGCCAAATACTGCCACCGTCCGTGCAATCAATCGCCGCTGTTGCTCGTTGCTGTTATGGAGAATTTGGAGATAATTGAAATTTAGTTGTCAGTCTCTCATTAGCCTACACTGAATATTATTGGGAACCAACATTTCGAAGCTTAAATCAATCGGGTTTTGAATAGGTGAGATATTAAACTTCTAAGACACAAGTTACCACAAATTTATAACTTAACTTATCCCTAGATTTTAACTTATAGCCTATTCTGCCCTATACAGGCTTACCACTATAAAACTAGGGACCCTAGGCCTGGCTTAATTCATATTTAAGAAAAACCTGTCATTATTTTATCATGGGAAGTCTTAATTATAATAATAACTAACTTATATTTCCCCTAGAAAGAATAAAACGCCTTGGGCTTAGCCTATGTCTAATTTGTTTGATGATCTTTTTAAGGTTACGGTATACATCTTTGTTACAGAATATTGCATTATTATGGTTCTATGTAGTCTGGAATTCTTAAAATAGGTCCTTAATCCTAATGTAAGGAAAGGCAGGGCCATCGCGGAACTATGGGCCTGAGTCGAGTATCGCTGGAGGTTTTAGGTGTGTCAGGGTTGTAAGGTAGGGAAATATTCCCCCATAAGATACCTTTGTGGTTAATTATTTACGGTTATTGTTTACGCATAGGATACGCGTCCGGTAACCGGACGTGGATTAGGCGTACGGCAGTTACTGTCATAACCAACCAAACTTGCTGATGATGAAGATATCGAATTAAGGTTAAATTCTGTTCATAAAATAATTGCCGAAAATTCTTACAAATGATGTACAGTTAAGAAGAAATGGCATTCAAAGCAAAATCTTTGACAAAAAGTTCTGGGACAAAAAGATGGGATTAAAACCAGGGACCTCTTGCATATCAGCCGAGCACTCTATCCACTACACCTCGAACACCGATGGCTGTATATTGTATTGTTGTAATGGCGTTCCGGGCCCCCACAACCCGGTGACGTGACTGACGGACGCCTAATCCACGCCTGGTAACCGGACGTGTATTGTTTAATTTGGCTGCACTTTAGTTTCTGTGCTACGTTTACTCACATATAAGTTAAGTTACTCATGTTTGGCTAAGGTAAGGTTTAGTTTAGTACAGTTTCATCAGCTGGTAGTTAATGTACCTATCATAGTAGGCCTAAATGTAGGACAGAAACTAAAGTGCAATCTTCAATTTCTAGGGCCCTTCAAATTAATTTTTAATTTTGATATCTTAAGTCACTTTATAGTTATTTACCTCCTGAATCCAAATATACCATAATTTTTCACAACAGATGAATATTACTGATGATATCGCCGTTCAAAATACATTGTTTGAATCAACAAGGTAAGTAACTTAGGATGGATGTCATTAAGAGCCCTTTCACACGAGGCCACCGGTGTCCGCCACCAGTCACTGGCTGGGCAACTGCAGTGGATGGTACAGGCAACTGACAATACCTACATTCCACTACAGCCACTGTACAATGGTACAGGGTATTTAAGTATCTGCCGCCTCTAGTATCCCCCCCCCCCTCACTTTTCAGTGCACTCCCCGACCTCACTAATATCACCCCAATGGCCAATACATGTCCTGTCAGTTGATTTAGTGAAAAATTGTCGGCAATATTGCATGCTGTATTAACAAATTTAATAACTTTTTGAGCCCTTTTAACGGAGGGTTTTTTTACCGTTTTCATGCAAAACGTGATTCTAACTTGGATATATGGAATGCAACGTTTTTATCCAATCAGTAATTAATCATGTTTTGCACCATGAACGGCACACAAAATCGTCTGTTTTAAAAGGCTCTTATAACACTTTTCATTAACTTAGCCAGATCCACATGAGAGACATGCTAGTGGCTATTGACAAATATATTTACTTATAGAACTGTTTTATAAAAAAAACCCGCATGAATCGAAAAGAAAAAGTACTTACTTTTCCATAAAAGAATAATATACCATTTAAAAAAAATAGTTAAATTGGTTACAGTAGGTAGTATTTTGTTCACACTTTCATTCTTTCAACTTTTCAACCTTTCAGCTAGCGCTGTCGCTGCGTAGTGGCGTATGAAGTGTGGCCTAAACAAGGGGAAGTGTTTTCTTTGTTCCCCCCTACCCACTCCACTATGCTCCCACGGTGCGCGTGTCTGCCAGAGCAATTAATAGGGCAGCACAGAAAACTCAGCACAGCCGTGCAATAAACTATTGACTTTTGTTAATGTGTTCTGAAATAATTTTATACTTAATTAAAATATTTCAAATGGATGTTTTGCCGTTCCCAGAATTATTTGCTAAATGTTTATTTTTTTTAGATTAAAACCTCCCTTTTTAATTTAATTGAATTCTTCCTTTGTCTTCTTTTCTTCTTCTTTATTTTTAATGTCCTCTTTATTTTCTTTTGATCACCCCATTTTCACAAACAAACAATTCAACACGAAAACAGTTAACTACTACCACAGTGCGTTTGTCTCTGCAGTCTGCACTTGAACTGAACAAAAATAGTAGTTGCGCCCGCATCCACGGTGGCGGCCACTGGTTGCCACTGGATTTTGTAACTTAGTGCTTAAGTGGTCACTCATTATTTTAGGCTAGGCTCGGCTCAGTGTCCCTCATTGCTTCATTTATGTTTGGGGTCCGCAACAACGTGTTTGCCAGCGTAATTCCACCTGTACTTTAATACACTTAACCCCTATCATGGTCTAAGAAAATATGACCGTGAAAAAAACCGTTAGTATAGCCTACAGTGAATTTAATTTTGAGTGGGGAGCTGTAAATAGTAATAGGTTACAAATGACAGTGATGTTAATGAAGAATTTAGCACTGGTGCTGTAGGAGGAGTATTCCAAACCAAGTAGTGTATTCCAACTCCAAGTAGAGCTTAACACTACAACAATGTTTGATTCACAATCTTATAAACTTATCTGAGAGTGAGAAATTAAAATAAAATGTGTTGCTAACTAACTCTGTTTGATATTGTAGGTTGTCCGAAGCTTAAACATGGCATTGGTAGAACAACCGTGCTACACCCTAATAAACTTTCCATCAGATGCAGAACCTCCAAATGAAATGCAACTTAAAGCAGACCTTGGTAAGTTAGTTAAAACACAGATTAGGCTAAAATACCCCCGCCGCTGCAAACCTGCCGACTAAGCGAATTTCCAGTTGCCTGAATTGATTTTCAATTAAATGTATTTAATTAACATTAGGTTCTAGGAGTACATAGGTTTGCTGCTACAGGGAGGGTAAAAAAGATCATGCTGGACCGCGATCTCATTCATGTTTATCCCGCCTTACACCTTTAAACCAAATTTCATCAAAATCGGACCAAAATTACTCAAGTTATCGTGTTTACGGACACACACATATATCTATATATATATATATACATATATAAAAATTTGAACAACTGGTGTTTTTGGCCTCTGGGGATATCAAAAGGAAAAAGTAAATCGGTCCCGGGCCTAGGTCTTACCATGTCACCTACGGTAATAGCTACTTCCCTATAGGGAAATTTGTTAGACTCTGCCAGTGATTAATTCAACAAGAAGTTATATACATATATATTTGTCTAAAGATTAGAGGTGGGCCGATACTGATACTCGATACCAAAATACTCGGTATCGAGGTATCGTCGATACTCGATACTTGCCTGTTTTGGGTTCGATACCGATACTGACACTGAACGGTACAAATCGGTGCGGATTAAGTCAGTTCAGAGCGGGTAAATTGCCGTTACGAATCCTAGCTGTTTGCCTACTTAGTAAAGACAACCTTATTGGCTAGTTTTCAACTCCAGTGATGATATTTGGAAGTATCGGTATCGATAGGTATCGAGAGTACTTTGGTGTTATCGGTATCGGCCGACAATTTTTTGTATCGGCCCATCTCTACTAAAGATTTATACAAATTAAAAACATTATATGAAACTGAAACCTAACACCAGTAGTTGAACTTTCTTATTAATTAATCTTGGTACAAATTAATTCCAGTCAAGATTTTACCAGTTTCAGGATTTGAGGAATTCATGTCACATCTTGAGCTTGGTTGTCATTTCACTCAGGTAGGAGGCCTAGTTGAGCTCTTTACAGCTCAAGTCAGAGGTAAGGTTACTCATGAGTCCAGATGATCCCATTTACAGAAAAAACCCTACTCTGTTTACAAGATTTGTTTGAAAATACATTGTAATAGCTTAGAACTGCAATATCGACTAATATAGGTTTTACAACACCTGTTAGCAGTTCCAACAGTACCAATCAACCTGCTAATAGGCATTGTAAATCCAATATTAATCTAAATTTAATAGTCTGAAATTAAAATTTCACCGTCAATTAATATGGTTTTGTTTGCAGAAAAAGGAGACATTAAAACAAAAATTGAAGCTTTAAAGAAGACAATTCACATGATCGCTAATGGAGAAAGACTACCAGGTCTTTTGATGATCATAATTCGCTTTGTTCTTCCCTTACAAGATCATACAATCAAGAAGTTGTTACTCATCTTTTGGGAAATAGTACAAAAGACATCTTCGGATGGTAAATTGTTGCAAGAAATGATCTTGGTCTGTGATGCTTACCGTAAGGTTAGTAGTACAGATTGCATTTGTGATACCTATTTTATTTGTTTACAATGTGTGAAAAGCTGTGATTTATATGCTATTTTATAAAGATATGTATAAATTTAATGTATAAGTACAATAGTTAAATTATTCTTGCTTTATAGACCTACATTTTGTTTAGCTTTTGGCTGGAGTTAGTTACTAAAGATCAGTCATTAACTAAACACACCAAGAAATAAGTCATGAAAATCACTTTTCATTGAAATTCAAAGTCTAATGTTCATTAGATTTAAAATTGGATATTACAAATTGCATAAATGATACAATCCCACAATGTTAACCAAAATATAATTCAGAAATAAAAGTCTGTGTTCTCACTCCTCCATACTGGTGTATGAAGAAGCAAAACAGGTGATGTGTGCTTATTAGGTCTGATGGTGATTGGAGTGTCCAATTGAAATCGATCACCACTTACCATATTTTTTGTATATTTAATTTTTTTTAATTTACCAAATTTTTTGTTGTCTTGTGAATAACAGTATAAGCGTAATTATATGTTTTAAGTGTTATAAGACGTATCTTTTATTTACTTTCCGTATTTTTTATCACAATTACCTACTGTTTAAAAAAAAAAGTTTAAAAGACATTTTGGGTTATGTAATCTGACACTGTCTTCATGTGAGCAAGTACCGTTACCTAAAATGTAAGAATAGTACAGAGGTCAGAGACCCAGCCAAAATTGGAAAATTACAAAAGAAAAACCACTCAGGTAACAAAGTTGAGGCTGTGAAAGGCTGAAAGCTTCGGCTGAGTATTGTTTACTAATCTTGTTATGTTTTAAGCAATTTCTCATCAGAGGACAAGATCTGATTCCAAATGCCGAAACTTTGTGAAAACTTATCTTTATACAATTCATGATGGAAAATGTCTGCAATAATCCCCTAAATAACATAAACCTACCATAGACAAAATGAACTTGAAACAAGTAATGAGATATTGTATTTGTATGTGACAGGATCTGCAACATCCCAATGAGTTCCTGAGGGGCTCAACTCTGAGGTTCCTCTGCAAGCTGAAGGAGCCCGAGCTGCTGGAGCCTCTGATGCCAGCCATACGAGCCTGTCTGGAGCACAGACACTCCTACGTCAGGCGCAACGCAGTCCTCGCCATCTTCACCATATACAAGTAAGTCACTCCACTCACTAGTAAACTCTATTGTCAAAATACCTATGTAGGTGGAAATGGTCAATTGCTGTGAATCTATTGTTTATCTATATAATCTATCGTGTGAATATATGAAAAACCGAGTCTCAAAACATTTATTTTTAATAATTATACATTTATTCCACACAAACAACCAGTTATATGGAAACATGTAATTTGTGAAAATATCTGAGAGGTTAACAAACTTTTTATAAAGCAGAAAAAAACCTATAATCTTTAGATGGCAGAAAACACACTGCAGATTCTGTTTGACAAGCTACTATATTAGCCACTATATTAGCCTCTATATAGGTATTGACTATATTAGCCAGCAGCAACAGTTTTTGGTTGAAACTTACATTGTGACACTTCCAAGTATATGTTTGTTCAATTTAAGTTATTACAAAACAATACCCTCTCTGCAGCAAATTTTGTTAATGGTGAATTTTATTGCTTGATAATATTAATGAATGATTAAATGTCAATTGTTCACAACAACTCAACACAACTTAACTGTTCTGTCCAGGGTGGTACAGTTAACAGTTTTTTGGATAGTGGGTCATTGAAATTAAAAATATGAAAAAATTAACTTTTAAATAAAATTTTATGAGTTTTTTATTGGTTTTGGACTGTCTCCTGTCATTGTAGCAACATCCAAAAGCATATCTTGCGGTCTCGGCTACAGTGGTAATCAGTGGTATGCCTTCGATCGCAGAAACATCGGTTTGCATATTTTGAGGCTAAATTCCATCTTGAGGCCCCCTGAATTATTATAAGTTGACTAATATGATGGTACGATTTACCTCCATAAACACCATAGGGAGGTCAAAAAATGGACGAGCCTAAGAGATACGTTTGTGTTGAATTTACCCACACGCTTCAAAATTGCCTATTCAAAGAGCTTAGTAGGCTGGGAATCAAATTAGCATTCAAAACTACAAACCATACTCTGAACACCCTGTCACAAACAGAACGATCAATAGATAAAATTGAAGTTAAGGTGTTTATAAAATTAAATGGCAAAATTGTATGAGTCTGTATGTGGGGCAAACAGGTTGTGGGTTCGTTACTCATTACAACCAACATAAACCCAAACTGTACAATTAATCAAACAAAATTCAGGGTTTGCACAGTACTTCATCAACCTAAACTTTAATATGAGTGTGATTGCCGATAATCTAGAGGTGCTACATGCATGCAGAAAAGGTAGTTAAGTAAACAAGTTAGAGGAATTTGAAATTTACAAATTAGGCTATGCCACAACAACAACGCTGGTGGACATTTCCTCAATAAAAAACTGCAGTTCGAGTCACACTCTATTTTTAATGTGTTAATAAGCCCAAGTAAACAGCCACCTGACCTTTGTTCTACTAAAAACACCCAGATAACAACGTGTGTGCTCGAATTGATCTGTGGTCAGAGGGTGGTTTTGGTTATACAAACTACCCCGGGGGTCTGGCAGGTAGGTAATATGGTCGCTTAAAACATGTTATCTGACCCGTGAGTCATTGAGGGAGGAAGGTAAATTCTTGACTTAAATTACATGACGAGGTAAATTGTACAATCCTATTAGTTATATTTTGCGGTCTCGGCATCACTGCTGGATCATCTCTCACAATAGTGGCAACACTGGCGACTCTAAAAATTTCTGTATAAAGAAGTAAATAATTGGTTATACTAATGAAAAGGACTAACAATTAAACAAATCATTAAACTCAATGATTTCACCACATTAAAATATCATCCAATTTCAGAAATTTTGAATTTTTAATCCCGGATGCACCAGAGCTAGTGGCTAACTTCCTTGAGGGAGAACAAGACATGTCCTGCAAGCGCAATGCATTCCTCATGCTACTGCACGCTGACCAGGAACGAGCATTGGCTTATCTGGCCTCTTGTCTGGACCAGGTCAACTCCTTCGGTGACATTCTGCAGCTGGTCATAGTGGAGCTCATATACAAGGTAGGTCACTCCAACAATATCATCATTTTATGGTGGATAATAAATTAGGGATGGACGAGATTGGATTTTTTGTTCGAGACAAGACAAGACAGGATTTTTATTTCTCATAAAATTTTTAGACAGGATTTCCCTTCACATACATAACGGGAAATGCACGTTTGACATTTTAAGCTGATTTTTTAACATTGTTAAATACCTACTAATTTATGACAAATGACTAAAAATAATAATAATAGGTAAGAGTATTTCAAATCTAAAAAAAAAGTCAGTATGAAAAAAAAAAACAAATATTAGTTAGGCCTAACATATTAAAAAGACTTTCTGCAGGGGTTTTTTAAAATATTTTTTTATCCTGTCTCAAATAAATATTGACCAAAATCAAATCTTGTCTTGTAGAACGAGATTTACAATTTGCTGAAAATTTCTCGAAATTTCGAGACCCATCCATCTATAATAATAATACTTACTATGACTCCTCTTACACCGCAAAGCTTAGGCCTACATCTGGATTTTTAATCCCTCTTTTGTGACCTAGTTTCCCTTTTCATGCATACCTAACACGAACTCCAAATTTAATGAGTGTGAAATAAACCCTTTTGGTTAAATCAATGAAAATAATTTTAACCTTGATATCAAAACAATGTCCATTTTAGCCCGATTTTACTTTGTGTGGTTAAGTTGGCAGTTCTTAATTTCTTAATTTCATGGTAATTATTATACAAGACACTAAGTATCTTGAGTCAAGGGAAACATCTATTGTTCAAACCGTTAGAGTTGTGTAATGGAGAATGAAGTATCAGGTTGTTTGGTAATGTATGTGTTTGTTTCCGGTTTAGTTGATCTCTTTGTTCAATATTTTCTGTTCCTAGTGACTTAAGTTCGAGTAGAGTGGAGAGTAGTTTACAGATGTTTTGTGTAAATCTCAGGTGTGTCATGCCAACCCGTCGGAGAGGTCACGGTTCATTCGATGTATCTACAACTTGCTCAACTCCAACAGTGCGGCAGTCCGCTACGAGGCTGCTGGCACTCTGGTCACACTGTCTACTGCACCCACAGCCATCAAGGTATGTAACTGACACAAGCTTTTTAAAAAATAATACACTATATTAGAATTTTTAGTCTTCTTGATATTCTCTGTGTCTAACATACAAAAAAATTACTCAATTTTTTCAAAATGTGTGATACCGTATTTACAATAATAAATGTATTGATTTTGAAGTTAGTTGTTTGTGTATTAATTTATATAAATTTATATAATTTTTATTAGCTAGAGAGTTATTTGCGGTTGTTGGTAAGTTAAGTTGACTGCGGTAACTCACGTCCCAGACTCCTGGACATTTATGTGTCAAACTAACAAAAGACTTAACTGCACTTTGTCCTTGTTAACCTTGTTAACAAAAAAGATAATTTTTCTTAATCGAGAGGTTACCTAATCAATGCAAATCTAATATTTTTGATTCCCCTAGTGTTTAACAAATATAATAATTCAAGATCGCTGTTGTTTGTTGTACTGACAGGCCGCAGCTACTTGCTACATCGACCTGATAGTGAAGGAGAGTGACAACAATGTGAAGCTGATTGTCTTGGACCGTCTGATTGCTCTCAAGGAACACCCGACCCAGGAGAGAGTGCTGCAGGACCTTGTCATGGATATCCTGCGAGTCCTGGCCAGTCCGGACCTGGAGGTGCGCAAGAAGACCCTCAACCTGGGTGAGACACACTTACAAAGCTAATATTTTACATGTTACTTGGGTGCCAAAGTGCTTCATCCAATATTTTGGTTTTTGAACATTGTATATCATACTTTCTTGTACTTACTGTACTGTAGAATGTTTTACACAGTTTCAATACTAATTTTATTCTAGGATATACTACTCCTTTGGAATTTCATTTGAATTCTTGTTTATTATCAGCAATGGAGCTTGTGTCTTCAAGAAACATCCAAGAAATGGTATTAGTGCTGAAGAAAGAAGTGACTAAAACTCACAACACAGGGGAGCACGAGGATACGGGCAAATACCGTCAACTTCTAGTGCGCACTTTGCACTCTTGCTGCATCAAGGTACATCCCTAGACTTAGCTGGTTGGTTAATCACATGTGAAAAGTAAAAATTGTGTTATATTTATTACAATTTATTTAGCCTAAATATAAATATTAGGTATTTCTTAGGGATGTGTTAATTCTCGATACCACCGATACCTGGACATTGGTATCAGTATCGACGATCGATCTTTAAAAGTTGGTACAAATGTTAATATAACTGTTAAAAATATTGAACTTTGTAGATATGAAGGTCCGTAAAAATTGCCCGGTTGAAAAATTTCACGCTCTTGCAGTGACCAAGGGGTCGTTTTCATGATTACCACAGACGATCAGATGGCTTGTCACTATCGCGGAAGAACGTGGCAATGTCTAAACTTTAAAGGTGGTAGATGTTCATGATTTTACCATGATCAGGGAAGACAATGATGATATCCACATGACTGTGGCAGATAATTAGAATTTTGCCGCAATTGCGGAATACAATGATAATATTTCTGTGAATGATTGATGGAGATAGGCTATTCAGGATTTCACTGTGACCTCAGGAGACGATGATGACGATGTTTCGTTGATAGATGTATTAAAAAAACTTAAAACTCGATGGAGGTATTCAGAATTTTGTCGCTATCGCGGAAGACAAGGATTGTGTTCACATGACTGTAGGAGATATCAAGGAATTAGCAGGGATCACAGAAGCTGATGGTAATGTTCCCTTAACCGCAAATGTTCAGTAATTTTCTTAAATTATGGGAGATGATGATGATGTTTCCGTTACCGGTGACATATTCAGGATTTTTCTTTGCTTAGGCCTAGATTGTTTCGATTTTTTATTGCTGCTTTATTTTTTCTGTACTTCAAGAGCAGTACATTACCCCAAAATTACATTGTACAGGAACATGAAGACAAGGGTTCTTGAAGTATAACCAATCCAAACATTTTGTAAAGTAAAAAAATGGTATTGATATTGACATATCTCTGTATTTATGTTTTAAACATGCCTGATGTATGTAAGTAGACATCACTAATCATAAGTAGAGCTAGCAGGTTCTGCTGGGGATTGGAATTCAAACTAAATTCAGTGTTGTTTATGACTTTTCTTATCCTGGATGTATAATTTCTTGTTTACTATTTCTTCTAAATATGGATCAACTCTTGGTAGGTACTTACTTTAAAACTAACAACAAAAGAAGGATACAAAGAATATTTTTCATGAATCTTAGCCCAACACAATTCTATATTTTTTTTGTCAAAGCTAACTTAATTGTTGTTAGTTCAGGGTGTCTATCAACTGGGAAATCCGGGAAAGCGAGGAATTTTACTAAATTTTGGGTTAGCCATAAAATGTACGGCATTTGCCCTTAAAAATCAGGCTATGTCCTTAAATAGTTTAGAAGTTCGAACACGGATGACGTCAATAATGTTTCTGTTATCGCGAAAGACCGTTGTGATATCTACACGACCATGGGAGATGTCCAGGATTTTGCCGTGATCGTGGAAGACTATGATGACTTTTTCTGACTGTGGGAGCCAATTACAATAACCACACAAGCTTTTGCCGGGATCACGGATGACAGTAAAACGTTTCCTTGAGCGCAGGAGACGATGACGAAGACCATAGGACCGTCAAAGATATTCAGGTGTTTGCTGCGATTGCGGAAGACGATGATGTTTCTGTTACTGGTGGAGATATTCAGGATTTTATTTTATTGCAATCGTGGATGACGATGATAACATGTACGTGACCGCACGAGATGACGATGTCCACACAACCGGGGGAGATATTCAGGATTTTATTTTATTGCAATCGTGGATGACGATGATAACGTTTCTGTGACCGCAGGAGATGATGACGATGACCAAACAACCGCACGACCATCTGAGATATTGAGTTTTTTGCCGCAATTGTGGAAGATGTTGATGACATTCCTGTGACTGAGGGTGATATTCAGGATTTTGCTGCTATTGCGGATGACGATGATAACATTACCGAGACTGGGGGAGCCGATGACCACACAATCGCAGGAGATATTCAGGATTTTTCTGCTATCGCGGATGAGGATGATGTTTCCGTGACCGATGGAGATTTTCAGGACTTTGTCACCATTGCGGGGGACGATGATTTTATTTCTGTTACACTATAAATCTGTACCTAAAGTAAATGTTTGTCTCATTCAAATTAATTTCTATTTTTAAACTCTGTCGATGTTGTATTACTTACTTTTCCTCTCGTACAACGTTTTATATTAATTAATACAAGTCGACAAATCAGGAAAATTTATTTTGTAACAACACATACAAAGGTAATGACAAATTGTCCATAATTGTTCGGAAATTGCCTATGAATTTGTATCCAAAATTTAGTAGACACCCTTTAGTTTTACATGTGATTTATCTTTTGGAATGTTTTTTTATTTCATTTTGTATTGTCTGCCATATAATGTATATGATTAGTTCCCAGACGTAGCTGCCACTGTCATACCAGTCTTGATGGAGTTTTTGTCAGATACCAACGAAGTAGCAGCTGCTGATGTACTTATCTTTGTCAGAGAAGCTATTCAAAAGTTTGATGCCTTGCGTCCATTGATAATAGAGGTAAAGATTTGCACCATCTAAATACATTTTAAAATAAAATATCTATTCACTGTTTCTGAATGAATGAATGAATGAATGAATTATGAATTTATTCCACCACATATATAAAAATTACACAACCAAATGTACAAAAGAAAAAAGTTCTTTATGCAAAACTAAACTAACTAACTATAACTAATTAACTATATACATGCGTAAAAGGTTGTTCCTATCTAATTAGTTCTGGAATTAGCAGACATAGGCTGTGCCTGTGCGTCTGCTAAGTTGCTATAAAGATTATGAAGTTAAAGTGGCGCAATTTAGTTTTATTATTTTGTATGAGTGAAAAATAAAATTAAATGAAAAGTAAAATTAAATGAAAAATTAAATGAATTTCAGCAGTTAAGTAATACTGACTGAGTTATGTAATAAGTGATAGTACTCTACACGAAAAGAACATGCAATAGTAAAGAACATGCAATAAATATCAATATAAGCGTCGGAGAGAGAGCGGCTAGGGTGTGCCGTCAATGTCGAGGTCAAAGTCAAGTCAATGATCAAGTGAGTCAAGTCAATGGTCAAGTCAAAGGTCGCGGGCCGATCCCGTCGCGCCGGTAAGATGAAGTAATAATAAGATCAGCTTCGTCCGTATTTAAATTAAGTAGCCATTCTTTAACAAGACGTTTAAAAGAGACAATAGATGTGGCGTCAAATAAATTTAATTCAGAATAGTATTTACAAAGATTTCGAAACACTATGTGAGATATATAAAAAGAATTTGTTGTTGAAAAAGTGTTGTATACCTGAAGTGTAGTAATGTGGACTTGAGATGAGTATCTTGTGTTATGAGAATGTGAGGTTTCATTAAATATTCTAGTGCAATTCTTGAAAATGTTAATTAGTAAACATTTGATATATAGTTTGCGAACTGTAAGAATTGATGTTTCCTTAAATAGGGCGTCAGACGGAAATCGTTTAGATTTACCAAAACCAATCTTTAAAAGTGACCTATGAGCAATATTTAGAGGTTCCAGCAAACTTTTAAAACATCCTCCCCAGGCTATAATCCCAAATGAGAGCAAAGATTGGACGTAAGAAAAGTAGGTAATTTTAATTTCTTTTAAGGTTAGAATTCCATTCATTTGTCTAAAGGCAAACATGTATTTCCTGACCTTACTCCTTACACTTTGAATATGTTCAGCCCACTTCAGCCGACGGTCGAAAATTACTCCCAAGTATTTATATGAAGCTACCTCTTCAATAGCTTCGCAATTACAAGACAAGTTAAGGAAATCACTACAAGAATGAATTGTTAGGTTTTGTAAATTATAATCTGTGGTTTTACTAATAGAAATAGGCATAAATTTTGTTTTTGATATGTTTAGGGAAAGAATATTTTGGTCTAACCATTTTTTTATAACCATTAGATCATGTTGTGCTTTTTCTCGCACCTCGGGCCACGACTTCCCCTCCAGGAAAATTAGTGTATCGTCAGCAAACAAAAATAACTTTCCAAACATATTGATTCTCGATATATTATTAATATATATTAAGAAAAGAATAGGCCCTAAATTACTACCCTGGACCACCCCATAATCGACAGGCATAGGATCACTGTCTGTACCACAAATTGTAACAAATTGAGCTCTGTTTGAAAGATAACTCTTGAACCATTCCAAAGCACTGCCGCAAACTCCAATTGTTTTTAACTTGTTGAGAAGTTTTAAACGATCTACAGAATCAAATGCTTTTTTAAGGTCAAGAAATATTAATATAGAACGTTTTTTGTTGGAAATGGTATCGTACAACTCTTTGTTTACATCAAAAAGAATATCTGAAATATTTTTGTCGTGACGGAAACCGTACTGATGCTCACTGAGAATGTTATTAGAATGAAGGTAAGCAACCAACTGATCTTTGACAGCCTTTTCAATTATCTTAGTAAAAATACTCAACAATGAGATTGGGCGAAAATTGTTTTTATTAGTGATTTCGTTGGATTTATATAATGGAAAGACTTTAGCCAATTTGTAACAATCAGGAAAAGTTCCTGAAGTTATGCTTAAATTAACAATGTGTAAAAGTGGAAAACAGAGGATATGAAAGTTTGCTTTAAGGACATCGGCCGATATACCATCGTAACCAGGCGCGGAACCACCCCGCAGGCCGCAGACGTAGCGTTGTAAGTCATGTGCAGTGATCGGTTGAAGCGTAAACGTCGTGTCGAGTTGATAGTCACAGTCGTCAACCAATAGGGCCCCACTTGGGTCTAGTTTACTGGCCAGTGAGCTACCGACGTTAGAGAAAAAAATATTGAAATCATCTGCGACTTGTTTATACAATGTTGTAGATAACTGAGTGTTTGATGTAAATTTATCTATTGGAAACGAATCTTTTTTATTTATTCTGCCGGCCAGTTCATTGACTAATCTCCAAAACAGCTTAGGGTTATTAGAGGCTTCGTTTAATTTTTGCCGGTAATAATTTTGTTTAGTTTGCTTCAGTTGTTCACTAAGGTTTTGTTTAAATTCTTTATAAAAATTGATAAGCTCAACATTAAAGGGTTGTTTTTTAACTCTTTTACTTAATTTATCTCTCACTCTTATTTGTTTAATCAGTTCTATGGAAATCCATGGTTTGAGTTTTTTAGCTCTAGTTGATTTATTAATAATGGTTTTAGTAGCGGATTTCACTGAATTAATAACAATTCTATTAAAATAATTAGAACAAAAATTTATGTCATCATCACATTGAACAATGGGGTCCCAGTTGGAGTTAGTGAGGTAATGTGACAGTAGTGTATGGTCCAGGTACGTGTGAGGCACTGTGTCAGTGTGAGAAGTGTTAGTGCGTGGTGTGTCTAAAATCTAAAATGAAGCCACAAAGAAGTCAAGATTAAATGCTAATAAATGGCAAAGCACTCGATGCTCTGCTTACAACTTTGAACAGATGCAATACCAGTTTGGCAATAAAAACAAACTGTACAAGGATGTGAAATTAAATAGGTACTGGTTGGATGTTGTATCCCTATTTCTGATATTACTGGTGTTTAAAAACAGTTTCTCCTAAAACAATTGTTTACATCCAACATAGATTTTAATTATTAACCATATCCTTTACCTTTACCATAGTTCACTTATTACTACAGCTGCTGTAAATTTCTTATGTTTACAATTTACAATATAGTAAACAATTAAGTTTTTATTTTTTCTTATTATTATTTTTAGAGACTATTGGATTCCTTTCCTACAATAAAATCAGTCAAAGTTCATCGTGCTGCTTTATGGATTCTGGGAGAATATACAAGCACAGCTGAGGACATCCAGACAGTTATGAACCAAGTTCGCCAGACCCTGGGCGATGTGAGTCATCCCTAATCATTAATATAACATGAATATAAACACTTGATGATCACTTCCTTTAATTTTTAGCAAAATACCCCTGCCGCAGCAAACCTGCAGACTAAGCGAATTTCAACTTGTCTGATTACATTTTTACTAAAATATTTCCATAAATAAGACATATTTATTCCCTATTTAAATAACATTAGATTTAGCGAGTGCTTAGGGTTGCTGCTACGGGGGAGGTAAAAAGTGTTTTTTGACCATACGTCAATAGTATAGGATGAAATAAATAAATTTGCCAAATTTTATCAATATATATCCATAAACAAGTAAACTACAACAGTTTTCATTTCCTCCATAAGAATAACATAAGAATTTTAAATTACACTATTTTTGAATTTTCTCCGTGACCGTTAGGCATACAACAGCGCTTCAATATGCCAAATTATTTCTTTTATTATGCTCTACAAACCGGTTTGAAAAGAAATTGCAATTTCTTTTGTTTTTAGGGTCAAAAATGGGAAAACCCCATTTTTACCCCATAAAACCCCCCCTAAACCCCCCGTTCCCATGGTCAGATTATGCTGGATCGCGAACTCGTTCAAATAAACGTAGGTTTACACATTTGTACCAAATTTCATCAAAATCGGATCATTTTTGCTTGAGTTATCGCGCTAACGGACACACATTAATTTGAACGGATGGTGTTTTTGGCCTCTAGGGACCTCAAAATGAAAAATTAAATCGGTCCCGGGTCCAGGTCTTACCATGAGTACTACGGTAATAGCTTATTCCCCATATGGGAAATTCGCTAAAATGGTTAAATAAGCTGAGAATAAGTAAAGAGTCAAGATCAAGTTTAGGATTCTGTACAAAATATGAGAAAGTTACGTAGCAACTTTTGAAGTAAAACATAATTTTCTTCATTCAAATAAAGCCTGTAAACTTTTGCTTTAACAGCATAGTAGGTTTAGTGATGTACACTAATTAATTTTTGAAAATTATTAAATATTTTACTACTAGACTTGTGGGGTTTCTAATATAAACCCGTTATAATCAGTGCAATAATAAGTAAAAACTATTACTGTAGTAAAATATTCAAGAAACAAATTTATATATCTTACATCTTTTAATTGTAATATAAAAAACAAGATGCAATACTTTTGCAAAAAAGTAAAAGTATGTTGGAGTAAAAGTTTAATCCATCAACTGCATTAATTACAAGTGCAGGGGTTTAGTTGATTATATAATTTAAAGTTATCTTATACTATCACAAGGAGACAAACTTATACTTTACTCATTCATTACACTTTGTTAATAATGTTGGGGTCAAATAATTTCAGAGTGCAATGATTCCTTAATATTGGTATATATAAATTATAATCAATTAAACCCCTTTTGTGTTGAAGCAACATTCTTTTCATAACATAAATGTAAATATTGATTCTAATATACAGTTTTCAGCTTATATTTTATATTTAAAGTTTACATAGCTAATTTGTATTCTACTTTAAAGTTTGATTGCTTAATTTGTAGATTCCTTTGGTAGAAGATGAAATGAGGAGAGTATCAGGGGAAAAAGTAGAAGAAGAGTCAGCAGCCAGCAGTGCGTCAGGTTCTGTTGTGTCCAAACTGGTGACCTCTGATGGAACTTACGCTACCCAGTCTGCCTTCAACACAACGTTGACGTAAGCCATCCAACATCCACCCCTACACAAACTACCTTTAATCATTGTTATTTAGAGTTGAAGAGAAATGTTTGGCTTTAATGTGTTTCCAAATTGTTTTCGCTTATTCAATTCAGTTGAAAAAAAAATCTGGCATAGCTATCATATATTATCACCTAAACGTAGTTACCTTCAATTAATAACCTTGAAATAGTTACATTTATCTTACTAATATTATAAAAATGTGAAAGTTTGTGTGTTTGTTTGTTTGTTTGTTTGAAGGTCAATCACGCATAAACCACTGGACGGATTGGGCTGAAATTTGGCATGATGATAGCTCACATTCCCGATTAACATATAGGCATATTCTTATCCCAAAAATCCCTTCGGGCTCCGCCCCAGTGGCTCTGTAGTTCCCCATGTTAACCTTATGAGTATTCATATTTAAATGGAATTAAAGAATTTAGTCAGCTGTTTCAACTAAAAATGTTGGTTCTATGATATACAAAAGCATTAAAAACTTATAAGATTTACCAACAGGGTGCAGCACCATATTTCTTTTTGCATTTATGTAAACAGCTAATTTGAACTAAGCAGCAACAAACAACTGTGATACGCAATGAGGACTGTCAAAGTAGGAGTGTTTACAGTTATGTTTATGTTTTTAATGTCATGAATAATTTGTGATTTTTTAATTTGTAATACTTTATTTTTCTTTATTGTTTAGGTGAAGAGGTAGAACATTATGGCTATGGTAGATGTGTAATACTATAGAATACTGTAAATTTAAAAAAAGCAAATTCTGTCAAACTGTGTCCTCCCTTATTGCAAACGCAAAGCTTGAGTATAACTGCAATAAGCATTTTATACTTATATAATGCTGCTTATATATTTATACTTTTAATAATTCCAACCCCGTACGAAGGACGGGTACTCTGCTAGTTAAAAATATAAGTAAAATGTAAATGTACATTAGAGCGTAACTGCCTAACTGCGTAACTTAAAAGGGAAACAGTCCACTCTGGCACAAGAAATAAAACTAAGCACTATACACAAAAATTGGAATATGGTACTGTAGTTTCACTGTTAAACAAAGAGCACTTTCAACCAATGAAGGTTTGAGTTTGATAGAGAGAGATATCTCCAGTCTTCACTATACGACACATATGTTGATAAAAAGGGATAAAACATTATATTAAAAAATTTAAGGGATCAACTGAAATATTTGCTAACAAATATTTTATAATTTATACCAATATAAATTTATATCCAGGAGTAGCAAAAAACATTCTGAAAAATACTTCCTGTACCTTATCTTTGATCAGTTGCTCACCCTGAAGTAGCATGTTCTGTTCATAATACTAGAGGTATAGCTGTGGGTTGTAATGTAGATCCTCCAAGAAGGGCGAAGGTCGACCGGCATTGCGACAGTACCTGATGGATGGAGACTTCTTCATCGGAGCTGCTCTAGGCACTACCCTGACTAAGCTTGCCTTGCGCTACGCCTGTCTACCCGGCGTGGACACTACCAGGGCCAACACCTTCTGTGGGGAGGCCATGCTCATCATAGCCTCCATACTTCATCTGGGCAAATCAGGTACACTTGTTTGCTAGTCTAGGGGAACTAAGCTTGCCTTGCACTATGCTTGTCTACCCGAGGTGGACACTACCAGGGCCAACCACTTTTCAATCTGGTAAATCAGTTGAATCTATACAGAAATGCTACATCTTTTTGTAAATAATTTCGTGATCAGCATTGTACATGTTATTAAATATATGGAAAGTAAATAATAACCCCGCCGCAGCAAACCTGCAGACTAAGCGAATTTCAACTTCTCTGATTACTACTAAAATATTTCCATAAATAAGACATATTTATCCCTATTTAAATAACATTAGATTTAACTAGTGCTTAGGTTTGCTGCTACAGGGAAGGTAAAAAGTGTTTTTTGACCATACGTCAATAGTATAGGATGAAATAAATAGATTTGCCAAATTTTATCAATATATATCCATAAACAAGTAAACTAAAACAATATTCATTTTCTCCATAAGAATAACATTGGAATTTTAAATTATACTATTCTAGAATTTTCTCTGTGACCGTTAGGCATACAACAGCGCTTCAATATACTAAATTATTTCTTTTATTAAGCTCTACAAAACGGTTTGGAAAGAAATTGCAAAACTTTTTGTTTTTAGGGTCAAAAATGGGAAAAACCCATTTTTACCCCATAAAACCCCCCATAAACCCCCGTTCCCATGGTCCGATTATGCTGGATCGCGAACTCGTTTGAATTAAGGTAGGTTTACACGTTTGTACCAAATTTCATCAAAATCGGATCATTTTTGCTCGAGTTATCGCGCTAACGGACACATATATATATGAATTTGAACGGATGGTGTTTTTGGCCTCTAGGGACCTCAAAATGAAAAATTAAATCGGTCCCGGGTCCAGGTCTTACCATGAGTACTACAGTAATAGCTTATTCCCTATATGGGAAATTCGCTAAAAATATACGTCTTATGACACTTAAAGTATATATTTAGACTTTTACTGTTAAGGTATTTGACAGTTACAAGACGGTAAATATATATAAACTAGATGTGTGCTTGTTCTACGCACGGGGATCTTATAGTAGTCAGTTGAATGTGACAAAAATCACACAATGTTGGGTTTTTGGACATTTGTAATTTTATTTCTTAAGTAGGTAGGCCATGTATTCTAGGGAAAAGTACCGGTATGAAGGATCGTCGTTGAAAAGGTTGTTATGAATAAATAAGTAGGCGTACGTACCCAAGAGACGGGCTATGGGCCTATTGGCTGTATGATCCAGCGATTGCGTCACACGGTGAGTAGAAACAGAAAGTGACACATTGGAAAAGCGAGTTAAGCATCATCCGTAAACCTCTGTTACAATCACCCACTGCAGTTGTGATTTTTTTACTTTACACTTTACACAATCGCCATTGAAGCGCCGTCAATGAGTGGAAACCTTGTTTGTAAGCTATTGGCGACGATCATTAAGTGTCCCAGCCCTATACAACACTGATTCAAGTTCTGTTTTCTGGTTATCAAAACTCAAGAACAATTTAATACACAAGAAATTTCTGGTTCCTGACCTGGATGATGCCTAGTTATTTAATTTAATTTACGGTTACACTATAATATTGCACTTGTGATTAATTAAATCCGTTTTGTAAGAAAAACGTTTTTAATCTCACTTGGTTGGGATTTGCTTTCAAAACATGATCGGAAATGGTTGCGGTATTTGTAAACAGCATTTGTAAACATATCGGTGACAGCTAGAAAAAGTAATCTTGATCCGAACAGCTGTTCGATATTTCATAGATATTATGTGATAAAAATTGTACGAAAATTTGACAAAAATCGCACAAAATTGCATTTTTGAACGTCCGTAATTTTATTTACAAAGTAGTGAGGCCATATTTTAATTGATAAAAACATTCTCGCCAATCCAGTGAATACATTGAAATGACTTGGATCTTAATAGGTACTCTCGTTTTCATGGAGAAGATTGCGTGAAATGCCATCTTGAGTGTGACAGACAGACAGAAATAGAGATAAGACTTGCTTCTGCTTCTTTAATGTATAAAACGTAAAAATAACCTAAAAATATATAATTCTGAGCAATGTACAGTCAAAACTCTAATTTTATTTATATAGAAGAAGAAGATGCTAATTGGTGATTGATTTCAATGGGACAATCCAATCATCATCAGTCCCTATTATTCGCCTATTGGTACTGATAATGATTGAAGTGTCCAATCAAAATCGATCACGATTTACCATCTTTTATATATAGTCGAGTTTAGTAAAGTAAAAAAACCACAACTGCAGTGGGTGATTGTAACAGAGGTTTACGGATGATGCTAAACTCGCTTTTTCTAGTGAGTTAGTAGCATAAGTCTAAATATCTATATGTTTTTAGTTTTTACGTGTTAGGTATTAGACATATTTTTATTTACTTCTGAATCTTTTTGTAATAAATATTAATAAATTCATAAATATGTTGGAATTTTTGTTATAACTCTGAGTAATAATTGTACAGGGTAATTAGAAAATATAGAAGACCTAATTTTAAAAAATTGTTAATTGCTAAAAAATAAGAATGTTATGCCCTTTTAATACCATAAAAGGTATTGGGAAGAGAGCGGGTCTAGTGGTAGAGCGCGGGACATTGGTCCCTGAGGTCCCGAGTTTGAATCCCACCAAATCACCAATGGATTTTATCTAAGTGATAATGCCTCAACTCCTAGGTCTAGCCTGAGTAATGTAAAAACAATCCCGTACTAGTGACTAGTGTCCTAGGACAAAAAAACCATGACAGGAGTGGGACAAAAAACCCTGTAGGGAAGAAGTTTCTTTTATGGTTAAAAGAAATATATTCAAATTTTTAACCTGTAATTACTTCTCGGCCTAGACTTTCTTATTGAGTTGAGATTAACAATAACATAAAAAACATACTATGATCAAAACAATGACCATTTAATGGTTTTTTGTGATCAATTATCTTTTAACTGGTTTATCTTGTGTTAAAGGTTTGCCCACGAAGAGTTTGACCAATGATGATGGTGAGCGTCTGTTGATATGTCTGAGAGTGTTGTCCTCGAGGATGCAGACTGTTGTGGATGTGTTCACTCATCACTGTAGAGAGGCCCTGTCTGCCATGCTCACTGCCAAGGCTGAGGAGGAGGCCACCACTCAGAAGGTACATTCTAAATACAAGCTCTAGGTAGTCTTTAGGTTTTTGTTTTAAAAACATTTTCTTCAATTTAATTTTGCCTGTTAGGAATTTTACATTTTCCTATTTATGTGCCCTACTTAACCTTCATTAAGAGCTGTTCCATATACAAACAGGATATTGCAGATAACCGCTGTGCAAAATGTTTTAACACAAATTCCTCATCTCTTTTAACAAAAAAGCACAACTCAAAATAAAAATTTCAGTAATTGTCAAAAGTTAAATAAATCTGAATAAAAAAACTGCGGTGCAGGATCTGGGTATGTTTTTTTTTCAAAATAAAAATACTCTTGGCAATACATTGCCCATGAACTGTTCATAGAAAACCTTTGGCCTGAAGTAAAAAAACAAGGGAAATGGTAATGCAGCATTACATTTTTATTTTATTAAGAAATGAAATAAGATGGATGATTAAGTATCTTAATTTGTTAATAGTCATAATAATTTAAAGTGAAAATCTGAGTGTAAAATTTATTTGTCATTCTGTTTCAGGCCAAGGAAAAGCCAGGCCACAAGGTGCAAGCCGATGACCCCATCTCGTTCCTGCAGCTGTCTACAGTGCGTGGGGCTGAGCTGGGAGGTACTGAGAATGTGTTTGAGTTGTCTCTCAGTCAGGCCGTGGCGGGGGGAGGTATGGGAGGGTCCGCCCCGCCCCTCTCTGCTACCAAACTGAACAAGGTCACTCAGCTCACTGGCTTCTCCGACCCTGTCTATGCTGAGGCTTACGTCCACGTCAACCAGTACGATATCGTGCTGGACGTGCTCATTGTTAACCAAACAGGTAATCAATTTGTGGTTGAGGATACCCCACTAGAGCCTAGGTTTTAAGAATCTTTTAGGGCCATAAGCTTACCTGAATGGGAAACTGTCCACTCCACAAAAACATTTAAATTAACTTAACACCGGAGACAGAAATGTTAATATTTCACTGTGACAGACAGCATTTTCAAACAAGGAATATTTGAGTTGGTAAGCTAAATTAAATATCAAACAAGTAATTAGTTGTTCAACAAATATTTGGAGACTATCTACCAATTATGTCTGCTTGAAATTTAGACTAAAGGTACGCGCGCACTACGCCGTCACGGCCGTCACCGCCGTCACCGCCTTTTTCAGGGGGGGTGCGCGCACTACGACGGCACGGCCGGCCGTCACGGCCGTCACAGCATTTTGGACTGATGTATTTTGCAGTTGAGTTGTTTTGCTGTGAGCAGTGAGAGTGTGGGAGCTATGGATATCGACGAAGACGTGGTAGTAGTTGGATTAATTTTAGGAGAAGAGGAAGAGGAAGAGGAGAGGAAGAGGAAGAGGAAAGCGAGATTTTGGATACATAATATAAATAGAAAACGACTAGGTTTTGGTGAATTTCACACATTATTCCCCGATCTTGTAGAGGACGATGACAAATTTTTCCAGTACTTTAGGATGACCCATGAAAAGTTCGAATGTCTACTTCGATACCTAGAGGAGAGTCTTTTTAGACATGATACAAAGTTCCGATGTCCAGTCAAACCGAAGGAACGATTAGCTGTTTGTCTAAGGCAAGTACTAGTGAAATAAAAACAATGTAAGAAGTTTATATATTAAACTAAGCTATCTCGTATTAATAATTGAAAGTTAAATTCACAACTACTAAGCTCCAAAATTGTGGAAGCTAATACTCTGACGGTTTATCTACGTTATATGACTTTAAATTTTGAATATTACTACAGGTTAAGCTAAAAAATAAAAAACACAATTATTTTACGGCAAAATTTTATTTTGAAATCAAACCACAAAAATACGAAACATTATATACTTAAAAATTATATAATATAGAATGTAATTTACTAAAAACTTATAGATGTGTAATTTAAGTTTAAATTTGAAAAATAGTGAATCATCGATTGTCAATATTGTTAAGTAATACATTTTTTAATAGACTACAATAATGTAAACAATGTTATGATAAAAATCACACTTTATCTAATAATCAGTACAATTATTTAACTAAACCGGTACACTGAATGGCAAAAGTTTTATTTCATAAACCTTACCATAATTATAAAACATATAATAGAGAATGCATTTTACTAAAAGCTTGTAGATATGTAATTGTAGTTTTAATATGAAAAAAATGGGTAATCATCGATTGTCAATATTATTAAGTAATACATTTTTAAATAGACTACAAAAATGTAAACAAAGTAATAATAAAAATCACACTTATCTATTAATCAGTACAGTTAATTAAACTGGTATACTGAACAGCAAAAGTTTTATTTTCAAGTCAAACCATAAAAAACTAAACATTACGTTATTGTGAATCATACAAGATAGAAACCATTTTTATTAAAAGCTTGTAGATGTGTATTAATTTTAGTTTTATATAAAAAAACTAGCTAATCATCGATTGTCAATATTATTAAGTAATACATTTTAAAAATACAATAAAAAACAAAGTAAGAAAAATCAAACTGTACTGTATTTAATTACGTACCGGTATTATTTTCTTTACTTCTGGAAGTCTTGCCATCCCCATGAATAATAATTCTTTAATGTGTTGGGATCTTCGTTAACTACGGAGAGAGCTGTGGGAAATTGGCCAGTCTTCTGCACTAATGTTTGGTGTTGTGTTGTTTGGTGTTGTGGTGTTTGGTGTTGTGGTGTTCCCGATTTTGGCGCCTCATCACTCATTCTGAGGGCAATATCCATTTCCTTGTCTGAGACTAGTTGGAAAATCTTTTTCTTGATTTCTATTTGGTCACGTATAGGAAACCCTTTGACAGTGTTTGCGATTGAAATGAAAAATGATTCCAACGGGCTGCACTGTGGAGGCGCTTGCGCAGCTGTTTGTTTAGATGACAAGAATTCTTGTAGAACACTGGCTGCTGTTTTTTCGCGTACTGGTGTCCCTGACCTGTTTCTTTTCTGGGGATGCTTGTTTGACTTGTTTAAATAAGGTGGTGCTGGTGAAGAAAGTGCTGATGAGTCTTGAAAATCATCTGCAGCTTGGTTTGATGAGTGCGTCGGTGACAGGTGCGGCGATCCCAGGACCAATGGACTTTCACGCTCTACTAAATTACACTCCTCTTCTCCAGTTTCGACACCTTCTTCCTCATTTTGATTATTGGGGGCAAAGTTTGATTGACGATTGTCACTATCTGAAATGTAAGGTATGAGGAATTTTAGTTCTTGCTCATATTTTGGTGGTTTCAAATTCTTTGCTCCTTGGCCACTTTTTGTTTTTCGGCGTTGAAGAGCCTTCCTGTGACCGTCTCTAATTTTTGCCCACCTTTCTTTGCATTCAGCACCTGAAACAAGCGAGACGATTCAAACCCCAAAAGCTAATGATTTTAAACTAGTAAATGTTTTAATTTTGCAAACAATAAATGTAATACTAACTTTGTTTTTTAGGTTTCTTGCGACCGGTATGTCTTTCCGCTCTATGGCATTCACTTTCAGAATGGGCCTAACGACAATAAGAGAAATTGTTCATACAACTTGTGAAGCTTTATGGAGAGTTCTACAACCACTTGTGATGCCAGAACCTACCGAAAACATGTGGAAAGAAATTGAAAAAGGATTTTATAAAAGATGGAACTTTCCAAACGCCATTGGTGCTCTTGATGGAAAGCATGTTGTGATTGAAGCACCGCACAACAGTGGAGCTGACTTTTTCTGCTACAAGAAAGTTTTTAGCGTAGTGTTAATGGCATTAGTGGATGCAGAGAAAAAATTCATTTTCATTGACGTTGGTGGTTATGGTAAAAACTCTGATGCAGGTATTTTCAATTCGTCAGAGTTGGGAAAGAAATTACAAGATGGAACATTAAATATTCCTCCTGCAAAGGAATTACCTGGAACTAACGTATATCTTCCTCATGTTATTATTGGAGACGAAGCCTTTCCACTCCGAACAAATATCATGCGACCGTACTCAAGAGATGATGTTCATGGAAAGGTAGAAGAAAAGATTTGCAACTACCGCATTAGTCGTGCAAGGAACGTGGTGGAAAATGCATTTGGCATTTTGGTTCGCAGGTTTCGAATCTTTGAAAGGAGACTAGCTCTTTCTCAAGATAATCTAGTCAATGTGATTCTTGCATGTTGTTGCCTGCATAACTACTTAAAGAAAGACTCGTGTTATTGGACGGAAAAGGATTTACAGATAACAGTTTCAGATGCTAAGTCATTTTCCCCAATGAAAGGCACTGGTGGTTTGTCTGGTCATGAGGCTATTGCAGTTCGAAACATATTTAAAGACTATTTCAACTCCGAGATTGGATCAGTTAAGTGGCAAAAGGAAAAAGCTCAAGCAGGAAAGAGAAATGTTTAAAAGAGACATCCTAACTTTTAAGGGAAACACATAAAAGCATTTTTTTAACGCCATGTTTAGTGGTCAAAATACAAACAGCTCATTTGTCATATTACCTTCACTTGTGTCTTGTATCTGTTCGTTTTGGGTGAGGTAGACTATGTACAGTGTAATAAAGCTGAAAGATATATTTCTGTTTTCAATATTTTAATTCCCTATTTTGCCAATTTCCATTACTAATCTTTTTTCCTGGTTTAACCATATAACATGTATTTTCTCTAAAGTTTAACACCCATACATCATTATACAAGAAAAATATACACTACAATTGCATTAAATTACTGTTTTTGTTTTATAAGATGTTATTCTTTTACCTCTAAGTATATGCCAAACACGATTTTAAGGGGCAGAAGTATTATACTAACCATTCAATTAAAAGGTTTTGTAAAATAGTAATTAAATTATTCGTCGAAATTTGGATCTTCAATTTAGTCGTTAGAGTCAAAATCATACAGCGCCAGTACGATGAAAAATCTATATAGACATTTTATGACAACTAAGGTCGTCTGTTGTTAACAAAAATTACATTTATTGGGAGCGGGCGAGCGTTGTCGACTGAAATCGTAAAAAAAAACAACAAGCAGCTGCAACAATAAATGATAATGAGCTGATAAGGGATCCTGTCTAGTCGTGTCTGTCTCACGCACGCGCATACACATACATACAATGCCTTATCGCCTATCCAAAACAATTGAAATCACTTTACTCCCAGTGTGTTTTTGGTTGATATTGTCGTACTTTTGTGTTGTATTTTATTAATCATTCCGCAAACACTACAAAGAACAAATTAATGTTGTATTGAATGTTATGTTTGTGTTGTATTAATCGATATTGAATACATTTTAACATCTTTCAGTTATTCATATAAATGGTAGCTTGTGATTGGTTATTAGACTTGTATTGCAACATTTTACTCGTCAAGAAAAAACTCAAACTTGTTAAAGTTGTTAAGGTACTTTTCATGCTAGGACTTTAACATACTATACTCGTACAAACGAGAATTCCATGCCAAAACCACTATGAAAATAAACATAGGTCATAGTTTATGGTTTTATAGTTTTAGTGCAGCCAAGAAATGTAGGAAAAGGTATCAGGGGAAGTGACATTTATTTATAGGGAAATTAACTATGTAATGATTAAACCTTAAAATGATTAACTATATAAATTAAACTTTAAAATTGTTTTGACTTCTATCTTATAAACGTAGTAAAAGGTTTGTTAGTAAAATTATAGTAAGTTATAAAATATATTAAAGCTTTAAAAGTTTATGCATTATCTCTGAATTACATCACATTTTTACGTGTTGTTATCTTCACTGGATGTAAATAAAACTACGACTTACAACACTTAAACATATATTAACTTTTACACTGTTAACACTTCTGACTGTAAATATATATAAAGGATGGAAAATGGAAAACTCCATTTAATATATGCAAATATATACCACTTAATAAAATGCCAGTATATATATATTTACGTGTTGTAAGTCGTAGTTTTGTTTACATCTGACCATTTGTTAAACCATTGAAATAAAATTAAATTATGTGTGCTTTGTTTTAAATATAAACATGTTTACAAAACATAAGTATATGTTAAACTATTCATTCTCTAAACTTACCTGACTCGTTTAGAGATGCTCCGATCTCTTCCCAAATGTTCTCTTTTCGCACAGAATTAAAGTAGTGCGGATGCCGCATATCATACAGCTCTTGATACTTCTCAACGAGGATGATGAGTTTGGAAACATCCATCTCCGAGCACTAGCGTATTTCTACTGCTGTAGTTTTACAAAAATTCCTTGGCGTCCGTCGCGTCTGTGACGTCCGTGCCGTGGGGTGCGCGCACTGGGACAGCACGGACGTCACGGAATTGTCCTGAGATTCGCTCCTCCGAACTTTCTGACAGACGTCGGTGGCGGCGGTGGCGTCCGTGACGGCCGTGCCGTCCTAGTGCGCGCACCTCCATTACATTACATGGGAACGACTTTTGGAAAAGGCCGGCCGTGACGGCGTAGTGCGCGCGGGGCTTAAGCATTATGTACTTTACTTTTTTTACTTTTTATGTACAACACAGTAATACAAAATTAATACTTTTCTGACTTGTGATCCCTGCAATCACCCCATTGATAGGTAGAATACATTTTTATTTTTACCTCAGTCTACTCTTTATTTATGTTTACTTTTACAATGTTGTGTTTTGCAACACAAGCTGTATAAAGTTGTGTGAATTTAAATCCAAACAATTAATAAAGTAAACTATGACTTTAGTGTGTCCTGTAATAATTATCAAATCTGGAGTAAAAGAACTTTTTCTTGGTTTAGATACGAGTTCACACAATTCTTTGGCTTGAAAGTGCACTTTTAACTTAATACTATATAGTTATATAGTTGTATTGGTTCTCTATGTTTAGCTGAGTCAAAGTCAAGTTGCATTTGGTATTTTATTGTAAAGTTGACTAATGTCAATGTCAATGAGTTGTAATTACTAATAGACTAGTGCATAGTTGAATAGTCTTTGTATTGTACTAAACTACTGTAACTTGTTGTTGTGCAGGTGACACTCTACAGAACTGCACAGTGGAGCTAGCTACACTAGGAGACCTCAAGCTGGTAGAGAAGCCTCAGCCTGTAGTCTTGGCTCCCCACGACTTTTGCAACATCAAAGCCAATGTCAAAGTGGCGTCTACTGAGAACGGCATTATATTTGGAAACATAGGTATGGCGTAATCCTTTTGTGTTTATTATGACAACTAGTTTTCTTTCATTGTGTGACATTTTTAGCTTCTTTTTACAAATAGCCTTAAAAAGATTAAACAAAGTTGTTTATCTATATAATTAATACGCTACATGAAACTTTGTCGGTTGAACTCCTCCGCCATTTCTCAATCGATTTTATCCATTGACGTCTCATTGGAAAGAGCGTGTCGCCTATATTTGCAAACTGGCCTTACATTTTTGAAAAAGTCCCTTGGGATCTGCCCCAGTGGCTGTTAAAGTTCCCATGTTATCCTTATGAAGAACATAATTGTTTACATTTTGATCAGCTGTTATTTATTTTTCAATTCAATGAAACACATTGAGTACATTTATTTACTATTTGAGTTTGTGAAAACATAACCCCTAGACGGTTCATGTTAGCATGAGTGTAGCTTAAATTTGTACATTTATCGTTGTTTTGTGTAACTATAATTTGTTTATTTGTTGTTTTTTTTCTTTTAAATGCCTCCGTCGCGACAACGAAACATCGTGTAATCGTGATAACGACCGCAGAACAGTGGCGCGTAATAGGAATTCTTTTTGTCTATGCTTAACTCATCACAGTCAGCACCTGACCCTGGACAATCTCAACTATAAGTTACAAATGCGCCCTAACACTACCCCAAAACGACTTTTCGTTCTCAATTGGCCCTCTATCAATGACCTGTGTTGCCTTTACAGCGAGGCATTTTGAGAAGGAGAAAACCGGCCGGAATGCTTTAGGTTAGCAATAACGAAGATAAACATAGTCTGAGTTACACACCGGTAATCTTTGAGTTGACTCTTTTAAAATGATTGCTATTCATTTTGAAATAACTCATGTAATACTTTGCAATTGCTCGAAATCGAGCAACATGTACACTAGTCAGATTTATTTAAACACCACTGTCGCAGATTCCTTTAGGCACCACACCTTAAACATTGCAAAGATAATAGATTTACACCCTAATACTGCTTAAGTCATACTTATATATTTCCCATATAAACTGTGTGTTTTGACTGTTTCAGTGTATGATGTCTGTGGGGCCGCATCAGATCGTAATGTCGTGGTTTTGAATGACATCCATATTGACATCATGGACTACATTGTTCCTGCATCTTGCACTGACACAGAGTTCAGACAGATGTGGGCTGAGTTTGAATGGGAGAATAAGGTAAGCAACACGCTTACTACAGTTCTGAGGGTGCCGGGTTAGGCCAACAGTGACCCATGGGATCAGTTTGGGCCAGAAATATTTTTTGGGATAAAAATCGGATGTAGGCCATAACATATTGTGCACACAGCTTGATCTTGTTGAGCAAAGCTTTATTTTTGTGATTGTAGAAAATGTCCGCAAAGATTATGTGTACCGAACTTAAACTTTCTGTACCGCAGACTCCTACTGCCAACATATACCTACATAACTTGTATGTTGATAGAATTACATGTACAGTATCAGTGAACACAAACCTGACAGATCTGCATGAGTACCTGAAGCATCTACTGGCCAGCACCAACATGAAGTGTCTCACTCCAGAGAAGGCACTGTGTGGCCAGTGTGGCTTCATGGCTGCCAACATTTACATAACTTGTGTGTTGACAGGTATCAGTGAACACAAACCTGACAGATCTGCATGAGTACCTGAAGCATCTACTGGCCAGCACCAACATGAAGTGTCTCACTCCAGAGAAGGCACTGTGTGGCCAGTGTGGCTTCATGGCTGCCAACATTTACATAACTTGTGTGTTGACAGGTATCAGTGAACACAAACCTGACAGATCTGCATGAGTACCTGAAGCATCTACTGGCCAGCACCAACATGAAGTGTCTCACTCCAGAGAAGGCACTGTGTGGCCAGTGTGGCTTCATGGCTGCCAACATTTACATAACTTGTGTGTTGACAGGTATCAGTGAACACAAACCTGACAGATCTGCATGAGTACCTGAAGCATCTACTGGCCAGCACCAACATGAAGTGTCTCACTCCAGAGAAGGCACTGTGTGGCCAGTGTGGCTTCATGGCTGCCAACATTTACATAACTTGTGTGTTGACAGGTATCAGTGAACACAAACCTGACAGATCTGCATGAGTACCTGAAGCATCTACTGGCCAGCACCAACATGAAGTGTCTCACTCCAGAGAAGGCACTGTGTGGCCAGTGTGGCTTCATGGCTGCCAACATTTACATAACTTGTGTGTTGACAGGTATCAGTGAACACAAACCTGACAGATCTGCATGAGTACCTGAAGCATCTACTGGCCAGCACCAACATGAAGTGTCTCACTCCAGAGAAGGCACTGTGTGGCCAGTGTGGCTTCATGGCTGCCAACATTTACATAACTTGTGTGTTGACAGGTATCAGTGAACACAAACCTGACAGATCTGCATGAGTACCTGAAGCATCTACTGGCCAGCACCAACATGAAGTGTCTCACTCCAGAGAAGGCACTGTGTGGCCAGTGTGGCTTCATGGCTGCCAACATTTACATAACTTGTGTGTTGACAGGTATCAGTGAACACAAACCTGACAGATCTGCATGAGTACCTGAAGCATCTACTGGCCAGCACCAACATGAAGTGTCTCACTCCAGAGAAGGCACTGTGTGGCCAGTGTGGCTTCATGGCTGCCAACATTTACATAACTTGTGTGTTGACAGGTATCAGTGAACACAAACCTGACAGATCTGCATGAGTACCTGAAGCATCTACTGGCCAGCACCAACATGAAGTGTCTCACTCCAGAGAAGGCACTGTGTGGCCAGTGTGGCTTCATGGCTGCCAACATTTACATAACTTGTGTGTTGACAGGTATCAGTGAACACAAACCTGACAGATCTGCATGAGTACCTGAAGCATCTACTGGCCAGCACCAACATGAAGTGTCTCACTCCAGAGAAGGCACTGTGTGGCCAGTGTGGCTTCATGGCTGCCAACATTTACATAACTTGTGTGTTGACAGGTATCAGTGAACACAAACCTGACAGATCTGCATGAGTACCTGAAGCATCTACTGGCCAGCACCAACATGAAGTGTCTCACTCCAGAGAAGGCACTGTGTGGCCAGTGTGGCTTCATGGCTGCCAACATTTACATAACTTGTGTGTTGACAGGTATCAGTGAACACAAACCTGACAGATCTGCATGAGTACCTGAAGCATCTACTGGCCAGCACCAACATGAAGTGTCTCACTCCAGAGAAGGCACTGTGTGGCCAGTGTGGCTTCATGGCTGCCAACATTTACATAACTTGTGTGTTGACAGGTATCAGTGAACACAAACCTGACAGATCTGCATGAGTACCTGAAGCATCTACTGGCCAGCACCAACATGAAGTGTCTCACTCCAGAGAAGGCACTGTGTGGCCAGTGTGGCTTCATGGCTGCCAACATTTACATAACTTGTGTGTTGACAGGTATCAGTGAACACAAACCTGACAGATCTGCATGAGTACCTGAAGCATCTACTGGCCAGCACCAACATGAAGTGTCTCACTCCAGAGAAGGCACTGTGTGGCCAGTGTGGCTTCATGGCTGCCAACATTTACATAACTTGTGTGTTGACAGGTATCAGTGAACACAAACCTGACAGATCTGCATGAGTACCTGAAGCATCTACTGGCCAGCACCAACATGAAGTGTCTCACTCCAGAGAAGGCACTGTGTGGCCAGTGTGGCTTCATGGCTGCCAACATTTACATAACTTGTGTGTTGACAGGTATCAGTGAACACAAACCTGACAGATCTGCATGAGTACCTGAAGCATCTACTGGCCAGCACCAACATGAAGTGTCTCACTCCAGAGAAGGCACTGTGTGGTCAGTGTGGCTTCATGGCTGCCAACATTTACATAACTTGTGTGTTGACAGGTATCAGTGAACACAAACCTGACAGATCTGCATGAGTACCTGAAGCATCTACTGGCCAGCACCAACATGAAGTGTCTCACTCCAGAGAAGGCACTGTGTGGTCAGTGTGGCTTCATGGCTGCCAACATTTACATAACTTGTGTGTTGACAGGTATCAGTGAACACAAACCTGACAGATCTGCATGAGTACCTGAAGCATCTACTGGCCAGCACCAACATGAAGTGTCTCACTCCAGAGAAGGCACTGTGTGGTCAGTGTGGCTTCATGGCTGCCAACATGTACGCCAGATCTATCTTCGGAGAGGATGCATTGGCCAATCTGAGTATTGAAAAGCCATTCAACAAGCCAGACGCACCAGTTACTGGTCATATCAGAATCAGAGCCAAGAGCCAGGTAATACGCTACTTTGAATAGAAGTTAAGAGATTCTGTATAGTTACAATATTTAATCTTAAAACTACTTTTAGGTATGGTAATTATTAATTAAAAGTAGGGATGGACGAGATTGGATTTGAGACAAGACAAGACGGGATTTTTTATTTTGCATAAAATTTCGAGACAAGATTTCCCTTCTCATACATAACGGGAAATGCACGTTCCACATTTTAACCTGATTTTTAAAAAATTTTTTAATACCTACTGATTTATGACAGACTGGTTAAATACAAAAATAATAGGTAATAATAGACAAAAATATTTAAAATCTTTTATTTAAAAACATTAATAAAAACATGAGTATATAAAAAAATAATAAGGCCTAACTTATTAAAAATAACTCAGCATAGGAAACATGGAGATATCAGTTAGTATACAGTTCAACTTTAAAAAATATCAAGTTTATAAGTCTAAAACAACAGTATTACTAGTTAAATATCAAGTACAATTTTTAAGTCTTGTGTTATTTTTAGAATGATTTTGGAGTGACTTATTTTTTACAGTAGTAAAACATGTCTCACACTGCTTACACACAACTTCTCAGCATTTGCTATGTCAAAAAAAAATAATTGAAGCAATATTTCCATGTAAAGAATTAACAATTAAATAAAAACACCTTCGCAATAAAAGTTTTTTTTTTTATATTTAAAATACGAGGGTTTTTTTTTTCAACCTCCGATAGGCTATGAACAAAAGACAAGTTCATATAAAACATTAAATTTATTACCAAAAGTTTGGTCCATTTATGGTTACTTTTTGACATAATCACCAAAGAGATTGAGACATTTGCTATATCTGTGCACCAGCTTTTTAATACCCTCTTCAAGAAAAGTGGCCGCCAGTACATTAAAAAAACAAAAAAATTTAAAAAAAACAAAAAATGTAAAAAAAAATAAAAAAATCAAGAAAAAATAAAAAAAGGACTTTAAAATTTCTAGAAATTCAGTAAACAAAGCAATAATGGTGAATCTGTGGTTTATTTAACCATCCTGTCAAACTGTTGAACCAAGTCATCTGAAACGGCAGTAATGAGCTGGTTCAACAAGTTGGCAGAATGGTTAAATAAACCACAGATTCACCATTATTGATTTGTTAACTGAATTTCTTGACATTTTAAAGTCCTTTTTTTATTTTTTCTTGATTTTTTAATTTTTTTGACATTTTTTTGTTTTTTGAATTTTTTTTGTTTTTTGGAATGTACTGGCGGCCACTTTTCTTGAAGAGGGTATTAAAAAGCTGGTGCACAGATATAGCAAATGTCTCAACCTCTTTGGTGATTATGTCAAAAAGTAACCATAAATGGACCAAACTTTTGGTAATAAATTTAATGTTTTATATGAACTTGTCTTTTGTTCATAGCCTATCGGAGGTTGAAAAAAAAAACAACCCTCGTATAAAAAAAATGTTTTAAATCTCGTCTTGAAAAAGTCGACCAAAATTTAATCTCGTCTCGTAGAACGAGATTTAAAATTTGCCAAAAATTTCCCGAAATTTCGAGACCCGTCCACCCCTAATAAAAAGATGAAACAATATAAAACAAACAAATGACACTGCATAGTGTTTGTTTGAACAGAAAGTTCCAGCAGAGGATTTCCTCCATAACTTTACTTTTCTATATCACAAGTGGTTGAGCATTTTTAGCATAAAACAAGTTTGAAAATTATTTGACCCCATATTTCATGTCAAATTTTTCCTTATACAGTACTTCCATGTAAAATGGGAAGTATGCAATTTAAAACAAAATGGGAACATAATCTATGCTTGTATTAATGCATTATTAAAACTCTTTTATTTTAATTTTTCAGGGTATGGCTCTGAGTTTGGGAGACAAGATCAATATGACCCAAAAGAGACCCCAAAAAGCAATGGGTGCTTAAATTCTTCTACTAATCAGTGAAGTAACTTTCTGTAAAACTTCTATCATATTATATATTTGCTTTTACAATAGTATTATTGATTGATCAGTTATAAATAAACTTATCTTTATGTTATGATGTTGTGTTGATTAATTAATTACCACCACATCCCCTTTGTTTCAAAATATCGTGAAATCAAAAACTACCCACCTACAAGCTCACGTCAAGGCACTGAATCAGGGTGTCATGCATCAAATTTTCATAGTCAGAAAAAAGTGCTTGGCCTCAGCAACACAGCGCCTCCATCCGTCTCTTTACTTAACCAAATTGAACTGTGACCAATCAATTGGTAATACTGTCCATAGCTATAATACAAGACCCTATCGATTGGTTAAACATCATAAACTAGTAGTACGCTTATTCTGCGCGTAACGGGATGAGTGAACATGAGCGCAGTAATGAAAGAGTCCACCCACACCTAGCCTACTTACCAGTGTCACTGGTGAACACAATGTTATTTGTATGGGCAAATCAACCAAATCTTAGTCAACAACAATCCTAACTTCTCATCCATTAATTAACCAAAGTCATTGGTAATATACGTAATGGATTTCCAACAGTTATCAATAGGAGGTAAATCCATCGTTCCTGTACAACATGTCTTTTGATTAAATGAAGCCTATTTCCATATTTGTTATGAGGCCTATCATTAACAAAACTAAGCCAAACTGAACTAATAACTTAACCTAATTGCCAAAGCACGATGTAAGGAATCTCCTAAAACATATTGTATGGCTTACAATGATGATTCAAAACGATATCGTAATTATATAATCTAAAAATGATTAAAAATCCAATATATGTTTATCTAACTAATGAAGGGTTCCCACACTCCGGACTGCTCGCCTCAACTACTTCCACCACCACTTCCTACGTCGTAAACATGTTTCCCTCCCTTCTTGTGGCATTTTAGTATTGCAGGTACATTAACCTAACTGTCACAAAGGGTCCCCACACTCCGGACTGCTGACCTCAACTATTCCATCACCACTTCCTACGTCGTAAACATGTTTCCCTCCCTTCCTATGGAATTTTAGTATTGCAGGTACATTAACCTAACTGTCACAAAGGGTCCCCACACTCCGGACTGCTCGCCTCAACTACTTCCATCACCACTTCCTACGTCGTAAACATGTTTCCCTCCCTTCCTATGGCATTTTAGTATTGCAGATCCATTAATCTAACTGTCACAAAGGGTTCCCATGCTCCGGAATGGTCGCCTCGACTACTTCCTTCACCACTTCCTACGTCGTGGACCTGTTTCTCTCCCTTCCCAAAGGTTTTTAGGATTGTAGATATACATTATTATAACTGTCACAAAGGCTTTCCACATTCCGAAGCGTTCGCCTTGACTATTTCCTTCACTACTACTTCCTACATCGTAGATCTGTTTCCCTCTCTTTCCATAGCATTTAAGTATAACATATAACATATATATTAATTTAACAGTCACAAAGTATTTCCACACTCCGCACTGCTCACCTTTCCGCTTCCTTTACCACTCTCTACGTCGTGGTGCGAACACACAGACAGACAAGCGGACAACTTTTCTCCGACTCCGCTATACACGATACATAGATTCGTTCACTTCGTTCACTCATCTATTAGAGCTTTAAAAAAAAATCACCTATAAAGGAAACAAATATTTTGACCTTTTACCACAAAATATCAAAAATGAAATAATAATACGGACAGATTTTTAAATTTGGCAAAAGCATTTCTAATTCAATCAGCTTTCTTTTCTATCGGGGAGTTTTGTTCTTGACTCTTTTGATTTGGACTCTTTCTCTTAATAATTTTTAATGTAATTTAACCTTATGTATTTTTATTTTTTGAATAACCTATTCATTTAGTTTTAGTTCCCATGACTCTATTTCATGTAACTATTATGTTTGCATATTATGAAATAAAGATATTTTTCATTGATTGATTGAATCTGACCGATTTCAAAATCTGTTGATCCCTTGAGCAGTTTTAATTTTTAAATGTGACCAAATTGAAGGGATCCCCTTTGTTTTGTAGACTCCTGTTTTTAAAAAGTGCCACTTTGCCCTCAAGTTGCACAAATAACTAATATTTGTTTTTATTGTAAACTATAACTAAATATATATAACTAACTATATATATATATTATATATATATATATATATATCAATTTCCTAGACTATTTCATATAAAAGTTTTATTGTTAGAGATGAGATAGCCAATTAAATTGCTTACTTCTTTTAGTTTGCTGGAAGTCATAAAAGGTTTCCCCAGCTATTCTTGTTAAAGGTTAGGAACATTGTTAATGATAATGTATTCAGCCTCAATTTGTCTACCTAACCTTTCAGGCTGATTGACAATTCAATTGGGATCTGACGCACACTACCCTGAGTGTTTAGTGGAGAGTTTTCTGATTCTTGTTGAAAACTATGTATAAGCAAGTCGTTTTTATGTATATAATTTTAATGCTCACCTTATGTAAGTTATTTGTAACATTGGTCATTCTGTCATTGATATTTTAAATTTGGTTTGCTAAGATCAGGCTTGTAACTTTAAATGTACACTTTTAAATGCTGTTAATCAATCCCACTGCACAAACTTCAAAATCATTTGCACATCTTCTATGAACTGTTGTTCTATCCTCTGTTTGATAATGTGCACAAAATGATATTCATCTACCAGCAAGTGGTTTACATTAGGAAGAGTTTTACACAATTTCACCTGATCAACTAGTTTTAGTTATTAACAGTAAATAAAGATGGTCGATTAATTGATTTATGAAACAATTCTTGCCATTGTTTAGAGAAAAACAACAGCTAGAGGTTTTTACTTATTATCACAATATGATGCAACACATTGTGTTAATAATGTTTTTCTTTAACAATCAGTGGCTGAGAAGTGACATTGTTATTTGCAGATTTTGGTTCAAGGAATACTCACTTGTTAAATGCCTAACATTTCTTAGACCTAGGTGAACAATAACATTCATGATATCCAGTTGTACAGTATTGATTTTTACTGTAACTTTCATTTTGTCCTTGGTTAATTTTGATCTGAGGGATTGAACTTGCTGCTAGCATTGATATCCTAAACAAGCTGAGTAGTTAATTTAATAGTAAATTTAAGTGGTTTCCTAGTAATCAGAAGTTCCCTGATTCAATCCAAAGATAAGTCAGTAACTTTTTTAATGGATCAAAACTGGATCCAGCTGTCCTGATCATCATCCTATGGCTAATGAAACTGGTCCTGGCTAAGCTGGTCTTAGCAACAAAGCCACACACTTATATTTCATTCTTTTTTGCATAAAAAAAAACACCCTAGTTTTAGCATCTTACATGATAATGATAAATTCGTAGATTTTGTGACTTTTGGTAGTTTTTTTTAAAGAGTTAATTGATTAAGGAAAACGTCTATCCCATATTATATGTTTCAACATGTTAACAAGCCAGGCAGACTAGTCCAGAGCTTGACCTGCAAGGAGATAAGGGTTTCTCAGTCAGCTGCCAAGTATACTCCTGATATCTTGAACACACTTTCACCACAGGACGTTAGCGACTGCTTCGATCTGCTGGGGAAAGATAAATTGACTGAGGAACAAGCTCATACACTGTGGCAAATGATCCTGCGTGTAAGTTGCTCTAGGGTTACATTGATGGTTTTGTACAAAATGTATATATGTTCATGTGCGTGTTTGTGAACTGTTAGTAGTTTTAACCAAGATGTCCATTGAACTCAAGATTTCAAATTGCCCCGCCTGATGATGGTACAATTTCGTGCCAAAACCTAGATCTCAACAGCCGACTTAATTTGAACTGGTGACTGAAGGTTTTAAACCATCATATTAGTTCCAATAAAAATAAAAAACCAAACTAAATATTTTGATATCACGAACGAGTTATTAAAAATGAAATTCAAAAAAATGACAAAACTGAAGGATTTATTACAACACAACAAAAATGAGCTTGTGTTCTAAACAAAATCAAAACAACAAACTAAACTTGATTGCATTCTTAAAACAATTAAAACACATACAGTATAATTAATTATACATTTAAATAAGTTATGAAAACAAAAAAGTCTTTAAGCAATAAATAAAAGTCAGTCCCTCAGCAAATGTTATTTTAATGAGGTTTTAACCAATGACTGACTAGGCCAATGATATTACGACAACTGTGCAATTTACAAAATGATAAGATAGAAACATTAGTTAGTTTAACATGATCAAGTGACACCAAACATCAAACACTTAAGAAACAAACCTAAGGTTTTACAACATGATGAAAAGTCTATCTACAGTAAAGTCAATAGTGGTGGCAAAATCTAGCTCGAATAGTAATGTCAGATTTTGCCAAGCTAAGATAATTACTGTTTCAGGTTTATGGTTCAGCAGATCAGATTCCAGAAGAGAAACTACGATCATTGGGGTGGATTACCAAGGGCATTCCTCCAAACAACTTTTTTAACATGTCTTTCACCGATATAGATACTGTTGCAGCATTTGGACGATATTTCGAGTTGAATTTAGATCAGGTATTTAATGTTATCAAAGTAAATTTCAGGCTCTAATTAATTTAATTTTGTAGGATAATAATACATTGAATTGCTTGAAAAAACTCTATCTGGAATCACTTGCTATCAATACAGTATTATATTTTTTAGAGCTTATGAAATTGTTTAATAAATACGAGGATAGCATAAAACGTGTTAACAATGCTTATGTTATCATTATGATGTTCTGTTTTGTTAACACAGTTTATGTTTTTACCCATTATGTTTAGCTGGCAGCTTTGCGAGATGCTGTAATGTTCCAGTGGACTAGCAAAGAGATGTCTGATTTATCTAGTTTTGATCTTGCAAACCTTGGACACATCCTGTGTGCTTTTAATGTTTCCGACATCTCAAGAATTCATGCTGATGCATACAGGTAGTGTGAAAATAATACTACTTAAAGGTATGTATGGTGAGACAACACAAATAAATCATAAAACCAAACTTGGCTTGAAAATGAAACACCTAGGCGTCATTGCTGATGCTGACTGAAACGTAGTGAGTAATATCATAACATCAATAACCTCACCTGCTAGGAAGAATGATTTTTTTTTAAATGCCCATCAAGGTGTTTTAATGGCTCAAAGCCAAATTGTGTGCTTCTCCTATTATTTTATTTTTTCTTCACCCATTTTAAAAATATTTCTGTCGTTGAATATTATTCTTCCCTAGTTTTATTAGGAGCAGGAGTGCAGGTGACCTACCAGTTTAAGGCCCCTTCTGAGTTGTTCAAGTTAAGGGTTAAAGACGACCCACAAATCCTTTTTAACTTTGTAGAAATATATGCCTGAAAGGTAATTCTTGTGACAGAAAGATATTAACAAAATTTTTTATGTTTGCTTATGAGCTTTCTTTCTTTTTGAAAATTCCTTGTAATCCTTGATATGATTAATTGGGGTTCAAAGATCTCTAAACAACTTATAAATGTCTAATGTTTTATGCACTGCTAGGATGATTTGAATTAAGACATTTTATTACATTTTTACAGGGATGCTGCTAATGAGCTTTCCCTTCTAAAAAACTGTAGTACTGAGATCATCAGAGGTTTAGCCAATTTGGCTATGAGCCCTTATGCATTTGGCGATCCAAGAAAGTGGACAGCACTACAGGTATAAACATCAAATTCATTAACAAAAATTAACTTGCAGGTCTCAAAAACTAGTTTTTTTTTCAGAGAGGCCAAAGTTGTTGTAACAAAATCGTACACTTAAGTGTTTTAAAAATTTTAAGTCATTTTAGTCTTTTACAAATTATTTGCAGTCCGTGGTAAATACTAAATTGCAATTAAGTGGCGCCTAATTATTTAGTACTCTTTAGGAAAAAGACCTAGATTAGGCCTTTGGAAACCCTTTTTTTTATTAAGTAGTCTTTTGAGAAGCGGGCAAGGTCCAGCAAGGTTGTCGTTCCTTCAAGGGCTTATCACTAGCATTCAGAGACCACTAAAAACACAGTTCACCTTACAAAATTAAAAAAGCATTATCCTTAATTTAAACATTTTATTCAACCTGTAAATCAGCTGCAGCATACATTAAGAAAAAAAGATAGTGGGGGAACTTCCCCTCAAACCATCTTAATGTTCTGAACAGAGTATATATAATATAATAAAATTAATACTAGATAACCCGTTTCTGAAAATCGAGCAAAACTGCAACTTCTAAGAAGAGAATAAAGAACGAAAACATAAACAGCTAGACCTCAACCAAAGAGTTAAATAAGAATCTCATTTGACTCCTCGGAGCTCTTCTCCCCACACATGTTAGTCACAGTCTTAAAGATTTACCAAATTGGTTGGTGTTTTCAATGTGTGTTCACGCATAAGATTTTCATTTTTTGTCTGCATTTTGTTTCATACGCTGTTGGGTTCCAGTGTCAAAGTCGTAGATATAATTCTGAGCGTATTTAGGATCCTGACCTTCTTGAGGAATGAGAGGACCTACTCGGTGGTAAAACGTGATTGATTTTGAAATTGTAGATCCCATGCCTGATCTTCTCATCCAAATGAGCTTCGTAGCTGGCCATGACAAAGGCGGAATTAAATTGACAAATATTATCCAAATAATTTCTGAATCTAAGTCTCACAGTCCTGTTTTCAGATTGGGAGTTTCCAATAAGTTCCTGAAAGTATGGCAAATTCCGCAAATGAGGTAATCGACTCTTTCCTGTATGGCAACAAAGAGTAAAAATTGAACTGTCTCGGCCAGTCTTTTCTTGCCTAAGATGTAAGAATAAGAATAAGAATAAGAATAAGAATAAGAATAAGAAATATTTATTTCCATTGATCTTTATAAAAGAAATAGGACACGTCATTGTTATACATAGTTACAAGGTGATTCAGTGTTTACAGTACAAAATATCTAAATTTAAATAGCCACTTACATGAAAATAAGAGCTTTATTTCAACTTACTCTTCAAAATCGAATATTTATTTCACAACTTAAAAAATCATCAATTTTGTAAAAGGGATTTTTAACAATCCAGTCATACAGTTTATTTTAAAAAATACTGTAAGAAACTAATTTTGCTTCTTCAGGCAGCTTATAAAAAAAAATTATACAATTTAATTTATGTGAATGTTTGGTTTTTGCCAATCTGTGCTGCAATATATCTATTTTATCCCTACCTCTTGTATAGTGATTGTGTACGTCTTTTCGGAAAGAGAATTGATCTAAGTTTGACTTTGTATACATTAGAATTTGGAATATATAAAGATTTACTATGGTTGGTATCCTGAAATTAATGAAAAGAGGTTTACAATGTGTATCTGAGCATTCTCCAGCAATGCTTCAAACCGCCTTTTTCTGGAGTAAAAGGATGTCATTAATATGTGGAGAGTGGCCCCACAAAATAAGACCATATAGTATGTGCGATTGAAAGAGTCCAAAATACGCCAATCTTAAATATTCTTGACTAACAAAATCCTTAAGTTTCCACAGCAAGCACCTCACTCTTGAAATTTTGTTACAAACAGATTTTATGTCTGATGACCAATTTAATTTTGAATCCAAATTAAATCCTAAAAGTTTAACTGATTCAAATTTTACCTCTGTTTTAAGACTGATTGTTATATATTGTGATTTGTCAGAATTACAAGATAGTCTGTTTGCAGAAAACCAATCATATGCTCTATATTCAGCCTCTTGACTAATTAAGCGCAGGGTTGTTAAATTAGAATGGTTAGCGAGTAAAGTTGTATCATCCGCATATATAACAGATTGTGTATTTATATTTATAGGAAGATCATTAATGTAGACGTTAAAGAAAAATGGCCCTAGTACAGAGCCCTGAGGAACACCGGTTTCAACTTTTTCAGTTTTAGAACATTTATTTTTAATTGATACCAATTGAAGTCTATTACATAAATACGAAGAAATTAGAAGCATGGCATCATTAGTGATGCCATAAAAACGTAGTTTGTTAGTTAGGATATCAAAAGGAACCGTGTCAAAAGCTTTACTTAAATCACATATAACTAATGACACAGATTCCTTCTTTTCTAAAGTTTCGAGAGAATGGTCAACTAAAGTGAGAATTGCTGAGGTTGTGGATTTACCTCGACGAAAGCCGAATTGGGAGTTTGACAATAGGTTATTTGTTTCAAAGTAATTATTTAATTGATTATACATTACTGCTTCAAATATTTTGGAAAAGTAGGAACGAGTGAAATAGGCCGATAATTTTGAACAATTTTTTTATCACCTTTTTTGAATATTGGGATTACTTTCGATATTTTGAGGGATGGAGAAAAATATCCCTCCCTCATACAGGTATTCAATATAAAAGCAAGAGGGTAGCTAATAAAACCTATAGTCTTTTTCAAAATATTATTAGAAATCCAATAATAATCCATTGATTTAGAATTTGTTAATTTAGCAACAACTTTAATTATATCCGATGATGAGACCTCTGACCAAGAAAATGTTGTATTTGTTGAGTTTCCTAAAAAATCTTCTGCTTTGTAAGGGCTTTGTGGTATTACTTTACTTAATTCTTTTATTGAATCTAAAAAATATGAATTCATTTCATCTTTGTCAAGTATGGCATCTTTACTATGAGTTGGTGAATGCTCATCTTTAATTACCGCCCAGGCAGCACGACATGGGTTGGAAGCATTACTGATGAAGTGCTCAACCGCGTTCTTTTTGGCAAGAGTCATTTTGTTTCTATAGAATCTTTTATGGTTCATATAAACATTATAAGCTGCCTGAGTTAGCTCAGAACCTGTAGATCTTAAGTTTTTATAGACAGTAAAGTACTTGAGCATATCATTCTTAATTATTCTAAGCTCAGGAGTATACCATTTTATAAGCTTATTATTTTTATTATTTTTAGGTTGCCTGTGCCTAAGCCACCTCAATGTAAACATTAAGTGGTCAATATTTATTTATTTATTTGCGTGTAATAAAAATCCATACAAAACCGTGTAGTATGTTCATCGTTGTTGTATTATTATTAATTATGATACATATTGCAGTTCAGAATATAATTTACTTTTTTCATCACTGTTAGTGGTGATATGTTTGCTCCATTGCTGCTAGCTTGTGCATGAATGCTAAGCTGATCCAAGATTGCTCACACAATTTACAGAAAAGTTTGGCCATAGAAAAAAAACATCTTCTACTTTAAATCTTAAAAATAGTATTGAGAATGTCTAATAATGCAAATGACAATACAATGTGATGGATCAAATCTCAAAACCAAAACTTGCCGATCGAATCTTGAAACTGAAACTTTTCCAAAGTTTTACACACAACAATATTTATTTATTGTATGAAGGGATTGTAAGTAGTGATACATAAAGTATACATATTTCCTATTGTTTGTGGCAGGTATCATCTATTGGCTGTGTGATTGCAGGAGTTGCACAAGTATCATCAATACCCAGTGAAGCATTTAAGGGGATTTCACCTGACATTGTAAACTGTTTGCCTTCATCTTTTTTTCAGGTATAGCTTTCATTGAGCAGAAAATATTAACATATTTTGAGAGAATGACCTAAAAGATTTAAAAATGTAAGATAGTCAATGTTTAACAACTCCATTGATTATTTAGAAAATTGTGCATAAATTTAAGCAATATCAAATCAGATTTACATGCAATTAAAACATGTGGTTTTTTATTTTTTGATCATTTGAAACGAGTTGTATATTATTTTACAAATGCAAATACTTCTAATACTTGGTAAGACTCTGTAGGTAACTATTTGCAAATTCAGGCGATATTTTTATTGCTAAATTAACCTTGGGGTGGCACAGCGCTTCCTAGTAGTTCTTCAAGGCCCAGCCCGGTAAGACAAACCGTAGAAGTATTTACTCTTATAAATATAGAATAACCAGTAATTTATCAGGTCTGAAGCACACATTGTTTTGTACAAAGTCAACATTTAAAAATAAATAGCCTCAGATACTTTTTTACCTTCCAGTTCAAGCAAATTTTCCTTTCACAGCTTTAAGCTATGGAAACTGAAAGGTAAAACCACTCCTTTATGTTGTCCAGAGCATGAGCACTGCCCAGCTCAAGCTGTTGCCAGCCACCAGTGGAGTAGCTGTCAATGAGGATGTTCTAACCAGCAAGCAGGGGGCTGCTATAGAGGAGGCCATCTCTGGACCTACCTCTCGCAATACAGCTACTACTTCTACCATTCACTCTGCCACACTCAGACCGATCCTAACACTAATGGCCGGGTCCACTCTGAACAAACTTTTGGCAAACAAGTTACTAGCCACAGACACTTGGTTTTGTATATTTTGTGTTTAGTGGTAAATTGTTAGTTGTAAAATATTAATCAACATGAGTAAGGATTTAAGTAGTCAGGAAAACATTGTTATGTTGATACAATTGTACAAATCTCATGAGTTGTTGTGGGGCATACAGTGATTATCAAAGTTAAAAAAATTATGCTTATGCGAGTGTTGCTACTGAGTTGGGTGTAAACAACAATGAAGAAGTTAAAAAAAGATTGGAGAGTCTAAACAGTATATTAATGCAAAATACGAGGGAGAAGAATGTAATGTATCAATATACTACTAACACTCTCTGCAATTGACTAATGAATAATTTACTAAATGTTTGTTTCTGTTTTTTTAGTTACTACATTTTACATTATTCAGCGTTTCATTTGCCTCCTATTCCAAAATTAGAATTATTTTAGATGTTACCTTCCACTGAATTCGGTGCTATAATATTACTTAAACTAAAGATGTATTTAATCAGTTCTAATTACATTATCCTATATGTTTTGATATAAGAACCTTCAGTGAAATATCAGCTTTCATTTGAGCTATTGATTATTAAGATCGGACGTACCTGAAGCACGCTGCTGAATCACGAATCAACAATAGTTATAGTTATTTTATTTCAGGACCTATCTGCAATCAATGATACGTAACTCTATTTTTATTGTATTTATTTATTATTTTATATGTCTTACAATACTCCTAGAAATAAAGGCTTTCATTTGAGATACTTATCGTGTGAATCACTTAGGTTCAAGTTAGTGTATTACTCAATCAAAAACATATTTTATTATCATTATTGTGAATTTTATTTTGAAGCGGGCAACGGGTTTTGCTGCTCGTTATAATTAATATAATAGGTGGTCCATTATACTGTAATTTTTTTCATCATAAATATTTGATAACAGATATATGAGATAGAACTATTATAGTGTAACTGGCCTTAACAAATAAAGCTTCAAGTTCTACAATTATGATGTCAAAAACTTTACTGTCGTTAAAGTTTAAATTGAGTGTTCATATTAATTTAATTTATTAATATTACTAAAGGCCTAAGATTTATTTCCATGCATCGCGTAGTAATATATTTGGATCCTAATTTTGTAGGGTCTATTTAAATTGACATCTTTATCAAACAGTCATATAATATTTTTTATTTGTAGCTTTAACACATGTTTATATAAGATCAGGAATAACATCAGCTCTCCTCTGGATCACTTCTCGGACCAGTTCCCTAGTCAAATGATGGATTTCCATTGGGGGTTTGTCATATTTGCCTTTACTCCACTCTGGGGGAGGCGGTCGCACATTCAGAAGTGCACAAGCTTCTTTAAGCCTACAACAAATTATATTTGATATGACAAATGATTCTGAAAGCATAACTCAATCCTAATTGTATGCTCCAGTTATCATATTTTTATATATGACTTTGTAGTACATACACATGCATACATACACTTTATAGTAGTTTTTCATGACTTTATAGTAGACAATTATAGTAATATGCGTGAAATAGAAAATGAAAATTTGAAACAGCAATATAAGAAGCATCAGCAAAACCTTCGGGCTGTAATCAATGCCACAAACCACGATGTGCCACTTGTAAATCAATCATCCCGTCAAAAACCTTCACTAGCAGCCAAACTGAAAAATTGTATAACATAAATAGTAACATCACTTGTAATTCTAGCAATGTCATTTACCAAATTTCCTGCAAAAACTGTCCTAAAGACTACATTGGCAAAACCACAAATGCTCTTAGAGTTTGTATGAATGGCAACAGATGTGATGTAAACCATACTGATATACAAAAACCTGTGGCTATTCATGCGAGAGAGCATTCTCAAAATTTTCAACAGTGTTAGGCCCTTATTAGACGAGGCAGCCAAGTTGCGCAGCCAGCCGGGCAGCCAGTCGGCCAGTTAGTCACTGGGCATTGGTTCTTATGGAGCTTATTACACGAGGGCAGCCAGTTGCGCAGCCACTGTTTGGCTGCCGGCTGCTTGCCGAGCCCGGCGACCGCACAGGCAACCACTGGCTGCTCGGTCTGGTCGCGCCCCTGTGTAGCTTACGGATCTTATTACACTGGGCAGCCAGTCGCCCACTGCCACACATCAGTAGTAGATCATCACTCGTGGAAGTGCGTTCATCTCTGTCGGTCACATCATTGTGTGTTGTTTTCCTCAGTATTCTTTTGGTGAACAATGTCTTCTGATTGTAAAGTGAGAGTGAATGTTGTAGCAAACAACTAGAATAGTGAAGTGAGTGTGGTTGGAAGTTGCAATAAATCTAAAAAGAAGGAACGGGGAGGTGACTCTAAAACCACTGAACCAAAAAAGCGTCTCTCCCCAACAGAACTGTTCCACCAACACTGTTCCACTGTTAACAAGAGACTGGCCTAGTTGGTAATTTTGTGGCTGCCCTGTGGCTGCTCTACTGGTTGCTCTACTGGTTGCTACGCTAGGCAGCCAGACAGGCGACTGGCTGCCCGGCTGGTTGCGCAACTTGGCTGCCTCGTCTAATAAGAGCCTTACTCATTATAAAAGGAATAAGAAAATTTGCCAAAGACGCATCAGACTTAAAATTAAGACACTTGAGCAAGCTCATCAATTAATATTTAAATCTAAAACACCATCTGGTCTAAGTTTGAGATAGTACACAAAAAATACCGGTACTTTCTTTCTTTTTATCAAAATTTTCTTTTTTACTTCTTTATACATTATACTTATAGGCCTACAGGTGGTAAACACGTCACTTCTATTTGTTTTTTTTTTTCATGAAGAAGGCTAATGCCGAAATATAGAACTTTTTTTGTTACAAGTGTGTGAATAGTTTATTTTTATAATGATATAGCTGTTTGGCAATACTATGTAGAAACTAAGAAGCATTAGTAGTAAAGCTTGTGTACTAGGTACTAGGTACACAGACACCTTCAACACCAGATTGGATTGTACACTCACATTTTATTCATGTTATCTAAGAAAAGGTTTATATTTAAATGTATGTTATCATCGGATATGGCTTTGTTAATAATATTAGAGTTCTATGGTAAAAAACAAAGCTCTGAAAAAAATAATAGACACTTACGGTAAAAAATATGCTTCAGGCTTTTGTGTGTATTGGTGAAAGAGCGGAATCAGGCTTCTGTTGAGGTCTTGCTCCAGTTGCTTGGCTCCTCCCTCATTGAAGCGGTTTTGTAGAACTAGCTCTTCTAATAAAAACTGGCCAAACAACCACAGAACCCCAATCAAAAAACTCATTATCTCATCATATATTTTAGAAAGCTACTCACAATAACAGCTTATTTTTTCACAAAAATACTTATTACTATTCAAATATTGATAATACTAAATGTATCAATGATATGTTTTTGTGTTGTAATCAGTCATTTGGCTAAAATCATCATACAGCAAAACAAGTTATAGCTTTTAGCTCACTACAGTGATTTTACAAGACAAAAACACCACAGTAAAATCTAAAGAGTTTGGTGTTTCCCTACTATGCCTCATGCAATTAAAATTTTTGACTAGTGATAGAAGCGGACATCCTATTTCGATATTACAGCTATAGTCAGTTTTAAATTAAGTCAATAATTATTATGAAATTCTGTCAAATCCTCAAACCTTTTAATGAAGCCAATTTGAAAGGACAACTCGTTATAAAACATAGAATCTTATGTTACATCAAATATAGTATCAGAAAGGGAGAAGATCTAATTATGTACAACAGCACCCACTGTAAGTGGTTTATCCAAATAACTACACTATGTTCTATTTGAGGTCTACGTCCACCCCAGTATCTTAAGTCAAACATTTAAACTATCTGGATCCCTTGAATTGTAACATTTTGATTTTGTAGTTACAGCCACTTAAGGTATTTCTAGTATTCTACCTCTACATGAATCTAAGTACATCTTTAGTAAGATATTTACCGTGCAGAGCTGAGTGGCGACAGATTGCCAAGCTAGTGTGAAGAGACAAGATGCCAGCAGTGATTGTAGAGAGTGCAGTTTGGACACAAGCACTTGGAACATCGGGCACGCGCTGGGTGTCAAAGTTGTCTCGTAGTTCATGGCAAACCATCTAAACATTCACACACAAATCATGTGCTAGCATTTACTTCACCACTTTAGTCGTGTGTTGTTTTTTCATATGTATTCTACATTTTTTGTCCAGTTGGTTTTATCTTCACACATCTGAAACCATAGGTGATTTTTATAAATTAAACTACACTAAACTTATTTTTACTCTTTAAATATGATGTTTGGATTTTGATTTTACCAAGGGTTCTTTGACCAGATAGTATATCATTAGCATAATTAATTGAAGGTCATTAAAATTTCACTTTCAGATTTATGAGACGGGAACAACACAATAAAAGCATGTCGTAGCCTAAATAAGAATGAAAAAGAGCGTGGGATAAGTGAGATGTCTTTCGTAACTTTGACACAGACTAAAATCTACTTAGTCAATAGTTTAATACCATTTTGTTAAATACCATTTTGTAAAAGCCCAATGATCAGGGACATCTGGGTCCAGTTTTGAACAATCAAAAACATAATTTCTAGGTATTTAATCATTATTTTAATTAAAATAGAACTCCAGACAAGTTGTCTGCACTAGTGATGTATCAAAACCAAATTTCAAATTACAAAACCATCATAACTTTGGAAAAGTTAGGTTTCGAGATTCCAAAGTTTTGAAATTGAAGATTTTGGCAGTTTTATTTCGAGATTCCAAAGTTTTGAAATTGAAGATTTTGGCAGTTTTATGTTTGAAACTGGTGACATTTTCAATGTCATTATTATTGTTAATAACACTGTTACCACACAAGCTCGTAGCAATAGAGCAAACATATCACCATCAACAGTAATGAAACAAGTAAATTGTATTCTGAACTTCAAAAGGCATCTTAAATACTATAACTCGAACGACGAACGATTCAGTTTCATATCAATACTTCATAACACAAAGAAATATTGGCTAACTAAATGTTCTAATTAATCTAATATTCATGTTTATGTTGGTGTTGGGATTTTAATTTATTTTAATGTTGGTTGTTTATAAAAAAAAATATGTTGTATTCAAGTTTAAGATTATCAGACAAATATTTATGTTATGTCAGTGTCAGGAGTCAATCTCTTTCAGTTTTGATTGCATACTTCACAATTTATTATTATTACATGTATTTTTACTTTCTCCCCCTATACCGTAGTATATGGAGAAAGTATTGTTTTCGTCAAAATTTTTGAGTTTGAGTTTTGAGTGGATATATTTGTTTTGGGCCCCCCTGGACCCAAAAAAGTGGTTTTCGAAGTGATGTCTGTGTGTGTGTGTGTGTGTGTGTGTGTCTGTGTGTCTGTGTGTGTGTCTGTGTGTCTGGATGTGTACAGAGCTAGAGACTACACCTGTGGTCCGATTTCGATGAAATTTGGTATGTAGGTTCTAATCCATGGTATCTCCAGGCGTTTTTTTTCATTTTTTTGAAATTTTGATTTTTAATGGGGATTTTCCCATAAAAACCTGGAAAAATCGGATTTTCTCAAAAATGGCCCGAACGATTTTGATAAAAATTTAGTATGTTGTAGCCCTTTAAATTCTGAACAAAATGGTACAAATCCCATTTCTGTAAAAATTTTGGTTCAAAAGTTATGGTAAATTATGTTATTTTCCCATAAAAACCCCATAAAATAACGAAAAATAGGATTTTAGACAAAAATCCGGTTTTTATTTGACATAGTATGTTATGGTCCCTACAATTATGATATTTTTTTCATTTTTTAGAAAATTTTTTTTAATGGGTATTTTCCCATAAAATAACAGAAAAATAAGATTTTCCCAAAAATGGCCCAAAACGATGTTGATAAAAATTTAGTATGTTATAGTCCTTTATATTCTGAACAAAGTGGTACAAATCCCATCTCTGTAAAAATTACGGTTCAAAAGTTACTGTAAATTATGTTATTTTCCCATAAAAACCCCATAAAATAACGGAAAATCACATTTTCCCAAAATTGGCTCGAACGATTTTGATAAAAATTTAGTATGTTATAGTCCTTTAAATTCTGAAGAAAATCTTACAAATCCCATTTCCATATATTTACTCTCACCGCTTACACATGATAAAGGTTGTTGACAAACTTATGGGAGAAAGTATGTGTCAGAATGCTGATACCGTTTATTTGTAACCTTTACCTTTGTAACTTAATTAGCTAAGTAAAAAAGTTTCGCGTTTAGGTTTTGAGATTCGGGATTCGATTTTTAAAAGTTTCGGTTTCGGTTTTGAGATTCAAAATTTCTGGTTTTGACCATCACTAGTCTGCACTAAACCTGCCTAACTGTTTTTTAAATTCATAATTTGTGAAGGATTACTATTTTAATTCCAGGTGAAATGGACTTTACCTTCACCAAGTCCACGAAAAAGGGTAGATTGGGTTAGATAGAGTAATTGGGTAAAAGTAGATATTTAGGTAACTTTAAATCAATAGGAGTTCCATTACCTTCCAAAACGTAGTGTAATAAATTAAACTAAATACTTACACATCTTTCCTGTAAGGTCGACTTCTAGCCTTGACCTCCATCATGACAGCTTCACACAACACATCAACCAGCTCTTGTACAAGATGTTGAAGCAAAGAGAGAGTGTTGTCAAACAAAGTACCTTGCTTGAGGGTCGCAGACTCCAGCGAGGACAAAGTCTTTCCTGCACTCTCTAACTGACTCTTGTAGTGTTGTAGCATCAGAAATTGCTGCAAACAACAAGCAATGATTGAATTATACTGATATCTGTTTTATTTGGTTTGAAATCAATTCAACTCAAGTTCTAAGTACCTTTGAACGCTCGATAATCTGGCACATATGGGACGTTTGGCGATTTCCAGATTACTGACATTATTGAGTAACTAGCAGGTGTACCACTAAATATACAATAGAACCGATGTCTGCCAATTGCTCCCAACGCCTAATAAAAATAATCTCCAGCGATGGTTTTTGACTCTGCCAGACACGTTAAAATTGCTTAAAACAACATACAGAAAGATTTTTTGGACCAGCGCCACTGAGAACTCGCGTTTTAGTGGTTAAAAATCGACCCGCGCCAGATAAAGGGTTAAGCTTTATTTAACACGTTCGCTACTGCAATAGTACACATTTTTGTTCAGTTATAAACTGTTCTTGAATAATCTGTTTTTTTTTTACTTACTTTCACCTCAAAACACAAACAAAATTAAACCTACGGTAATACAGTGGAACCTTGATGAGAAGACCCTCGATAACAAGACGCCCTTGATAACAAGTGTCTTTTTCAAATCCCCTTAAAATTATTTTACCCCAATCACGTGTTATTACAAACCTCGATAAGAAGTCAACCTTGATAACAAGTCTTATTTTACAATCCCCATGAGAGTCTTGTTATCAAGGTTCTACTAGCTACTTCCCCATAGGGAAATTCACTAAAAATACACGTGTACTTACAGGGCTGGCCCCCCACTCATGTAAAACTTCAATGATGTATGCAGCTGTGTTGAGAATGGCAGGGAGCTGAGAATCCAGAGGGTCTTGTCTCTCAGAGTGTAACAGCTGCAGCAGTCTGACACGTAGCTCATCTACCAGCTCCAGCTGTAGCTCTACAAACTGTAGCCTAAACACAGTAACACACCATAGGACAGCTGGGAGAACAAGGAAGGCAACTGACATATTTATTCTCCCTGTCAAATCCACCTTCAATGAGTGATGTCAGAGCAAGGTCCTGGTTATAGCAGTTATAAACCAGCTGGGAGGATAGGATTGAGGATGCGTATAACATTTCTCCAGCCCAACACACGCTTCGTCAAAAAAGCAATAACTGTCTGAGAATAGTAGGAAAGTTTACAATACAAAAATTATATTATCAAGTTAACGAGTCTACAGGGTGTCCCAGAACTCTCTACCAATATTTTAGGGCATTGCTCCTGGGTAAGAAACATACCTAAATATCATATTTAAATTGTCCGGAAGTTCTTAGTTACTCACACAGCCGCCATTTTGTTTTTTTCAGTTATTAATTTTTTTCTAAAGAATGGTTAAACATACGAAATGGAAACTTTGCACAAACATTAATGACAACTAGACAAAGCTACAAAAAAATTATGACGATTTTTCAAATTCATAAAAAAAATGGCGGCCATTTAAAATTTTTATAAAATCAACGGTTTTTGAGCTATTTAAGAAACAACATTTTAAATGGTCGCCATTTTGTTTTATGAATTTGAAAAATCTTCATAATTTTTTTGTAGCTTTGTCTAGTTGTCATTAATGTTTGTGCAAAGTTTCCATTTCGTATGTTTAACCATTCTTTAGAAAAAAATAAATAACTGGAAAAAAAACAAAATGGCGGCTGTGTGAGTAACTAAGGACCGGACAATTTAAATATGATATTTAGGTATGTTTCTTACCCAGGAGCAATGCCCTAAAATATTGGTAGAGAGTTCCGGGACACCCTGTATATCTACCACTACTGAAAAGCACTTAAACATTAGCGGTGTAAATTTAAACTTAAACTAGAAACAAAGTTTACTGAACAACTTCCAGTTCACTACTCTTGGAAGAGAGTAGGTGAGCAGGTGAACAAGTTAACACTTTGTATTTGGATTTTAGATGTGTAATGTACCTGTGGCCAGGCTGAGGCAGGATGCTGTATCTGTCTGTCATGGTCTGAAGCAGAGTCAGAAAGGCTTCTGCAGCCTCAGTGATCCTCAACTCCTCATGGCCTGTTACTTCATTCCATGCGTTTTCCGAGCTCAGAATGTGATCCATCTTGTCTCTGGCATCTAAATTTTATGGAAAAAAACCCAAGACATCACATGGTTTGTGTCAGTTAATTTTTAATCATCACTACTGAGTAGGAGGAAGATTAGTTTCTTTAAATTCATAAAAACACCACTTGCTAATAACAAACAGGTATTTAAGCCAACTATCACGGCATTTTTTAAAACTTTATAGGTCTAGGGTTAAAACCTTGATATGGCTACCAGTACTTAATGAAACCGCTGATCTTAAGTCAGTAACAAAGCTACACAGGTCATCACACACCATTCTACACTCATCCTTCACTTATATTTGGGTTAAAATACGCACCTAGGTGGCGTCCCCATCTCAACGATTGATAATTGATTGATTGAATTGAATTGAGTAGGAAAACAGTATTGTTTCTAGTTATTGTCATTAGATTAATTATTAAATAATTGTACTGAACTTAAGAAAGGTTGTTTATTTCTAATTTAACAAAAACTCAATCAAAATATAAAAACAATAACACAAAACATATGTAGAACAATTACCATATGTTATAAACATATTAACTACTACTGTCATCCCTCCTTCACAAGTAAAATTTATTTGGTGTTCTTCTAATCCTTTCCCCTCGTCTTACAACAGGAGCTGAGTCATTGTTATGTTCTTCTGACCTGGACGATTGACCTTTATTCACATCATGGGAGATTCTGAATGACTTGTCTCTTCTTAGGAACCATGAGTTTCTTCGGTATTCTCGTCCATCACCAGTCTGGATTTTGTACGATCGTGGTTCGGGACCAACTTGAACAATCTTTACTCTCAGCCAACACTTTGGTTTGAATCTGAAAAGCACTGGTTCATCGAGTTTAAACTGATCAGGCTCTATCTTCCTCATATCACCGTATAGCTTCTCTCGCCTTTTAATTTTTTCTAGCTGTTTTGAAACATTCTTTATGACGATCGGAATAAGGTGGTTGGTCGTAGATGGAAGAAGAGTCTTTGTCCTCCTACTCATCAGCCGCTGAACTGGGGAACCTAGGTTACCTCTTGGCGTGTTACGGTGATGAAGAAGTGCAAGATAAATATTGGACTGTTCTTCTTGACACTTGACAATTAAGTTTTTTCTTTCTTGGACATACCTCTCCGCCAGCCCATTGGATCTTGGAAAATGAGGAGATGAAATTCTATGATTAAATTTCCATTCGGATACGAATTTAGTGAATTCTAAAGAAGCAAAACATGGTCCTCCATCAGTTCTTAGTTCATCTGGAATACCATGAGTTGCAAAGTACTTTTTAGGTGTGTAATAACAGTAATGCTACTTTTGTTCCTTAGACTTTCACACTCAAAATATCCTGAGTAACTATCAGCAACTACTAAGAAGTCTTTACCTCCACATTCAAAAACGTCAGCACCGATGAACTGCCATGGCCTCACTGGTACTGTTTCTTGAAGGATCACATCTTGAGGTTTATCTCGTTGATATTTGCTGCATACATTGCACCTTGCTACATATTGTTCAATATCTCTTTCCATATTAATCCAATATACATAGTCACGTGCTGTATTAATTGAACTTTGAACACATTTGTGAGGACGGTGAATATTCTGTAACACTTCAAGTTTCATTTCATCAGGTATAATCAAACGGCTTCCTTTAAACAAAATACCATCATAGCAACTTAGTTCTTCTCTGAAAGTGAAATATTTTACCAATTCCTTGTCAACAGTGCTTCTTTCTTCGGGCCATCCATTCAAGATTATTTCCTTCAATTTAGAAAGCTCTGTGCATTTTCCAACACTAGTTCTGATTCGAGAAACTGTATCAGAAGACATAGGAATTATCAACTGAATATCAAAGCTGTGAGGTTCATCATCTTGATTGTCATTGTAGTAATCTCTACTCAAGGTGTCAGCCAGATGAAGCTCACAACCCCGCTTGTACACAACTCTTGGTCGATATGGTAAGATTTCCAAACACATTCTTTGGATTCTGGGAGGAGCATCAGACAACGGTTTCTTAAAGATAGCCTCTAAAGGCTTATGATCTGACTCAATTATCAACTCCTTGCACCCCCATACATACTCATGAAACCTTTTGCAAGCAGTCAGTATTGCGAATGTCTCTTTTTCAAGTTGACTGTAGTTCTGTTGTGATTGAGTCAATGCTTTGGAATTATTATAAGCTACGGGCTGCCCAGATTGTAACATAACAGCACCTACTGCATAACTGCTTGAATCCACAGAGAGAGTCACAGGAGAGTTGGGGTCATAGTAACGAAGCACGGGAGTTCTTTGCAGTTTTTGCTTTAACTTGTTAAATGCTTCTCGTTGTGGCGTATCCCAGAACCAGGCCACATTTTTCTCAGTGAGAACTCTAAGAGGTTGAGTATCAACCGAAACATCTGGTATAAACTTTGACAAGTATGTTATACAACCTAAAAATCTCTGAAGCTCAGACAAACATGTGGGTTCCTTCATTCTTGAAATGGCTGTTACTTTGTCAGGATCAGCTTGTAACCCTTGGTCTGAAACTATGTGACCAAGAAATTTCACCAACGGTTTGGCAAATATACACTTTTCTTTGTTAAGTGTAAGTCCTGATTCACTCAGCTTTGTCATTACTTCATTCGTGATCTTTTGCAAGTCTCTTTCATTGTTACTGTGAATGAGTATATCATCCATTGAACACTCTACATTCTTAATTCCTTTGAGCAAGTCTGACATAATATACTGGAACACTTCAGGGGCCGATACCAAACCAAAGGGCATGCGTAAACAAGAGTAGCGCCCCCAAGGTGTTGAAAAAGTTAGTAGTTTTGATGTTCTCTTCGTAACTTTTATCTGCCAGAATCCTTTTTTACAGTCAAGGATGGTGAATAAAGTAGAACCATTCAATCTAGCTGAGATGTCCTCTAATGTAGCCAATGGGTAATGTCTACGCTTTACATTTTTGTTGAGATCAGTTGGGTCAATGCATAGACGTATTTTGTCTATTTGTTGGACTATGACCATAGGAGACACACAAGGAGTAGGCTCACTTACCGGAGTAATAATCTTGTCTTTTACCATTTGGTCTAGTTCTGCTTTCACTGCGTCACGTATTGGATGGGGTATTCGCCTGGGTGGGTGTATTTTGAAACTGGGATTTTCCACAAGATCAATATCATACTCAAAAGACTTTAAACACCCTATTCCATAATATAATCCACTTATAGACTGATCAATTATACCAGCAATCCGTTTTACGAACCCTAGGGTTTCACATGATACTCTTCCTAATATTGATTGATGCCCATTTGGAACTATTACAAACAAGACAGTGTCTTTATGAGACTTTTTGGTTACAACTGGACAAATGGCTTCACCCAAAACTGGCGTTTTTTGGTTGTTAAAAGAAACAAGGCATTTAGTTGCAGAAGATACAATGTTCAGATTACAAGCTAGTGCCAAATTATGGGAAATAACATTGCACTGAGCCCCAGTATCTAATTTAAACTGCACAGTTTTGTTATTTGGCAATTCTAATAATTCTGTCCAATCTTGATTCTTGACTGGGTTAGAGATGCAATCAACATGCAACGGATAATCAGAATCTTCATTCTCTACAACCTCTAAAACATCAGTATTTTTACTCTTACTAGGGAGATTCTTTCGAGTTTTACACATCTTAGCAAAATGACCTTTAGTCAAGCATTGATTGCAAGTTCGATTAAAAGCTGGACATTGGCCTCTAGAGTGTTGTAAACCACAACGTTTACAGTCAAAGACAGAATTTTGTAACTTAGGCCTAGAAAAGGAATCATCCCTTTTAACGACATTAAAATTTGTAGGGCTGTCAGAGGATATTTCTGCTAGTTGTTTCTTAGCTTGTTCATGTGCCCTACACTTACTAATTGCATCATCTAGGGTAAGCTTATCAGTAGAAAGTAGCTTTTCCCTTAAGCTAGAATCTGATATGCCAATAACTATTCTATCTCTTCAAACTGTTTTTTAGTTGCTCAAAATTACAAGAATTAGCTTGGTTAACCAATTTTGTAAAAAAATCTTCAAAACTTTGATGGGTTTCTTGTGTAATTTTGTTGAACAAAAATCTCTCAAATACTTCATTAGATTTACCAACAAAAAACTTATCAAATCGTTGAACAACTTCATCTAATTCAATATCTTCATCATCCATGAAACCAAAACTGATATATATATCTATAACATCTGGGCCTAAACTAGACATAAATGATGCTACCTGTACTGCATTGGATTTCCTATCAAGGCCAGAAGCTGTGTAGTACCAGTTCCACTGTTGCTTCCATTTCTTCCAAGAAGGAGCCATCTGAGTACTTGAAACCACAAGACATTTTGGTGGTTTTACATTATTATCTTTGTCTTCTGTATGGTTTGTATGGATATCATCATCCTCCTTAAAGTCATACCTCTTATTTCTATTCCGTGTGGGTTTCGGCACCATGTCATTAGACTAATTATTAAATAATTGTACTGAACTTAAGAAAGGTTGTTTATTTCTAATTTAACAAAAACTCAATCAAAATATAAAAACAATAACACAAAACATATGTAGAACAATTACCATATGTTATAAACATATTAACTACTACTGTCAGTTATCATAAATTTTATAATGTGTACCCAGTGCCGGATTAGGTACTTGCGGCCCTAGGCCAAATAACTTGAGCGGCCCCCACCCCTGTGGTGGAAATTCCCTGCGATAGCAGTGAAATCTCCTGCGGGTCACAATCACAGAGAAATCATCATTGTCCCCTGGATTCGCAGAACCATCTTGAACACCTACCGGAATTGTGGAGACGTCATTACCGTCACTTGTGACAAGGTGAAAACGCTGACAGGTGTTACTAATCCAGTCCTGAGAAAATGCTGAATTACATGTAATCCCGTGACAAAGATTACAAATATATTTTCCCTAAAATTTCCTGAAATTTGGGGGGCTGTCCAACCCTAGTTAAAATTAAGTAATCTCTTTACCTAAGTTCAAAAAGTTGAGTTTATTAAATTATTTAGCTAAAATTACTTATTTAAGGCAATTAGAGAGTCATAGTACATTTCCTCTCCATGTGTATCCACTTGACGAACACATGAGCCTGTGTCAAGACAGTGATGGCCGAGGGGAGAGTTTCTGGGTAACAGTAGCACTCCCGCAGCTGCTTGTCAAACCCCAGTGTCTCGTCTACCATGTGGGAGAACCAGACATCATTGGTCATCAACACTGGCATATCTCCATGTAGCTTATCCACCACTAGCTGTACTAGGCCTTGCATCAGTTCTACCTGTCAAACCCAACCACAATAATGTAGGTAAAACTTGAAATAGAACCTGTACAGCTATTGCTGATAAATATCGAACATTGTTGAAAAATACTGTCCCTGTAGTTATTACAAGGGATGTTTTAGATTTTTGTCATATGTGCTTAATTAAATATTTCTCAATGTATATAAACAAGCTAATTTTGCTCAAAGAATAAAACCTAACAAATCAAGAAAACTCCTATGTTTGAGGGTTAATTATTGCATTTTATATTCAGTTTATCACCACAATCATTATATCTAATTTTAATTAGATTTGACTTGAATACCTTTGCTGACATCTTGGTCCGTTGAGTTTGGTTGTAGACTGGCTGCACCCAACTCATTACAAAACTCTCATGATCTCTGATCCAGTTCACAACCTAGGGGATTGATAATGCATTACAGTTATAGTACTAACTTGTTAAACACTTTCCTGGTTTTTAATTAAATTTGAGTAGTACAATGTACACTGTACAGCCAATGATAACGCTTGGAGAAATTATGACTAAGTTCTTGTGCTTGAACTACCATTGAATTGCACATGCCCGGGGTATGTATGTAAAATTTAAGTTAACAGTTTGATGTAAATGATGTGTAAACATACAATTATTTTATGAGATCTTTTTATCTCACTCTACATCTTGCTGAGGCAAAACTCTGTTTCCAGTGATAGTTCATTTAATATTACAATTATTAAACTTTTAATAGTTTACAATGTGTTATATGGTAATAGGTAAGTAGAACCAATCACTTGGTTTATTTTCATCGCTCTGAATTTTGAGCGTTACAATTTTTTCTATCTCACCTGAGTCATGTACCATTCAGTTTTTTCAGGCTTGTTCGTCTCCTTGTTCCCACAGAAGTGGTAGATGAACCGTTTGCGCAGTGGTCTGATGAGCAGATTGATAGGCAGGGAGATGGGAGGGAAGTTGGACAAGAGAGATGAAGTGACAGTGGGAGAAGGACTCAGCTCTGGACTGTCAGATATTGTCAAGAAGAATAACTTGGGACTAGCATATAAACTAACTCTTAATATGTGATACAGTAGAGTCTCGTCCATCCAACTTGAACCGGTTTGGGAAAGATCAAATAAACTAAAGTTTCTCTATTGCCAAAATCCATTTCAAGTTTTTAAATTTCCTTTTTATTGAACCCACTAACTTGCACACTACTGTAGCTGTAAAACATAAGATAAAACAATACTTGTTCACTCAACCGCACTGTGACTGAGACGTGAGGGGTAGCAGAGAGGTATGCAGGTGTATGGTAAACAATTACAGTCAAGTGTAGTTGCCTAAAGCCTGCCATTTATTTTTACAGTACAGAGAGGAACACCAACAGAGACTGTCTCTACAATCCTGCAATGGTGAAAGGTCATAACACACAGCTATAGCACAGAATTTCCCTTCCCTAAGATAATTAAGGATTATAATTATAAATTTTGGCCTATCAATTCAGGCTAAAATTTATTATTTCTACCTCTACTCTTCTTGTCTCTAGGCTATATCAATGTGTCATTAAATTATTTTCATACAAAAGAAAATTCATAAGTTTACAAGTCATCCTGTGACTTGTTGAACACACTGTACATGAAATTAGGAATCCATAAAACTCAAAATACAGTAATCGAAATTCAAATTCTTAGATATTGATATTGATTAGTAATAATTCAGATTCAAACATAAAGGTGTTTGATGGGAAAACTAAGTTTACCAGTTCCTTCACAGAGATGTGAAGCTTTTAGATTCTGTTGAACAAGTTAGTTAGAATTTAATGAAAAGCGATAGAAGTTTACAAGGATACGGAAGTTGAATGTTCAATAAATGTTTGACGATGATTTGAAACTTGGCCATGATATCCAAGGGTGGAGTAATCAATATGTTGCTGCTCACTATCGGCCAACCAGCACTCTTGAGTACCTCGTCCAATTGCCTGCAACAGAATAGTGACGTCCCTTACCCAACAAGCAATAGGGATTCTTCTTTAGGCACAATACATAAAAAATCTCATATCTTTACGTGTTTTTCAGAAGCTGCCAACTTTAGCATATTACTGATATTAGGACCAATAATTGTTGAAACACAAAAAACTGTTACTTAACACAAAATAGATTAGTTTACAAATACAAAAGGAATATTAGGTAGGGAGATATTTTGATAAGTGTTGTTAGGACTTACTCTGAAAACATGTCTTTCAACAGATTGTGCCAATGATGCACTGTATCACTAAGAAATGTGATCAAGTGATGACAAGAGGAGGTGTGAAGCCTACCACACATCTGGCTCAGCAGTCTGAACTCCGTCACTGCTTCAGACTCACTACGTGACGCCAGAAACATTTCTATGTTGGTGCTGAAAAATGTTATTTTTGTAATTTGTAATTTGTTTTAACATTCTCATATTTGCAACAGTTGTTAATTTTGCAGTAGTAATTAACAAAAAAAAGGAGTAAAAGTCTTCTAAGCAGTTGTAATATTTTACTTAATATTAATAACCATTTGGTATAATTTACTTTTCTTTATTTAATCTGTTAACTGCTAAAGAACATAAAATGTATTTGCCAAGGGTGTTTTGAATGTTCCTTAGATTTACTGTACAAAATAAAATTATAAATCTGCATACAGTACTCTAATAAAGCTCTCTTCCAACTTGTACTGACAATTTGATGTTAGAAATTATTGAAGTTACGGCATTTCAACCTCTAGATTGGTTACTAAGGGTTATTTTCCATTAGCACTCCTATTACTGTATAATTATAGGACAAATAACCAACTAATAACTTTTCATACCATAATTAATCCAGGCAATTAATTTGTTTTCAGCAGCCTTCTAACAAACCATTATTGATTTAAAGGTCTATAAAGTAAACTTAATCAACTAAATAACTTTTACCTGTGATCTTGGATGGTTCTTACGCATCTTAAGTATGACAAACCCTGTTCCAGCTCTTGAATTCTGATAATATTTTCTTGCTGGCCAATAAGACTTTCACAGTTGCAGCTGTCTTTCTCCTTTACAACTTTACATAGTTCACTGAATTGTTTTGTTATTTCATCAACGGTGACTGAAGTATCATTAAATTCATTTATAGTTTCAGGAGAAGTCAGATCAGCACTTGCTTTTATTATCTGTAAAAATATACAGAGAAAAGTTCAGGTAGGCCTGGTCATGAAAGCTATAAAATTAGAAATTATAATGTTCGGTAGGCCTAAAAGTTTATGGCTTCTATTGTACTGTAGTCCTTATAATGTTGTAGCACTGGGTCGCTGAAGCTACAAAGTAATAGGGTACACTACACACAACACAGCAGGGGCAATACACATGGAATTTACTCCCGGGATCTTGTCCAGAAATCAGTAAGTATAGCCTACTGAATATACACAGAACACACTGGTCTATACCTACATTAAACCTTTGGTTTGTATTTAGCCTATATTCTCTTTCATCTTATGAAAAAAAAAATTCCTATAAAATAAGCTTTTAGTGGACAAAAATAGCAAAAGGCATGATTTCAGGTGCAACTAACGATGAATCAACTCATCATGACAACTTCCATCCAAGCTATCCACCATTTACTATCACATTTATCGGAGCAAGCTCAACCACAGCACAGAAAACATACTACTATAACCCAGAATGCTTTTTACCATGCGGTTGGCATTCTGGGTTATAGTAGTATGTTTTCTGTGACCATAGGCATGTGGACCTTTCATGAGTTAATTACAGTACCTACCAGAGCTCAACGAGACAGTAATCAAACTCTTGAGCAATTATGCTGTCTCCTAACCCTCGTTCACAAACAATCATGCAGGTTCACAAACTCTCTTGAATAATCATAATTTTTTTTATCATAATCATCATAATCGTATAATTTTTGCTTGAGTTATCGCTCTAATGGGCACACACATAGGCCTAATATATGAATATGGACAGAGGGTGTTTTTAGCCTCTGGGGATCTCAAAATGAAAATGTCAATTGGTCCCGGGTCCAGGTCTTACCATGAGACCTACGGTAATACATGTAGCTTATTCCCAAAATGGAAAATTCATTAAAAAAAACTGTTAATGAAATTCCAAAGAATAAACTTAGTAGCCTACCTCACACAAAACCTGTAGGCCTATCACAATCTAAATTAGTTAGGCCTAGTTCATTAATGAGCACACTGTTTACCATAACAAACAGGCCCCGTAAGCTTATCACGCCATAGACCATAAGAAATATGGCAAAAAATGCTAGGCCTATGACAAATCTCCGGTCTCTGGAACTACCAAGGTAAAAAGTTAAGATCTGTTGGTTAGTTCAGGCAGGACCTTAAGGTTGAATGTTATCAAGCCCACAGAAGGCAGATTTAGGTCTAGGCCTATGAGAAATAAGCTTTGTTTGACGAGCTAGGACCATGAGTCCACCCCTCTTACAATAGCCTAGGCTATAATACAATACCTGTACAATATGTCTAGGCCTAACTTACATCAAACTGTTTGCAACACCACACATATTAAAATATGTTAAAAAGGTAGCGTAGTACTGTATTTCTTGGAATCTGAATAAATTGGGAAATATTTACCTCTCTTTCAATTTTCTCTTTTTCTTCTGCTAACTTCTTGCAAAGATCCTTGCACTTAGATAAATTTGTAATATCATTTCCAAATTCTTTATTAAGTTTTTCTATTACTAGTTTTTTTACACTGTTCTCTATCATAGCAATTAAAGTTAGCCTTATTAAAAATTATTAACACTTATTTGTCTTATATTTATATAACTGAACTTATTGAATGTCTACACAATAAACATAGGCTAATGAAGGATTATTGAACAAAATTATGGATTAGTTATAGGTTATGTTTATATTTTGAGAGGTGGCAACAGAGCAGACAGCAAGCAACAAAGCCCCCGCAACTTTTTTTCCATAGAAATTAATTTGTTGGCAAGTGCAGACTAAAATAATACTGTTATCCTTTTGTAATACAGTACCATTGATTATAAACCTCTAATGTTTTTCTCATACATTGGAGATGTATAAGCATTATGGTATAAGTTAATAAATATCAATCGTGCAACACAAGCTACTAAAATGTATTTAAGTTACCTGTATAAGATGAAATATACTACTTAAATCCCTGACTTAGAATGCATTAAAAAAATGCATAGAACTGAATAACCAAAACAATCTCAGAGTAGACTAGAACCACTACAATAAAACCCGTAGGCTGCTACAGATTTGATAATCAAATCTCATTATTTACAAAATAATCTCCGATGCAGACACCCCTACAAACCATGAAACTTTTGTCTATGATGAAACTAAGCGAATAAAAAAACAATGTAATACTGTATAGTTTTTTGCTTACGGGGACCTTGTATCGAGAACGGTAAAGTAGGTACAAAGTAGCACAGAAAACATACTAGTAGTATGTTTTCTGTGAAAGTAGGTTCATCCCAAACCTATGTCTTAGGCTGTGTCTGACGAGGTCGATAGATATTTACATTTTGTACTGTGTCAATGCTTATTGAGACATTTCTTTTCTCAATGACGTCGTCAACATAATAAAATTCATGCCACTTCTTTATTTCCACACAAAGCAAAGCGTACATAAAAATACTGTGTTTTGTCAACTCAACACGGCCACCTTTAACCCGGGCGGGGGGCCGTGGGCGTGGTTGTGAGTGAAACCGCGGCCGTGGTGGGTGAAACGTGGTGAAACACTCTGTTTCCGTTGCCATAGCAACCAATGTGGCATCAGCCAGCTGCTCGTGCTCATTCTGTCATTCACTCTATTCATTCTACTGAGTGACTACTGAGTGAGTGAGGGTATTTACTCAGGGGAGGTATAGAAGAGGCTACGATGACAGCTGTGGGCTTCTTATTAGCTTAGGGAACGCCATTACCGTAACAAAACGACCGATAGTTATCGGCCTCGGTGGTCTAATGGTTAGCGTGCCGGGCTGATATACTGTAGGTCCCGGGTTCGAATCCTGCTGGTAGCATTAACTTTTTGTCCAAGATTTTTTTATTATCAGCAAGTTTGGTTGGTTTGGTTCGGTTATTACAGTTTAATTTTATTATTAAGTCATTATAAAATTTTAATTGAGCAAATTCTAGTTTTATTTAATAAACAGAATTATTTTTCCGATTTCTAAACTTTTGTTATATTATTTCTTTATCAGCAAGTTTGGTTAGTTCGGTTAGGTTATGATAGTTTAATTTTATAATTAAAAAATAATAAAATTGAATTTGAGACATTTATAATTTTATTTTATGAACAGAACTATTTTTGCGATTAGTAAACCTTCATTGCCAAAGTGCTCTCTACTACAGCGCTGTTCACGGAGGAATTTTGAACTAAATGCCTCATTCGTACCTCCCCTAAGTCAGACCCGTGAGTGAGTGAGTTGTTAGATGTTACAAGGCAACAATGTCAATAACAAACAAACAAAACAAGGCAAGCAGAAGCAAGACGAAAAATGGATAGTTAGTTTACAAATTAGTAAAGGAGTCATCCAAATACTCTTATTCTTTAGATTGTAAAGTAATTTTTACTGTTAGTTTATCTACTTTCCCTACCAATCATTTGAAGAAAACCCACAATGGTAAGAACAATGAATTTTTAAACATAATTTGGTTTAGGTTAATTAGAAACATAATTTAGTTCCATAGTTTTCTTTTCTTTTTTTTAAGTTAGGCTTATTTAAGTTATTATATCGTAAGACTATTTATTTGACAAGGCTCATTCAACATTGTCAATTATTAAGCTCTTGAATCATTATAACTTAGTACTGTAGGCTACAGTAACTTAGTACGGTACCTAATATTTTTTTTGGAAATGTTAAAAAAATTAGGCTAAGGAAATGTTTAAAGCCAACCTTCCAACGATTCTTGGTCTCAAAGTTGTTCACCGCAATATCCAGGGTCTCCAATAAGCTCGATAGTTTTCAAATGTTTCTTGGTTCGGAAATCCCAGATATAATTTGTTTGTCAGATCCACCATTTGAGGGATTTTGAGTTTGAGGTTATGGCATTGTATGGGTTTGAAGGAGTCACGGCCTACTGTTGATCATCTTTTCAAAAGGGAGGCGTGTATGTATCTTTTCAAAACCTTTTTTAAACTGTGAAGTAGATGTCTCAGGCTTTTGTGTAGCTGAGTAGGTGTGTGATTGCTGCAGTAAAGTTGGACTTCAATAAAGAACCATTTCAAATCATTGCCGTGTATAAGCAATGAAAATTTTCCTCTTCATTGATAGAGTATGAAACGTTCAACAGTTGTTTATTAATTGTCTGGTCAAACCTCAAAAACCGAATGTCAGAACATGGTTGTTGGTGATTTCAATGTAGATCTATCTGTTTCAGATGTTAAAGTTGACAGGCTAGTAAACATGATGGCATCTCATGGCATGAGGAATAGAGTTTTCGTGTCATTCACTAGAGATTTTAAACACTAAAGAACTCTCATAGATCATGTGTATTCCGACCTTCCAGATGATCGTTTAAGTTGTTCTGTTTTGGTTACTGCCCTATCGGATCACCATGCACAAGTAGTGGTTTTCAAGTCGCGAAATAGAAGATGACCATCCTAAGCACACTATGAAACGTTCCTTTTGGGACGATAACATCCGTATTTTCAAATACTTCTTTAGTAAGGAGACCTGGCTTGATGTTTTTGAAGGATGTACCGTTGATGCTAAGATGGACCTATTCTTATCCTCGATTTGGTTTCTCATTAAAAAATGCTTTCCAGAAAAAAAACCAAAATTCACAAGATGAATGTCTCACGGTGTAAAGTTCCTTTAACCCATTGGCGCCGACTTACGAGCGTTACGCGTATGGCCGCTGCAGGCCCGGCGGCCGACTTACGAGTGCCGCTCGTGTCACCGCTAGGCAGCGCCATTAGTTATTTAGTTATTATTATTTTTCGCCATTTTTGTTTCTTCTTACTATTATAATGTTTATAAATATCTTGCTTCTTGATTTGCGTATTTACTCATTTATTTTAGCGAATAACAAACAATTTTGTGTTGCCATGGAAACCTCATATCACCAAAAATCAGCTGCAGTAGGTAAACAAACAATTTAAAAAAAATGTTATTACTTAAAAGTACACAACTTTTAATTTTTCTACATAGGGAATCGATTGAACTTTATAATAGTAGTGTTATTTGGTGTCTGGATTAATCTTGGAATTTGTATATCAAGTTTACTTTCAAAATATTGTTTTTACAATTTTTATTTGTATAATCTTTATATAGCCTATATATTTTTTTTAGTTTGGAACTTTGACTATCCAATTACCACTTTTCTGTAGACAATTTTACTGTGAACAAAATGGTGAAAGAATTATTAATTTATTACCTAAGGTTTTCTTTCTATAGCAGTTAGAGTAAAAGTCTACAAATTCGGTAAAATTAATTGCCGCCAGAGGGTGCTGCAGGTAGCGCATTAATTCCTTCCCCAATGGGTTAAGTCAAGATCTAAAAAAAATTCAAGATACTGTCGTCCAATGGTAATGCTTAACAAAGGACATGGAGACTTCTCATGCCATGAGACTGTAAATAAAAACCAACCTTTTTTGGTTGTCTAAAAAATATTATTTGACAGAGGTTTTGAGTAAACTTTTATAAGCTAAGCTAATTTAAAACACATTTAGAACATAGTTTGATTGTCAAATTCACTTGTGAAGCTACAGTCTTGTGGTATGCTGACCTTGCTAGTGGCGGTTCTAGGACCTTGTCAAAGGGGGGGGGGGTGAGGGGGGAAACCTCTTAGCAGGGGGGGACCTCTTAGCAGGGGGGTCCGACGGTCCTCCCCGGGCCAGAAAATTCTGTACAGTATTTTGAAGCAGTTTGGTGACTTTCTAAAATCATTTTCAACGTATGTGTGCAAAAAGCTCAGTTAAGTTTTTAGGACAAAATGTATGATTAAATTTATTTTTCCCGGGTCCAATGGGGGAGCTTTAGCCCCTGTTGCCCTCCCCCCCCCCTTGGAACCGCCAGTGGTCCTTGCATTATTTAATGTGACAGGATTATAAATATTTTTAAATCCAAAGAATTAAAAATTAAATGGATAAAACTGATACCTTTTACTGAGGTACTTACATTTTTTTCTATTACCGTATTGCTCTTTTTACTTATTATTCTGTTGTTTTCTTACTATCGTTGTTAGAGTAGATTAGGCCAACAATACACAAGTTCACCAACATGACTACTAGGCTTAGGTTATTTGCCTTTTTTTTTAATTGACACAAAATAACAAAACAAATATTGTTTCAGCCTCCAAAAAAGAAGGCAAGTAAAAGTGGTAAAGGAGGAAAAGGAAGCGGAGGAATTATCGATGGTGTGTCTATGACTGAGATGTCACGGGAGCAACTCGAAGCTTTCGCATTTAGAATAAGAGACGAACTGGAGAGGGAGAGGGAAGAGAGGAATTTCTTCCAACTGGAAAGAGATAAACTATACACATTTTGGGAGATAACGAGACAGCAGTTAGAGGAAAACAAAGCGGAGTTGAGGTGAGTGAAATAAACAGCCAACTAAAAATAAATCGTAACTAACTGTAGGTGGCAAAATAGGATAAATGGATACCATATTCTCACAGAATAGTATTTGAAAGTGTGTTATGTTTTATCAGTAGTTGTTATTAATTATCAATTATTGAGATGGGGATGACACCTAGGTGGGTATTTTAATCCAAATATGAGTGAAGGATGAGTGTAGAATGGAGTGAGATGATCTTTTGTAGCTTTGTTACTGACTATTAGAATCAGCTGTTTCATTAGCCAGGATCATTTATTTAAAGCCCAATGATCAGGAACAGCTGGGTCCAGTTTTGAACCATCAATGTAAAATATTTAAGGCCTACCGCACACGAGAGACTTTTTCTTGGCCGACTGTCAGAATCAGAACCAGAACTTTGTGGGAATTCTACTATTTTTCCCGAGTCCCTGGGGTCAAGACCTTTAATTTAAGACCCCTCCCACTTTTCTGCGACTTACCAGATGTCCACAATTTTCTGGTAAAAATTTGGTCTTACAGAATTATATATATAGATTATCCCCCAGCAGTGGCACCTTGTCTTCAGAAGCCCTCACATGCACAATAGTGTGCAATATATATGAGCTGCAAACGGTTAGAATTTTTAATTTAGGAAACAATTTTTTGGCAGATTCTTCATCATCCAGATTTAACATGATTCTTGTCTGGCTGGAGTTGAGCGGACAATAGAAAAGTCGTTAAGACTGTTTGGTCCAGAGGTGCCCATCCCCCCTAAACCCAGAGGCGCAATCCCCCCCCAAGCCAAAGGAGTAGTTCCCCCCAATTTATGCTGCCGTCTATCCAAACCCTACCCTCCCTCCGCCAATTTATCTGACAATTTCCCCTTTACCTCATAAAACTTGCATTTCAAGTATTTAGTAAACTTGAGGTAAAGAAAAGCAAACTTTGCTGATAATCAAAATGATCAATCGTCAGTCATATTTAGGTTAAAATACGCTCATAGGTGGCGTCCCCATCTCAAATGAATAATTAATATGGAAGATTGTATCCCCTTCATTTCCATGTCAATTTTTGTTTCATGTATCAAACAATAAGCTGAGTAATAATACTTTAGAAGCTTTTTAGAACTGCTATACAAATTGTTTGGTCATATAAATTTACTGTTATTAACTGTTAGCCTACGGTGATTTATTGATTCAATTTAAATTTATTAATTTTTATAATTATATATTTTCAAAAAACTGCATCTGATAGCTGTTTCTGTTTGAGCCATTTTAAAGACAATTGTGTAGCAAATAATCAAAACATAATAATGTATGGGATGAATTTTATGGTCCATACGATTTTAAAATTATTACAATACTAACCGATACCACCAAGAACAAATAAATTATTAATTTGTAGTGTTGAGATGAACTACCCTACAAGTGGGAAGATAGTGTGAAGGGGGTGCCGGGCTCTAGGTGAAAGTCAGCTCACCAGCCAAGAACGATGGCAATGTCGCATCCCCTACCTCTTCAAAGGCCAGTCCTATTCTGTAATCTATTCGACTGTAATTGTTCTGTGCTAAATCAAACCACACATGTACAAAATAATAAATAACAAAATGTATTTTCTACTTACACACTCATCTCTAATTTTCCCCAAACTCTGAATTTACAAAAGATTGTCTGTAATACGTTAAATTTGATTGAAACCAGTATAGTTATCAAAATTCTTGTAACATTAATAAAATGTATTATTTGTTATAGTAACAAGGATAGAGCTATTGAGGAAGCTGCTGAAAGGCATGACATGGAAATAAAAATTTACAAACAAAAAGTGAAACATTTGATGTATGATCACCACAGCCATCTGGCTGAGCTCAAGGTATTACATTATTAATCTTAATCTTGCTATCATAACCCTACTCAATATAGCATTATAAAACAAACTAAACAATATCCAAACATCTTCATAAGGCTAACTTATATGTACAGTACAATTAACAGCATCAATACATTCAAATAAATACTTTTTCGCTACACTACTGTGAAATGACATGTTTTTGTTGCATGTTTATCACCTGCAAAAATCTATCATTACACGAGTAAAGTAAAGTAAAGCTGTGTACCCGTTCTACGGACAGGATCATGGAGTCCAGTTGAAACCTTCTTCATCAGAACAGCGTTTGATTTGCATATTTAGTGGGCATTTTTCAGATATACAGGCAAAACTCTGTATACAGCACTGTTTCAGAGTCTGTTTCCCGGTTTTAACAACTCAAGTACAATTTGATACACACACAGAATCTCCAATTAGCGACCTGAATGATGCCTGGAAATTTCATTTCATTTACAGTTGCAAATTACATTATTGGACTTGCGATTAATAACATCTGTTATGTAAGGCACAACGTTTTTAATCTCAATTGGTTTTGGATTTTATTACAAAACGTAATCAGAAATGGTTGCAGTATTTGTAAACAACATTTAATGTAAACATATCAGTGACAGATAGAAAAAAATAATAATTCATCCAAACAGATGTTCGTTACTTCATAGATGTTGTTTTCTCCAAATCCTGTAGATAAGTATTTCATAAATGACGTATATGGTAAACATTAAGAGAAAACTTAATTGGGTTAATTCGCACAAAATTGGGTTTTTGAACGTCTGTTATTTTATTTCAAAAGTAGTGAGGCCATATTTTAATTTATTGGCTAAAGGCACTCTCGCCAATCCTGTGAATAAAAAAAAAACTATTTGAATCACAATCGATGCTCTCGTTTTTCAGGAGAAGTCCTCGTAAAAGGTGGTAGACAGACAGACAGAAATTGAGATAATACTTGTTTCAGCTTCTTTAATGTATAAAACGTAAAAATAACCAAAATACCCCCGCCGCAGCAAACCTGCAGACTAAGCGAATTTCCATTTCCCTGAATGGATTTAGACTAAAATGTCTCCTTAAAAATATCACATTTATTCCCTATTTAAATAGAATCAGTTTAAAACATACTTAGGTATGCTGCAACAGGGAGGGTAAAAGTGTTTTTTATGTAAAATGTTAATAGTTAGTAAGAAATTAAAACATTTTCCAAATTTGGACAAAATATGTTAATAAACAAGCAAACTACAACAGTTTACTTATTCTCCATAAGAATAACATGGGAATTTTAAATTAACAATTTTTTGGAATTTTCTCCGTAACCATTAGGCGCATTATAACGCTTCAATATACTAAATTATTTGTTTTTTTAAGCTCTACAAAATAGTTTAGAAAGAAATTGCAAAATCTTATGTTTTTTGGGTCAAAAATGGGAAAACCCCATTTTTACCCCATAAAAGCCCCCATAAACCCCCGTTCCCATGGTCCGATCATGCTGGTTCGCAAACTCGTTAGAATAAACATAGGTTTACACGTTTGTACCAAATTTCATCAAGATCGGATCATTTTTGCTCGAGTTATCGCGCTAACGGACACATATATATATATATATATAAATATATATATATATATATGAATTTGAACGGATGATGTTTTTGGCCTCTAGGGACCTCAAAACGAAAAAAAAAATCGGTCCAGGGTCCAGGTCTTACCATGAGTACTACGGTAATAGCTTATTCCCTATATGGGAAATTCGCTAAAATATATAGTTCTGAGCAATGTACAGACAAAATTCAAATTTTATTTATTTAGATTGTTTACTACGGCAAAAGAATATTTACTATGCAAAAGTAATGTTTACTATCTTTTTTGGATTTTGCTGATGTAAACAAACAAATATTTGTGGTTGATTTATCAACTGTTTCAATTTTCAACAACTAAAATAAAAACTTCAAATTGGAGGCATTACCTAAAAAATTCTATAAGTTTTGTAATGAAGAAAATAATTATTTTTTGTAGTGTAGTGAAAAGTAACGTTCAAAACACAAGTGAAAATGGGTCTATAGATATTCTCGAGCATTTAAAGTGCACGATAAATCTCGCACTTAAACTTTTTCTCAAATATATGTAATGACTCTTTTTCATACTCTTGTTATGAAATATACTAATACAAATAAGTACATTCAATACTAATACCTATTTAAATAACAAATCATATGCAATGTGGAGGGTAAAACCCCACAAAGTAACTGTAAAATAAAAAATAAACTGTAACATTAACATTTCTTCTCAAAGTTACTTTTTACTTGACAAGGGAGGTGGAAAATTCTTCAATAAATGGTTAGATTTAGTATATTTTATACTCTTTCAATGATTTAGGCCTACTTATCTTTGTTGAGCCTGTTTAATTTGCCATACAATCTTACTAATATTATAAATGTGAAAGTTTGTGTGTTTGTTTGTTTGAAGGTCAATCACGCTTTGGCTACTGGATGGATTGGGCTGAAATTTGGCATGATGATAGCTCATATTCCCGATTAACATATAGGCATATTGTTATCTCAAAAATCCTTTCGGGCTCCGCCCCAGTGGCTCTGTAGTTTCCCATGTTAACCTTATGAGTATTCATATTTAAAGGGAATTAAAGATATTAGTCAGCTGTTTCAACTAAAAAAGTTGGTTCTATGATATGCAAAAGTATTAAAAAGTATAAGATTTAGCAACAGGGTGCAGCACTATTATTTTTTTGCATTTATGAAAACACCTAATTTGAACTAATCAGCAACAAAAAACTGTGATAGGCAATGACAACTGTCAAAGTAGGATTGTTTACATTTATGTTTATGTTTTTAATTGCATGACAAATTTGTAATATTTTGTGAATTATTAATAGTTTATTTTTCTATATATTGTTTAGGTGAAGTGGTAGAACATTATGGCTATAATAGACAGTAAATTTAAAGAACCAAATTTTATCAAACTGTGTCCCTCCCCCATTGCAACGCTAAGTTAAAGTATAACTGAAATAAGCATTTTACACTTATATGCCAACCCCGTACGAAGGACAGGTACTCTGCTAGTTAGGAATATGTTTTTAGAATCAATCACCTGCATAGGTTGTTTTAAAAAATGAAGTCCATGGGATTGTATACTCTTCCTCCTATTTCTAAGATATAAGAGTGAGGCATTGGTTTTGGTTTTGAATGTAATTCCTTTTTTATTGCAATGATAATCAACTCATAGATTCTGACCATATAGACAGTAACAATTTTTAAAAGTCTAGGTTATTTTATTTTTTAGGCAAACAACATGGTCACTCTGAAAATGGCTGAAAACGACTACTCTGAACAAGAAATTGAATTAGAAAAAGATAAAAAAGCTTTGAAAGCTCAACTGGTAGAAATTTGTCTCAGTCATGAAGATGAGATAAAGGCTCTAAGGCTGGTAAGTACATTAAACAAAGCTAATTTTTAATGGCGTATATTACGCTTTTATACATTTAGATATATCAATATAATATTTTTTTATTATTTTAAAGAGATACGGTTGTATCAAATCAATGAATACAATTGTCAGATAGGCTACAACCGATGTTTATTTTTAATGTAATTTTATTTGGAATGGCAAACATTTAGAGTTCCTAGCTATGAACAAGAGGTTCATGGTGAAAGTCCTATAGTTTGCTGATCAATTTCTCTCCAAGCAAGTGATTGTCCCTTGATAGTGTGCTAAAGTTTGTCTGCCCTACCTCAGCACTTTATGTGATGTCAAACAGGTGGTGCAAATCTAGGTACTGAGAATGCTCCCAAAACTGACTACAACTAGTTACTACTCCTTTAGTCCTTACATCCAATACAAGAGTGATCAACGCCATTTTTTATAATAGTGTGAGAAGAGTGAGCTTATTTACTCTCAGTAGATCAGCACACTTTGTACTACCGGTAGTTCAAAACTTGATTGACTTGCATGTACACTTACACCTGCTACACACATTGAACACAAGACACAAAGACATTTTGCCAGGAGATCTTTACAATACCAGTTGAAATGAGTTTGGGTGGTATTTTACAATGGATCTGTGTCCTAGACTTCCAGGCCAGCTTCAGTTGGAACTTGTTCAAGCTAAGAGACCTCAATGTTACCTAGCTGTCAGCTAACCTGTAGATATGTTGTGTCCACCCCTTAAATTTCAAATAACCACACATTTCTATCAACTATTATTACTATTAATAAGTTTTAAAATTTTAATTTTTGGTGTAATAGAAACATAGCACTGAACTGAGTGAACTCCGTGGCAAATTTGCAGCCGAGGCAGAAGTTCTAGAGAATAAAATGGATGCAAGACTTGCGACCTTGCGAAATCAGCTGAATCTCAAACATAAGCTGGAGTTAGCGGAGGCAAGTATCTATGATTTAATTGCAGTTCCCAGATAATAATCATCAACTAATCCAGGTGTTTTTTTTAAGAGATGTCAATTTTTAAGGTTTGTCCTCTAGTAAGTTACAATGATTTGAAACTGATAATTCCAAACTGAGGATGTTGTCGTGTTAAGTGAAAGTAGCTTACAAGTAACATTAAAATAGCAGCTGTATGTATAATTTTTACAGGAGGTTTTATTTAAGATAGGTAATAATTGAAGAATTAGAATAGAATGGAATAGAAATAGAATATAAATCTAACACCCAATAATATATAGAATATAGACATCCATACATCTAAACTTTCACATTTATAATATTAGTAAGATATAATAGAATATAGAATATAATCTATTTGCTATTGACAATCTACGTATTTAGCCTACGTATAATATAATATATAATTAATAAATAATATATAATATATATAATTTACGTATAATAGTCAAGAATTTAACCAGAGATACCCATCCCCCCATTTATGCAACCCCTTACTTTACCCCCTCCCCAAAAATAGTCACCTGCCACCTTCCCACACAAAAACCGAAAAATCAAGGATTTTCCAAAGGAAAAAAATGACATTAAAACCTGGTAACTGGCTAAATACAGAATGTTTCTAAAAAACAAATATATTGAGGACGATGAAACAGTTACAATACATAATTGGATGATAAATAGCCTTGTTCGTTATAGAGAATTCAGAGGGATCTCTTCACCCAACCCAGAACAAAATTAAATAGCCACAAATGGACAAACGCAAGACCAGGTAGCCGTTACGGGAACAAGAAAATAGAACTATTTTTCTCCTGGTGCCTTCTCTGAGAATGCGGTTTTCTGTCTGCCTGCATCATAAAGCCATCATGACAATAATCCATGACCGCGGCAAAGTCTTGTCATTCACCTGGGGTTGCAAAGACATCATCAACCACTCGCATCCCACAATATATCAACGGCCGCAAAGACATCATCACCAACTCCCGTGATGGTTGTAATATTTTGAGAACTCTCAGTGGTCGCAAACACGTCATCACTGCTTTCTGTGATCTCAGCAATCTTTACATATCCCCGCAGTTGCAAAGACGCCATCGCCATTGATCGTGGCAATATCTTAATATTAATATAGTATTTTATCTGGCTGTGAAGACATCATAATCTACTCCCGTTATCTCAGCAACATATTGTCGGTCACAAGCTGTCGCGAATACATGATCATCATCGCCTCCTGAGATCGTGCCATTATCTTGACATCCCTCTGCATTCCCAAAGACATCATCACCACCTTCCGTGATCGTGGCAATATTTTTACATGTCTCTGCAGTCGCAAAACATCATATCATCATCATCTCCTGTGATCTTGGCAATCTTTACATATCTCCACTCTTGCAAAGACATTCATAGCAATTAAAAACTTAGTGGTTCAAATATGCACCGCTGAAGCACTACACAATCCTGTAAAAACTCGTTTTAACATCTCATCGTTAACAGAGACAATCTGTCTTCTATTACTGAAATGAGATTTAAAAAACTGAAGGGGGCCTTGCATTATTAGTACAATAATAATTAACCCTGGAATTGCTGATAAGAATTTATGAAATGCCACTGTATTTTGCTGCAATTTACAAGGTTAATTAAAAACAACTAAATACACATTTTATTTACAAGGCAATTATACTAATAATGTATTTTTTCAAAAAGAAACAGAGTATTACTGTAGTATTTCCATAGCATAAAACCTGACCACAATTCATTACCTCTTTTTTTATATGTTATAAAACATGTTTCATGCTATAGAAATTGATATGGGTCATATAAAAATACACCATAAATAATAAGTTTCATCATGTACATTTTGTCAGGAGTTGTACGGTATCTAATTTTTGGGAAATAAGTATTGTTTGTTGTAAACTTACCGTATATTGTTTTGTTCATAAAATGACTCATTATCAGGATTTTTATACTTTTACAGGTAGAGGAACGCAAGAACCAGCAAATACAACATCTAGTTAACAACCATCACCAGGCGTTCAGTGAACTGAAAGCTTACTACAACGATATAACTGTCAACAATCTAGCTCTCATTACAAGTCTTAAGGTATGAAAAAGAAAATCACATAGTTGTAAATTGGATCTGGTTATAGTTACAAGTGTTGGATTACAATGCCTGGGTTGATGCACTGTTTTTGTGATGTTTTCAAGCCAGTGTATTATTCAAAAAAAGTTTCTATGTCTCTAATTTTATTCACGTAATTAAAGTGATTGTTAGTTCTCAAAATTGTAGGGGCTTGAAGCTAAATATTTGCTTTGTTTAAGAAGCTCTTGAATAAATCTTCTTGTATTAAAAAAAGTGGGGTGGTAGAATGACAAATTTAGAATAATTTACAAGTAAAAATTAAGACACATTAGCTTGATAAAAAGTTTGTAAATCAAAGGCATATTTTTAGTTCCCTATCAATCTATGCCGTTTGAAAACCACAAAGTTAGGAAAAATCATGTAAAATATAGTCACAATTTTACTTGACTAATGTGCAAGCATTGAAGAATGTAAATAATTGTTTGACCATTTTTTACCCTAAATAAAACACATATTATTTTAAAGATTTCATTACACATTTTGGTACTTAACTATATTTAAAAAATGTAAAAACTGCATCCTATTTATCGATTAGGCTAATTTAATTATTTTACCAGAGCCTATAATGTTTTAGAATGGAAAGGTTAATTTTAAAATGTCTTTCCAAGTTTTTGAAAATTTGTTGTATGGTTCTATCTGAGTTCTGATTTAAAACTTGAGCTCATTTAACTTTGTGTGTAAACTATTACCCTTTTATGATGCATTTCTTTAATCCTTTCCGTTATGTTCTGATTTCTTACTAAACTTGATCTGATCTTCAAGAGTTTATAAAGTAATCAGGTTTGTGGGCTTATGACAAACAGGAACAAATGGCCAAAATGAAGGACAATGAAGAACGGATAGAGAAAAAGTTGAAAGAAGTAAGCAACGAGAACAAGAAACTTACAGAACCATTAAAAGAAGCCCGGGAACAAGTTGCAGATCTTCAACGACAACTTACAAACTACAACAAAGACAAAGTTTCACTTTCAGTAAGATATTATTACTTGTATTACACCAAATTTTGTAGCTCTCTGTATTTTCCTTTTAATTTACTTTTCTTGCTTTATAAAATATTTTCTAGTTTTATTGAGACATGAAACTATGGTTTTACTACAAATAATGATAATTGATGTTAAAAAAGTATTGTAAATAAATTACTACTTTATTGGTATTATAGCATACAGAGTAAGCTACAAAATAATCCATTTGTTTGTTACCTTTCATAATGGGTTTCCATAAATAATCAACAGAGGGTTTCAATATAATATAATTAATATCAATATCACACAGAACTCTCAACTTGGTTGTTACACATCGCACCAACAGTTTCCATTCATGTATTGAAGTCATTTTAAACTATTCCTAGTTTAAAAAGTAAATTGATCTGTAAGACATGCAGGTCTACTGAAATTGTAAGCAAATAGTAGTTAAATAACAAAAAACAGCTATTAAAAAATTATCATTCTGTCTATTTACCATTGCATTTAGTGTTATCCGACCTTGTCTTGGCTGGTTAGATAAAATAATCAGGACTTTATTGTTGTAAGATAAAAATATATATTTCATATTTATTTTGAATCATAAGATTTTTTATGGCTATCATTCTGATTTTTTCAGAACATGAAGAAGCATTTGTCTCATGTAACAAAACAGCTTGAAGATCTCAATGGAGAATATGATGTGCTAGAAATGGCATTTGAAAAGGTAAACTGATTGATTTAGTGTCCCCGTTATTACAAGAATATTTATGAATTCAATCTTGTTGTCACTTTTTTTCTGTTATCATTCAGCTTTTGGTTTTTTAAGTTTATGGGTAGTTTTCCAGTCTTGCTAGCCATGTGGCTTGAACAGTAAGGAATTGTTTTTCAGCTGTCTTTGTTGCCAGCAAGCAGAGTCCAAGCCCCTGACAGTCATCATGCCAATTTCTAGTTTTCCGACCTTGTAATTATTTTAGTTTTTAAGTATCTCTTATACCAGGTGTGTTGTATTACCACTCAGTAGATCTCAGACCAACATGTCATGTAAAAAATAGCCTATGTTTCATTGAAAAAAGTGCTGATGGCCTTCTGAGCATTCGAGTGTTCTTATGTTGACTAGTCATCCGACTAACATGGAAACCCAATGTAAATTTTTAACAGAAAAAAATGCACAACACAAGACACAAGAACAACGTAACATTTGATCAATGTTCACCAATTGTGTTATAGTTCGGCCGCTTAGAAAGCGACCTCCTCCAGCATTGGTTTAGCATTAGCGCGCAGGTCGTTTTCTATGCGGCCGAACTATAGTACACTTAAACCTCAGGTAAACATTAGTCTGGTATGAATTTGACACCATTCTTGTATATACAATATATGAATAAAGATGTTTTGAATTGAATTGAATTGAATTGTACACTTCTACAGATATTACGTTCTGTATAATCTCTGTTGACTGATGTGTTGAACAATACTATAAAAACCTATTTGCTATAAATAAACTAAAAACCTTAAGTTTAACAAATATTTTCCATGTAAATTTATTGGTCAAAATTCTCACTTATAAAGTGGTTGGTGGCAGGTGAAAGGGGAGAGAGATGAGCTTCATGACAAGTTTGTGTCTGCCATTCTGGAATTGCAGCAGAAGTCTAGCCTCAAGAATGTTGTTCTGGAGAAGAAACTTGAGGTCCTGACAGCAGCCTTGGAGCAGAGAGATGTCCAGGTGGCCGAAGTCATGGCTGCCACAAACATTGATCCCAAAGCAATGCACTCTGTTAACAAGAAACTTGAGGTAGGCCATGTTAGATGCTGGGGAGTCTGTAGGTTTTTAATGATTACAAACTGCTCTTGTTTTTCATTATGAACACTTAACCCTTCCCGGACGGGTGACGGATATATCCGCATAAGTCTTTGGTGATAAAGGTGGGTGACGGATATATCCGCATATAGTTTTTGATGCTCCGGACGGGAAGCGGTTATATCCGCCTTCTTTTCAGACAGACTGGCAGGTGCTTGAGCAGTAACCAGATGTTTTGCGGAACCAAGGCGCCACTAACCTGCTCTTTCCATGACTGCGCTCTCCCCGCACTCCCCCCTCTCTACCGCGCTAACCCCTCTCCTGCGCCTCACCCCCCCCCCACGCACCTACCACCACTCCTACGCTCCCCCCTCGACGTTTCACACTCAACATTACGTTGTCTCTATTTATTGTTGTTATTTATTTATTGCCTAACGTTGTCATGGTCATATCTTCAAAGACGGGTGGCGGATATATCCGCTGCATTTCTACTCATCCGAGGACGGGTAGCGGATATATCCGCATTGTTACGATGAAAAAATTATTTTGACAGTATGATGTGTTTCTTTTATGTATACTTGTATAACAAAACACAAATATCAAAAATTTATTTTTATTTTTTCCTCTAATTTTTTCCCGTCCTATGCCATGATTTCGCCCGTCCGGGAAGGGTTAATTGTCATTACCTGCTGACTAAGGGATGATTTGTGAAGTATTACAATATGATATCCCTCAAAACAACAATTTAATGAATCTCTGGAGCCAAATTGGGCAAATTGCTCTCGATTTTCAGAACATACTTCATGCAATTTCCAATGCAAAATTCTGTTGAATCTTTTTTTTTACAATTATTTGTGTAGGGTACACCACAAACAGTTACAATACAGTCGAAGATTGACAAATGAGAGATTGTCTAAATATACAACCTAACACAAAATAATCACTCGTCATACCGATAAAGGTTTTTTTCTTTGAATTGAAGTTCTTGACTTCTAGAAATCGAATATAAAGTCCAGTCTCAAAACTCCCTAAAATCCCTTTCTTAAAACAATACACATAAAGATGAAAGGAAAAACGCTATTCATGTTTGATTTCAGGAGTTGCTAGCGTCAAAAAATAACCGGATCCAAGAGCTGCAGCTTGAGGTGGCTCGTGTGCTGAAGGCTCATGATGACATGGTGTTGGAGCTGGAGTCCAGACTGAAGACTCTTGGTATCTCCTCAGAAGACGTAGGTCTGCAGACCAAGCTGAGACCTCGGCACAAGTCTGTACACTCTTCAACATCCACATAGTCTAAACTCTTACTCTATAGTGACACAAAACTGCTAGAAATTGCCAGTGAATTGACTGAGTTTAGCAAATCTATTTCAGTGGCACTCTCGTCTCCCGTTCCTATCCCCTGCACTAGGCATAGCCCAATATAAGTATATCAACTCATTACTACAATCGAAGAATCTTTTGTTCGGCTTCCCTTGGCTGAACTCCGCAAGTAGGTAATGATTAGTCTTAGCTAGTGGAAGGAATTCTCAGCACTCATTTTGATTGTTCCTGCAAAAGAAATTTACCCATTGTCTTTTGATACACAAATGATAAGGCATTTTTTATCAATTACCCTGTATGGAAGATAGAGAGAATATGACACAAACTGAATTTTTTTAAGTTTGTATATGACCTCAGCAGTGTATATGTTTCTTTTTAACCAAATAAAGTTACAACACCAAGATATGTGTACAGTATATCAAAATGAAGATTATTGTTTAAGAATGGGATTACAGCTTTGTTACTGTATATTTATCTTTCTAATTCTAATATAGGTCTACTATCTACTCTAACTAAGGTGGTCTCATTAGTACGCTACTCTGTGTTCAATAGTTCATTGGATAAGTTAAATTGATTCTACACATAAAAAATGTATAGTGTATGTATTATTAGGTTCGATAATTATCCTGTTCATTTATTTAGTATGCACAATCAATGAGTGGAAACTGTAACTGTCATACTATCAAAGAAAATCAAAATAATTTAGAGCTTTTTTTTTGTGTATGTTTTTTAGCCATTGTAAGTTATTTTTAACATAAAATAAAAATAACATTATATATGAAATCTGTTTAGTTACAATGCAAGAAAATCAAAAACCAAAAGGTGATAAATAATATAATTAATATGATCTTTTTAATAAAATACTGTGAATTTCCCAAATAAATTAATCAACTTGGGAGTTACATTTTTGTTGTTACCTTGTCGCCTGATAAGGGGCGAGACATGCCTGCTTACAAGTCCTTGAGCAGAGCAGACTTGGCATTTTTAGCTTGTCTAACCTCCTCTGTGTGAGAGTGAGAAGTCTCTAGCTTTCTTAGCTAGAGAAGCCTTCTTAGCCACAAAATGATACGGCTCCCCCTGCCTCCTACAAGAATAACACCTACCAGATGGAGACCATGGATGGAGGTTCAAGAACAACGCACTATTTGAGAGAACGAGCTGTAATTAACCAAATAAATAACCACAATAACACATTAACAACAAGCATACATGAATAAATTACCTTCGGAAAACTTTACTAATTTGAGTTACCAATCTGGCCTACTAACTTACAATAATTAATTTTTAATTATTCAAACTAGGCTAATTTCAGTTAAAGTACATTTAATAAGTTTTAACCTTAAGAAAATAAAAATTGTAAAATTGCAACAATGAATATATAAATCACTGTGTGTGCATAAACTTAGGCAATGATGATATTCAGATTGACGTTCTCAATGCCGGACTCTCAGACCACACAACACAGCTCTGCAAAATAAATACCTGCTCAAAGCACTCTGGAGGGTCATCAACAGAGAAAGAAAGCCGGCTTGAGACACATCAGAAAAATCAATCACACTAGAAATAAATGGCCTCAAAACCAACAATCCTCAAAATGTTGCTAATAATCTTAATGAGTTCTTCGTTAACATAGCTAATGACACCCTTGCACAAAATCCCCAAAACCAAAATCAGCCAGCTGAAATCACAGAGGTACACTGGCAGACACCTGAGATGTCTCTTCAGTTAACAAACAAGCCGGAACTGACCTCATGAAGTTCTCTCCTCCTTTAGCTTTAAAACTCATTGTGCTCCTTTACAAACGGCTTCAACCAAATGTCTAGAGACCCAGAGCAATGTTGTTAGTAAAACGTCTGGTACTTTTGCTGAGACCAGAGCTTTCCTCGGAGGTTTGGTTCTCGGTTCTCTGACCTCTCCCTCGTCATCTTCCTCTTCACCCTCTAACATGCCTAGACCCTTCTCCTAGACCAATTGCAAAACTTCTCCAACTGAGCTCTTATATTCCTGCAGTTTGATCTTGCTCCATTTGGTCTGTTAAAACTGTCCACAGATCTTGTGTTCTCTCAACAACTGAGGCTTGTCCTTGAACAGATCCACCTGATATGCCAGTGCAGCCATTGTCCAGCTGTGTCTTGGACACCATAGCCTTGCTGAACTAGTTCTCATGTTCCCTCAGCTTCATCCTGATATCTCATGATGTTGACTGATTCCAGAGAGTCTTCAGAACTGTGATGGGACTAGTGGTAAAAATAATATATTCATGTTGTCCATGCTGATTCTACACTCTCTAAATAAAATAAAAAGTCATTAATTACTGTACTTGTTTCATTGTTCAATATAAATTTACAATTTACTATCTTAAGAAAATGTGAATATGTATGTTAATGTGTGATTGGTTTATACAGCATAGTCCATTGGTCCAAGTTATCAACCTGTCCTCTTTATTGTACTGTACATTGATATAAGTACTATTATAGATGAACTATTCACTCGTTTAATATTTAAGTTTGAATATGTCAGCAACGATAGGCCTAACTAAAGAACATAGTAAAAACATACCTACTGATTTTATATTAACATTAGATTTAGATTAAGTGTTTTCGATGTTAAAATGGACTTTGTACTCAAATATTTGTAATATAAACAAAAAATTAAAAATAGGACTTCTTATTTTGATCATTACCTCGATGCTTCTGGGTGTCAAATGATGTTACTCTCTTATGGTTTGCTTTCTTTTTAGGGGTTAGTGAGAAATAATTTAATATTTACACAACACACTGCTATTCCTTTTTAATATGGGTGTGTCATGAAGTAATTTGTTTTCTAAGTCAAAATTTAATTTAAAAAATTCCTTATTCTTTCAAAATTTGTATCAGAATTTTTCTGAATGTTTCTAATTCTATTTGATTAGTTCAGTTGATTGATAAGTTTTGTAAGCAAGAATAAATACTGCTAAGGTGCATGGATCAAAATTGCAACGCCCTCTTTTTATTCACTGGTAGCATGAAAGGCGGAATAAAGAGAAATTAGTATGTGAAAAATGACTAAGTTTTAGTGTGGATTTATGAACAGTTATATTCTTGAATGCACTGCATTTCCACGTTGAGAGGAATACCTCTTATCAAGAGAAAATACCTGTTTTGTGACAATAATAGTTTATATAATGGCTCTTCCCACACTTAACTAATTGATAAAACTAAAATTATTAAAACTATCAAAATTCTAACTATCAAACTATCAACTATAGAAATCATATACTGTAATAATATTACGGCTCTAGGAATTACTATGAGCTAACACAGTTCCTGGTTTATTATTTTTGGCAAACATTCTTGTAAAAATCAAATTTCAATTTAATAATATTAAATTGAGGGAGAAATCTATAGTCTCTGAAGCTATTTCATTTCAGTTTATGCTAGATAATCCTGTGATGTAGATGACAGGATGGATTTAACACATTGTGAGTGTAGAAGGTGTTATTAAAAGTCATGAGGCAATGAAAATGGGAGTCTATTAGAATAGTGTAGGATTGTGAGAAATTAATTCATTTTTTACTAGAGGAACCCTGCTGCTCCGCAGTGTAAAAATAAATATCATATTCGAGAAATAATAAAATTTTTGATTTTTGATTGAGTAATACAGTATCTTGAACTTAACTGATTCAAACTATCAACAGCTAAAATTAAAGCATATAATTTACTGATTATTTTTAGTCTAAAACATATAAAAAAAACATAGAAATTAAAGGAGCAATTGATTTTTAATCATATAAAAACCTAATAAAAAATATTTTTATGTTGGTTGTTTACCTTGCGTTTGCTTGAAACTCGTCCGATTTAAATAACTAAGTTATAGCGTAAATAAAAGCTGGTATTTCACTGGAGGTTCTTAGACCAAAATATATGGGATTATATAGTTATAACTGGTAAAATACATCTTAAATTGAAGTAAGGATTAAAAAATAAATCAAATCTATGTTTTTTTTTTTTGTTCAGTAATACAGTAGATAAATATATGCGTATGCTTGATGTGAAACATGTACATACCTTCAATTTGGGACCTTAATCATGAAAATCGGTCTCATAGAAGAGCCAAAGGAGCTCAAAAAATAAAAACCAAATCACCAACCAGGTCAGTCACTTGTTTTCAAAATTTAAAATGATTAATAACCATAGTAAATAATAAATATGAACAATAATTTAAATTTGGGCTCTCCCCCATGGATCCCCAATTTTTGACCTAATGTACATTGAAGAATTGAAATTAAAGAAATCCTCTTAACTAAACATGAATCCTGAAATACTTTAATCAAATTTCAATCAATTGCAGTTAATACAATAAGAAGAACCTTTAAGAAAATCTTATCCTTTGTAGAAGTTGAAATCTTCCAAAGTATTCATGACAGTAAGTGCGCCCATCAAAGTTTTAAGTGAGCAAAAACAAGCGCTAGATGGGCAATCAATGTAGAGTGTCAGTTGCTTCAATATCTCCCAGATGTTGTCACTCTCAAACTCAACCTCAACTTGTTTCATTATTGTCATCTCATCCATAACAGACCACACTTTGTGATACAGAGTTGATACTTTGCAGAATGATTGCATAAATAAGCCATACAATTCTAACTCGTACTGTATTGAATTTATCAACATTTGGAGTAAACACTTTAGAGTATATCATATCCGCATATCATTAGAGCATATCATTTCCGTTTGAAAAATAATATTAAGATAAGTTTTGATGCTGCAAAAACTTTACAAAAGTTAACATAAATGATGCATGTAATATTTGATCAAATTTCAAACGATATTTTTAAGGATTTCAATACAAGTTAATCAAATTAATTGAATTAAATTAAATTAATATAAACAATTATACAAAAGGGTTACCCAAAGGGCAACTCAATGACAATAGCTATTTTCCTACAGTTACCTTCAAAGTGGGCTTCCTTGCACTGATTATAGCACACAATATAGCTAATTGCTGCATCTACTTACTTTTTCTTGCCTTTTGCCGCCTTCTACACTCTTTTTTTTGCCGCACTTCGGTATTATAAACAAACAACACAAAACAGTGTGCTTTTATTAGGCAGTAATACCTGCTTGAAAATAAGTTGGAACCACTTAAAGACACTACGGCTACAATCAGCTGTTTCACAGCCTTTTGAATTGATTTAACTTAACCTAAAACGTGTTCTTTAGTGTTTGAAAGACTAATTATTTATATGCTTTATAGTAATTGTAGGAAAAATAATGTGTAGAGCGCAAAGAACCACTTCGCGCACTTGTTACACAAATAACTATTTAATTAGTAGATGGATTAGTATAATTTTGCTACCTTTAAACATTTTTAATGTATAAACTACCCTTATGACTCAGATGCTGCAACATTATAATTGGAGGAGTAAACCAATATGTCATATCAGAATGGAGGAGAAGCATACTTTTTGTTTTGAAACAACAGTCTTAACACATTATTATTGCACAGATGGCACCAAGATTAATTGTGACATGCCACTTATAAAGTGATGACACCATGAGAAAAAATATTACCATAGATTAAAGGAATAGACCTACTCTACAGTAGAGGGAGAGGGAATGGCAGAGTCTTCAACTCAATCCACGATATTAATGAGAAAATCTTACTGGCCTTTTGAATGGTAAAGTGAAAATTGCAATCAATATTTATTTAGTTGTGCTTTAGGTATTGCCATGAAGTTTTGATGTCAATTGGCAACACAATACGACTACACAGTTTACAGTTATTTGTGCTAATTGCATTTACTTTGCTTACTGTTGGATTCAATTAGG